TAATACAAATGAAGGTTTTATCGTTTTAAAAGTGCTGGGAAAGCTCCTTTTGAATTGCATTTTTTACGGCGAAAAAACGAGCAGCCCACATAAACAAAATCTTCAGAAATTCAAGTGCCTAAAACAATAGAGTAATATACATGTAGAATGTCATAATGACCTTTTTTGCGAGTTGAAGGGGGCATATGAAACTTCTTGGACGCTTCCTTCCCAATTCCGAAAAACTCAAAAGTAGCTGTTGTAGGTTGTCAAAGCTTGTGACAAAAAAGAGGCAAAAAAGTAACATTTTGCATCCGGGAAGTATCATAAAATGTAGCAAAATGCCTCCATCTCCAAGTGAAAAGACTCCGATCTCAAAAGCGCTTTTTATGAGGGAAAGGGTGCGCTTTTGAGATCGGAGTTTTTTCATTTGGAGAAGGAGGTAGTTTGCTACATTTTTTGATACTTCCCGGATGCAAAATGGTACGTTTTTTGTCACTGGATCAGGTCCTCCGCTGCATGTCCTCTGATTTTTCAGGCAGGCCCCAGGATTACCCTTCTCCCAAAATTAGTGACATTCCACCGGAACTTTTTTTACGGCCGAAAATTGCCGCGTATTCGATATTCAGAGATCTTTGCATCACAAAAGCAAAAATTAATTGAAAACGTATACATAAAATATACGTCTTGTACATACATTTTGTCTCATAATTACTGCACATTTTTACAATTCTATAGACGTCAACTACTTTTACTATTATTTTCTACTTTTACATTTACCGTCATTTTGTGTACTGCGAATACGCACATTTAAATTTGTAGTAAAAATTGCTCTTTTCGCAAAATTTCAAAAGAAAATATGGCAACATTGGGTAGGTAAAGTAAGCCATTTCATCTGGAGAGGTTTTAAAGTCTTTTCCAGGAGAAACGCTAGAAGTGCGACGCTCAGATTTTGATGAAACATGTCACAAAGTTAGAACAACTTTTTCTGAGACCTATGCAAGGCTTCTAGACCGCGCTTTGCAGAAACGGCCCAAATTTTTAGGTGTATTTGCGCAATGACCTTTGGAGTTACGGTCGTTTGCACTTGCACTTTCCTCTCTACATTGTTACACATGAAACAGAGAATAGTCCGTTTTTAAGTGCAAACACAAAAAATTGTTTTCAACTGTTTTTTGGTCCACTCTCCGAACGGGTACACTGAAACATTTGCAACATTGTAATGTTTCATTTTCATGTCCCTTTTTGTTTTGTAATTCCCGACCTTCAGTCGATCGTTGGACGATGCGATTATGGTACAAGTGGAGGTCTAATTAGTTAGCTGGAAGTCAACACAAGTGAATATTTACATTACTAATTGCCCGTAATTAGGTTGCTGTACGGTGCTAAATTTAGAGAGCGGGTTGACGTTGGAGGAGAGGTGGAGGCCAGTTCTATACCGTAGCTTGGGTGGAGAAGCTGAGCTTTTTTTAATAATTTTTTCGGGAAAAATGGGATTTTTGGAAATTTAAAGGGTCACGGTTTTGATGATACTTGGTCAAAATTTAGATTGCGTTTTGGCTTGCATCTTTGCAGAAATAAAGGAGATTTTGAGGTTGCAAGTTAGGAAAAATTTGAAACTTTTTTGCGGGTTTTCGTGTGAAATACGACAATATGTTTAATATCAGTACAAAATTTCTCTAAAAAAAAGCGCGATTTTTCCCACGCAAAATTTGCAAATACATCGCTTCAAACTTTTTCTTTCACTATCTGGCGGCGTTTTCCATGGCTGCTAGCTTGCAAAGATGGTTGGTTATCTCGGCCGAGGCTGCGAATATGAGCAAAAAATTTCAAAGATTGAGGAATGGCCTTGTTATATCCTAGGGACATGATTTCAAGATGTTACATTTATTGCACCACAAGCAATTCCTTTCTCTACTCATAAATCCCAAATCACAAGTTTTCAGTATTTTCGTCCAAAAAGATTCCGTTGATTATCTCTCATAAAGCCTTATTCTTAATTTTTCCAAAGTTGCGTAGTACTCTAAGCGTCGTGGGTGGAGAAATTCGAAAAAAAGTTGTTGATGCAACCAAAAATACCGTGTTTCCCCGAATTTCCCTGGATCCTTGCAATTATGGAGACAGATTGCCCTCTTTATAGCCTAAAATAAATACCATGATGAATTCTCTTCCGAAGAATCCTTGTTGATTGGCCTCTTGCATAATAAACTGGGCTTTCAGCACAAACTCTTTCAAAAAGTGCAAAAACAACGCGTATTTGGGTGTGGGTTTGCGCTGAGCTAAAGGTATTTTTACCGTTTATTAAAATTGAGGGTTGTGGGTTGGATGATGTCAAGCTCTTACGCACTTTTTTATGCTTCGATTATCCAGACCAAACAGCGTTTATACCTTTTTTACTCTTTTTGCGTACGGTTTATGTAGCATATAAGTTGAGGAACCAAAGTTTAATGAGGCTAGGCTTGAGAGAAGAGGCTAAAGAGGGTGGAATTATTGTCTGGAAAGGCCATTTATCAAGTGTAATTTATGTTATGAGACCCCATGAGGCCGTTTTCATATAAATTGAACCTTTGATGTATGAAATTACAGAAAAAATTCTAAAGGTCAGCAAATACAGTATCTGTCTAGAACTGCCTTTTGCATTCGCATTTTGAAAGTACCATATGATTTAAAAACCCAGCTCAGCAGACGAGAAAGCCGATTAATCACTGCTTTGAAGCTTAAATTTGATACCTACAGTTCTCTTAGCCCTGTCACATCTTCTTCGTGACATCCGATGTAATATGAAACACGAGAAAAAGATTTTGCAGCTCACTGGGGAAGTGCTCCAAGTGTGACGCTCAGATTTTGATTAATATATGCGGGGTTCCTGCTAGTCCCTTCTTAAAGTCGCCGGACTGGATTCGGCGACGTACTGTGGGAAAACAAAAGTTTTCTTTGCAAGGCGCAAGTTATTCCCCCCACCGTGTAACTTTTTTGGGCTGCCATTTCCCCCTTGATCTTTTTGCGCAGTGCAGAGGCAGAAAATCACTCCAGCGACTTTTCCGGAGGACTAACAGCTTGCGCTTTGCAGAAACGACCGAGATTTTAAGCTTTGTACTTCTGGTACTTCTCTTGTAATTTTCTTCTGCCTACGTCAAAACATACATTAAGAAAGAACCGTCCTCAAATCGTACAAATATTGCGCAATACCAAATTATAATACAGGTATTGCACGCATACATTACTATATATTCCATTACATAAATATAATATTTACAATGTTTGGAGCAGCTTATACAAATCATGTATAAACAGAATAATCTGCGGATGCGGAGATCGCATTATCTTTTTCTTCTCCAAACAACTTCGTCAATAGATGGACAGGAATGCAATCTACATGCGGCTTTAAATAGCCGGTCAACTATATTCGGCACATCCTTCAAACTCTCACGTTCTTACATTAAACTGTAGAGCACAAGATATCGAAGGCAACATTTTTTGGGCGTTGTATAATATTATATAACATTAATTTGTTTAAACACTATTCACATCATAATAATCAAAAAAATTACAATTACTTTGCAAGGGCCGTTTAACGGCCAATTACGGACGAAGATAAGCGGCGAGAGACCCCCATCCAAGTGTGTTATCCATTTACAGTGGCGGACCTGATACAGTAGGAAAAACGTACCACTGTGCATCCGGGAAGTATCAAAAAATGTAGCAAAATGCCTCCCTCTTCACTTAAAAAAGCTCCGCCTTGTAGGCGCTTTTGAAATCGGAGTTTTTTTTTTACTTGGAGGGGAGGTATTTTGCTACATTTTTTTGATACATTCCGGATGCAAAATGGTACGTTTTTTTGCCACTGTATATGGCGAGTTTTATGCCTACTGTAGGAGGTTTGAACCGAGATAAAGGCCGTTTCGTGCCGGTTAATCCGACTTAAAGCAGTTGAAATTTCAGATAGAGAGATAAACAACTCATTTTGAGACGCTTAAGGTTATTTGTAGACCAACTTTATAAAAAAATTGTAATGCTGAAAGCATCACCATTTTCCTACAAAATCCTCCAAAAAATTTTCTTGTTCTCAAAGTTTTCCAGACGTCATGTAGAAGATGTGACAAGAAAATGCGGGCTATATCTGGGAATTTTAAGCCCTTATTGCATTTGATAATCGGCTTTGCGTGCTGCTGATAAGATCTTGCAGGGGGGTTTAAACCAAACCGTTTTTAACAAAATTAGAAACGAAAGTGAGTGAGTGGCTTGTGATCCCAAAGTGATCAACAAGTCTCGAGACCTGTAATATTATAAGCTCCCGGCAACCTCCTCTCTTCTGAATGATCCTTTCTTGCGTTTCTATGCGATACCGTTTGGCTACTTTGCATCCTTTTTAAATCTTTTAATTTTTTCTCGACCAGTCATCATCAAAGCCAACAATCAAATACAAATTGGCTTTATTATTAAATATTTATTTCTTAACAACATAACAACGAGAAATTTGAACATTCTAAGGCTACTAAACGAGGATAAATAATCGCGTCAGTAAAGCATTTTCGTAAGTACACTGGGAAGACAAAGGAAACGAACAATCGGTGTGAAATATTACAATGTAACACAGTCTATTCAAACTAAAGATTTCGGAGTTCAAAACTAAAGATTTGCGGACGAGAAAGAGGGTTGCATAATTTGAGATCGTTGGGGGGAGAAATCGAAGAAGAGGAAGCGAGAGAAAAAACACTGAACAACAAAACAAGAGTAACCGTTTTAACAATGATATTGTTGGGGAATCCTAAAGACTTATTTGGTTTGCAATTTTGAGATCGAAGGGCGTTCGGGTGCAAAGGAACGCCGGAAAATTTTTGAGACTTTCTTCGAGAGGAGGAGAGCGAAAATTTGGTTGTTGTCTAACAAGTAATACGTCAAATTTCCCGACGTTCTTTGCCCTTAATTAGCGACGGGCCGTAATGAGAGGCCCTTGGAAGGATGGGGGTCTCCCCACGCTCCAAACGCCCGAAAACTAGAGGCGCGGCGGCGAGCCGCATCTACCGGCGCTCCAACCGTTGCTTGACGTATTTATCCAGCTCCTCGTCATCGCAACAGACCCGCTTCATGTGCTCGATTGTGCAGCGGTTCACGCAGCAGTCGTCGGCGATTCCGGAGCGTTTATTGAGCCGATGATGACCATGCTCTGCAAAGAAATGGGTTAGAAATTGTTCAAGGAGATACAGGATGAGCAAGGGTGATTTTAAAGTGTTGCAACTGCCTTAGCTAACAAAACAGTCCAAACAGAGATCAAATAAACTTTGAATTTGAAGAAAAAAGGCTTTCCCGAAGTAATCCTGGCCTTTGTCAGATCAATAGGCTCGGTAAATGCCGCAAAACTCACCCAGAAAGATATGTCTTCGCGAAACATGATTTTTCATCGATTTGAAGCACACATGCGTTGCGCCATCCACGATGAACGTGCACAGAGCCTGCACCTTCTTGATCAGCTTCTCACCGCAAATTCGGACTGTCTCCGCCGACGCCAAGCCGTGTGTGGACAACAAAAGGCACAAAACAATGATCAGGGTTCGCTTCGAGACGCTCGGCCTCCACGAGCCGCCGCAATTTCGCTGTATCCTCGCCGACTTCTGTGTCGCGCTCGCCGCAATATCCGTCGTCATGTTTGTTGGGGGTAGAGAAGGGAGGATTCGAAAAGGAGTTAGTTTTTGCACTGGGTTGGGGTTGGCGGTGCACCCGTGTGTCGAGGTCGCTGTGCTGAAGCCGAGCGCGTTGCGGGACCTGCGGGCAGCTGGAAAAAAAACCGGGAGTGAAATTAACCACGAAATTACAATAACGCTCGTTTCGTTGAAGGTGGGGAGTGGTGACATCAAGGTCAACGCGAAATTAACAAAATCAGAGCGATTTGAGGGGCAGGCAAGTTTGTTGAACCATTTTTTCGACAACCGTTTCTCTCAATTCCAAGAATTTTGGGTGGGAGTTGTAGGCTTGAAACTAGGCGAACGCCCAACAAACCTAGTAACGAACTATAAATGGGAGAAGAGTCTGTAAAAAGTGCAGTTCACATATTGTACTTTCATGTAAGGAAAGTTCAACCAGAAGGTGGGCAAAGACTTGAAGTCAAAGGTCTTTGTATATCTTGTTTCCTCAAGAGTTGTTGAGGGTGTTCGGTGCAAAATAACACCACTTAACGGATAGACATTTGGGAAACGCAAGTATTTTTCAAATCTCAGACATTCAACTCAAAAGCAACCTATATAGTCTAAAGGCGTTCAAGCGCAATCTTGAACCCGCCAAAAGAAATGGTCCAAATCACAAGTCTTTAAACTTGAAAACAACATCTTGAACGCACAAGTTCCATCAATTCACAGCACTCATCAACGGTATGCGTAAACCACCGCCGAGATTGATAATTAACTGCAAGCCGCATGTAAAGTTCACCGGGAGGCGTGACACAGGCTGGGGCAGTTCGAAAAAAACGACTTCCCCGCCCCTGAACCGAACCCTCCAGAGTTACAATTGCAGAGAATTTCCATACAAATCCCGACACGCGGCCGCGCCTTTTATACGCGGCCGCCAGGCCCCTCCCACCCCGCAAATCTCCCCATACACTCTCTCTTCTCTCTCTCCGCGCCGCCGCGGATTAAACCGGACCTAATCGTCAGGTGCGAAAAAACACTTGTCGTCGTATCTACATTTTGTTTTCAGGCCACCAAAAATAGGGCGGGGTCAAGCGCACCGCCTCTAATCGCCGACCGTTTTTTTTGGCGCCCGCTTCATGCCTTGTTTACATGTTGTCCTCGCGGAGAGTATAAAGTTTGCGGAAAAGTCATCAACAACCGAAGCGTGGTTGAGAAACTTGTGCTGGTACGAAAGGCAGAGGTGTTGGTACGAAGGAAGTACACAGGATTCTAGGGAGCAAGTGATCAAGATGAAATGCTCGGAATGTGATAAAGATTAGTACAGGTTAAGAGCAATGAGGGCTTTCAGTGACATATACACGATCTTTAGTTTCGTTTTACACAAGGAATTGAAGTTTCTTGATCGAAAAAAGGCAGAAAGGCAACGATTTTTGAGACTTTTTTAATACTTCCTGTAAGGCATTATAACCACATGAAGTAAATCAGATGATTGCTGTGAGGCGGAACGGCCGAGCTTCGAGGATTTTCCCACGAGGAACGATCTACATTTATTCAAATTTGATTGTACTTTCCTACGTGGGGCTTCCCTATAAAAGGCCTCCTTTCCACTGAATAAATCACTTGACACTTGAGCGTCTCGTCTGGTTACTTTGTCGGGCCTTTCGACAACTCATAAGTGGCGATCTGGATATTTCAAGAATTTTTCATTTTTCTCAAAAAATCAGAACAAAATTCAACTCATATCTTTCGCTCTAAAACTCTCAAAATTTTCTGCACAAGCATGAGCTAAAATTTTCAAAAATCAACAACTGAACAACACAGATTATGCCTGCAAAATTTGAAGTAAATCAGACCATTATCCTTTAGCATTCCCCGAAATACATCATACTACCTGTCCGGAACCTTTTCTCAAATCCAAAAATGCCGAAATACGAGACCACCCGAAAAAACTTCGTTACAAAATCTGCGGAAACACAACCCAACCGAACGTAGGCTTGGCCTACGGTATGTTGACAACGGGCCCGCTGCAGGGATGACAAATTGTTTGCGTTCCAGAGTTTTTATCAGCCCGCTTGGGCGAACGGTTCGGACAAAGGGAAACATTTTAACAACGATGCAAACAGCGGTGCGGGGAAATGAACCCGGAATGGTAAAGAGCCAATTTCAGAAGACGGGGAGATCGTATAACAAGCTCAATTTTGATTGAAGCGATTATTTGAGTTGAATCGGTGAAAGGGAAATTTTCATTAGAGATGTGTCGGTTTACCGTACAATAGTGATTGACATTGAAAGTTTCAAACCTAAAATTGCAAAGCAGCGATATTTTTTTGGCAACGTTCAACCAAAAAAAATCTTATCGGTCCCTGAAAAACGCAACTATAAGTCTCGCACATGGCCTACAAAATCATGATCTAAGTCAGTGCCAATTTCATCCCATTCAGTTTTCCGTCAACTAGAAATACATGGCTACCGAGCCGAGCCCGGTTTAAGGGCCGGACCGGATTGAATTTGCTACCTAAATTCAAAATCCCCACCCGAGTACGGACCGCAATTCTTGGCCCGGCCCGAAAGCCATGCCTTTCCACACGTCAAAGGCTCTTCCTGTAAGCAGGGTTACAATAGATGATATATAATAGAGGAAGAACCACGAAATCCAACAAAAATAAAAGGAAAGACGTTGGGAGTTATCGCGAGGCTTCCCGCAATGACGCCTCCAATAAACCTGGATTATAAATTTTGAGGAAATTGATGACAAGTTGACGTTGGAGAGAAGGCCGAAAACAAATTTCGCAAATACAGAAAAGGCGGCTAATGGAGACGTTTCTTGTACATACTCTTTGCTCGAGAAATCGCGTACTTTGAGTGCGTTAACAGTACGTCCTTAGTTTTTTGGAATATCACGCAATTTGCATGTATTTTTCGACATTTTGAACGAAGATTGATGGAAGTTCAGAAATGGAGACATCAAGGGAAACAAGGAAAAAGGAAGTAAATTTTTTTAAAAGAAATTAAAGTTTTACCACATATAATACAAAAATCTGTACTAATCCTTTTGTAATGATCAAATAAGCAACCGGATAGAGGCGGGATCGCATCCCTGTGCCCTCCGGAATGTCCCGGCCAGTGTTCTCCCACGTGGTTTCCGCACGGCTTCCATTATTTGATCATTACACTTTCGCAAAGCCGCTGTGGTGATTTCGGCGATATGCACTGTGCAAAACAGTCATGGTTTGGCAGCCCGAAAAAGCGTAATGCACGGTGCAAAAAGTAACGAATTGCAGAGTGAGCTCCAGACTAGTGTTGGACCGGTTCAGAGCGCGCAAGAAAATTTTGGAGGACTTCTGTGCGCCCCACTTGCAAAACTTCCCTTGTCCAAAAAATTCAGATCTTGATCCAAGTCTTAAAAATCCGCCAGAAGCACGAGAGTTTCATTTCCCTGCAGCTTCAAAAAAATATGTATTTAAAATTTCAGCGTGCTAAAAATTGCCGACCCCCCAACGACCGCTCAGCCATGTGAATTCGTTGATTGGAACCCGTTGTTAAATATAGTTTGCCAATAAGTTGTTCTAATGCTCTGAAAAAAATTGCCCGACTACTTTTTACACCTTCGGTTGTCATATCAAATCATTCATTGGGAGCGACTCAATGAGTCGCAAAAAAAAATTTTCGAGAAACGGCTTGCAATCTACTCCTCATGCTTAATTTAACCGACAGTTGTATTATGAATTCCGCATAGTTTTCGGTTAAAATTTTTGGAAACAAAAACGCTGTAATTTTACAGCCGCGCAGATGTTTGTGGGAATGCAAAATCTTCGCGGACCATGCAGAGCAGGTGATGTTTTCGCAGATGACATTTGACTTTCGCATTACGGTAGTAAAGATAAGTTTTTTTAATGAGCCGCTTTACTGGAGTTTGTGGCAATTTTCCGGTTTTGTCTTGGCATTTCGGGGGTTACTAGCCTAGAAAAATTAGTTCAATGAATTCAGGTCTTACAATGGTCCAAAGACTTTTTGTAGTTTGATAAAGTACTAAAAAAATTTTAGTACTTCAAACAAAAGTGCATATGTGCTATTTGTTGCTTTTTGCAAAGTGCAAATGGCTTTTTTGGGCTGTCGCTCAAACTAAGCATGGCTGCAAACCGGGCCAGCCCGGCCCGCCCCGGGCCACAGGCCCGGGCTTAAGTCTTCGAGCCCGGCCCGGGGCCGGGCTTGGAAAATTTTGAATGCCCGGCCCGGTTCGGCCCGGAAAATTTTTATACTAGGTTGGAAAGAAAGAAAGCGGGAAATGAAAGGAAAATGATGGCAAATTTTCGCAAAATGTAAAGAAAAATTTAGCAAAACCTAGGTACATAAGATCACTTTACGTTCGCTATCAGCATTGTTTTCGAAAAAATGAAAAATGCTATCGAAAAGGTTATTTTTTCCTTTTTTCCGGGCAAAACTCAGATTTCAAACGAACCGGGCCGGGCCTAAAAATCGAAGCCCGGAGGCGGGCCGAGAAATTAGTCGGCCCGGCCCGGGCCGGAAAATTTTGCAAAGCCCGGCCCGAAGCCATGCCTAGTTCAAACCCTAAACTTTTTGCACAATACATGTCGCAGAAATCTCCCCAACGACTTTACGAACGGACTAGTATTCATGTTCCTTTCACGCGCAGATCAGGAGAACTGGTATGACAAAGTAACACTTTCCAAAGAAACAGAATTGTTTATGACCGTCTCTTGTCACTCCTCATAGTGTCTTGTGTTTACAATTTTTCCGCTATCTTGACATTTTTAATACTATTATACCCATCACCCTATTCGCAACTCTTCCCATTTCCGGGCTGGACCGATTCCAGCGAAACTACATGCCAAATTCGTTCTCAAATTGACCGGAAAATTTCAAATTTGTTCCTTATTTCAGCACCGTTCCGATATTCCACATTCATAATATAATATTTAAAATTTCGCATAGTAGTAAAAGTGGCCGTAAACATTGCGGAGGATGCATTTTTTAAGCGCCCTGTACACACAATCCGCTTCCATTGCAAAACCTTAAAGCTCTTGATACTGTAAAGCAGAAAAAAAAGATTTTGGTACGTAAAAACTTCCGCTGCCCTCAGCTGAGTCATGGGCTGAACTCGCGACTGGCTCAAGAAATTTCAGCAAACAACCACCTACTAATTCCTCAAGTGCGAAAAAAGTCTCGCTTAATCATAGACTCGCGCAGGGCATGTGAATCCGATCGAAACAGCTGATGTGTTTTCTTCAATATTAACCACAAAAAACGCGTAACACAGTTCAGAGAATGTGACGCATTGATTTCGAAAACGTTTTGTTCAAACTTGACATACTTTTCGGGCAAAGACTACAGTAGCCGATGAGTGAATAAGAACAAGCTCGAAAATCTCCTGAGCTTGTGTTAACATTAATATGCCACGGTATGACTACTTGATATCGTCGTATATATTTTTCAGCAGCCGAATTTACGGCAAATTAAGGTTTTTTTGTTTGCCAATTTGCATAGACCAAATCAGCCATATAAAAGCGATGGATTTATGCTTACCGTATCATTCTTTTCCTGTGTTTTGGTGGAATAAAACCCTTTTCTCCGTTCTCGACGTTGTTTCATCGGACCGACCGGTCGTTCTCCATTCCTCCCTTCCCCGTTGGAATTCTCGTTTAAAAAGGATCGTTTTTCAAACTCTGCGTCACTGCGCCATCACATGGGTAAAAAACTAGATTTCAATTTACAGGGGAAGTACCCCAAGTGCGGCGCTCAGATTTTGATGAAACTTGGCACAAATTTAGAATAATTTTTTCTAAGATATATGCGAGAATCCTAGCTCGCGCTTTGCAGAAACAACCGAGATTTTTAGATCGAAAGTCGGCCAAAATTTAGGAATTTTTGCCGAATTTCTATTTCTACCGTAAAGGATAATGTTTCTACAAAAAATCAAATTTTTCCGCACGAAACTGCCAAAGTTATGGCCAAAAAGCGCTTTCCTCCCTGACCGCTCTCCACGTTTAGCGTGCTCTCTCGGCGGCATAAATCGTCCGATATCTCGGCGGCGCCTGCAAAGCGCGAGCTAAAAGTTTCAGGAATTGATATCTAGTCTATTCTCGACGTGTGTGCAAAATTTAAAGAAAATCTGAGCGTCGCACTTGGGGTACTTCCCTTGTTAGAATTTTTTTATTTTATTATATTAATATATGTTGAAGGCCATGTAGTATGCCTATATGGCCTTCAAGTTTCTCGTTCTCCCTAGGCTTGATCTTCTACCTTCGAACTTGCTCTTTTTGTAAAGTTTAACCGATTTAAAAGTTTTGTAAGAATAATTATCCAAATTGAGAGCGTTTATCTGATTTTGAAGAAGTTTTAAAGCGGATCCAAACCTCAACGAAATTCGAAGCCGGCTTGGATTTGTCCGCAAAAACAAAGCGGATGCATTTTTCACCTGGAAAACGAATTTAAAGGAACTCCGGAATACATTAATTTCGGTATTGTTCGAATTTCCTTTGGCTACGGCGATTTGTCATTCCGAGAAACAGAAGCATATATTTTCGTAGCAAAAGGATGACATAAACTTATTCGTCAATCCGCAAAAAATTCCGCATTACTTTCTAGTCTAGTGTCTACAGACATAGATAAAAACGCACTGGTGGTCGAACTTGAACATGGTAAAAAAGTATTTGTGATGAGTACTCGTCTGTTCCAAGGGTCGCAAAATCTATACTTGACATTATCATAGCCAAGTGGATATTACATATATGTAAACTGCTACAGCTCTATAAAACTACATTCCATTAACTTAAGTAATTGCCCGTGAAAAGCTGCTCAACTAGCATGCCACAGTAATTCCTCAATCTCTATCCAGCCACTTTTCCTCTTATGGAAATTAACTCTATAATTTGGCAAAACGGCATTTTCATATGTCCAAATTTTTTGGGTCAATGATCAATGGCCAGCAAATTTCCTACAAGGATGCACGTACACTGCGCTCCAGATGTCCAAAATCGGCTTACTGACGGAATTACGGCCACAAAACATCTATGTATCTGGATGAAATGGGGCTCTTACACGACTCTGAATCGTGTCTGTTTGGCTGCCATCAAAGAAGATTATGGAATTACGGTGTTTAGTACGCTCTATAATCAAAAGGGCAATCTGGAAATATTGATGCTGAGCAACGAATAAAAGTGCAGAAAAGTTGTTAATAATTCAGCAGAAACTTTGCTGTTAAAAATAGTTTGAGCAAGAATTAGGTTTATAGGTATGTTCCAGACGTCAATTTCGACTTTTGTTTGCATGTCAAATGTGAACAGCCGGAGATCAAACTGTTATAAAAAGTCTGCAAGTCTTAATTCAAAGGCTTTTGCTTGAAAAAGTGGTGGCTGAATAAAGCATGGATCAGATCAGACGAAGAGATTTGCGGAGCATCATTTTCGACAGCGGTAAAAAGTTCAAAAGGATGAGAATACAAATATGGCCAAATATGGCTATATTCGAATGTTCTGAAAGAAACGGAATACACGCAAAAAGTGCAATTCATCGTACAGGGCAATCCGCAATTCCGCATGCTACCATTCGCCGAAAACCCACGAATCTCGAATCCCCGACACCCGAAAATAACTTTGGTTGCAATTTTGGCAGACGGCCCCAGCGGCATCAAGTTTCATCGGGCACCGGTTCCGGACGCCAATTATACACCAGCTCAACGTGTGTGTTTACAACCGTCCTTTGGAGGTAACGTCAGTTCTTGCGAATAATTCACGATGTTTTCCCCGGAACGGCAAACAGTGCGCGCGGCGCAGCGCTACGGCCGCGAGAACGGGGTCGGTTTACAGGGCGAATACTCGATGCGAACCTGCGGTTAAACAGTGACAAAAAAAACTTTCGCCAGAAAATGATGGTTATGATGATGGGAGTTCCTGGGATGACTGCGGTGCACGGTCTTCTTTACATTTTGAATGGCAAATTATGGAATGGTATGTCCGAAAAAAAACTAAATTTTTCGGCAAAAGAATGGTTTTGAACAAACACAGAAAAAATACGGTGCTTGTCTTATTTTTCCACTTTTTTATGTCAAAAAATACCTCGGTGGATTTCTCATGCATCTTACGGTAGCGACGCGACCAAAGAATGTTCTTGGCGCAGACGGAGTATCTGGTATGCAAAGTTTTTGCAGACGCATTGGATTTCAGTTTGTTTTTCTACGGAAGAATCGTCAATTCAAGTTCAATGCTGCAATTTCAAGTGCTACATTTTTAAAAGGCTTACAAGCCACCGGGCATATCGCTTTTCGTAAAATTTACATTGCTCACAAAAAAAGTTCTGAATGATGTGCATTGGCAAAAAGTTGTATGAAAATTTTGAAGTTGCAAAGATACAGGAAAACGAAATTGATTGCAACGCTATTTTTGACTGTAAAACCTGCAGTTTTATTTCCCACGCAATTGCAATTACCTGATGTAAGACATGATGTTGCTAATCATCGTTTTTCATAGCTTATAATTGCCGCCCTGGATTTTTAAAAGTGCTTACTTGTTTCAACCGGATAATCGGTTTTACTATGAGATTATACTGAGCACATTACTAAGATAATTGGCCGCCTTCTCAAATGTTTCCAACCATCGCGTTGGGCGGCCTACAGTCGCAAGTCAAGTGGATTTGGACTGGAATTTTTTGGTTTTTGAACCTCGCCGATGTGGGTGGATTACGGTAATCGTGAAACGATGAGAGCATAAACTCTGGTAATAAATTGCAAAAAATAAGTTTTACTTATGTATTTTTTTTTTGATAAAACTTGAAGGGAATCCGTGTCACCAAAAGAGCATGCGAAATACGAAATGTGGCCATATCCTTGCCATTTTAGGGTGAAAGGATAGAATAGAGAAAGAGGTATAAAACTTTTCATGCCGAGGTTCGCAAAAAAGGCCGTGTAGCCGCCAAGTTTCTCGCCAAAAAAGTCGGTCGTTTCTGCAAAGCGCGAACCAGTAATCTTGCATATTCCTTCAAAAAATCAAATTGAGTGATAAATTTTGTAAAAATCTAAGCGGCCCACTTTCAGACTTCCCCTGAAGGTCGTAAGAACCAGAAATATTCAAGGCACGTCAACTAAAAAATGAAACCGCACATATTACTGTGTGCTTATAATATTAAACTATTGATGCCCAGCTCGTTACAATAATAACATTATTTGGAAATCCTGGAAGCGGCTTAACGAGAAAACGGCTCTTTCTCTTCTTTTGTCCATCTAGGCAGCTTAACAAACACCATCTATGCAAATTTCTGACATTTATAAGCGGCTTGCGGGTGGTACGCAACGGCGCAAACATTTTACAATTTGTATAAGTTGTTTTGGTCGTAAAAGGATACGGTGGCCGCAGTGGAGGTGAAACAATGAGATTTCCGAAGAAAAGAAGCAGACAGACAAATTTTGTAAGATTTACGATTTCGAGTGAATTTTGACAGGTGAAGTTTTGTACTTATTACCACCGTAAAGTTCAGTTTTTAAGGCTTTCTTGTGTTGTGCGAACATCGAAATTGAGAGAAGTTGTTCACAATTTTTTCGGCTACGGATACTCATACGGATATTTTTGGGGGAAAAATCGTATGTTTTCGAAAAAAATTGACAGTATCCGAATATCGATATTTTGGAAGATCTATCGGACATTATAATAGGTCCGATAGACATTTTAAGGGTTAAATTTGACCTTAGTTTGCTCAATTTTATCAACAAAATTGGGCAAGAATTCATGAAAAGAAGTCTCAAAACTTTTTTAAATGTAATGGATACTGTAATAATTACTAACAATTTATAAGTCCTGATTCAAAGGATAAGCCGATGCTGGAATGTTTTTACCGCATTTTTTCTACAATTTTTTTTCCAAATTTTTCGGAATTGTCACTCAAAAGTATCCATATTCAATTTTCGGCAGAGATGTTCGGATGATGTCCGTATTCGTCTCCGTATTCGAATGGGCAATTTTCGACATATCTATATATATTCGTAGGCAATAAAAGATACAAATCACTGATTGAGAAATGTCCTTTTTCACACAGCTTCTGCAATTTTTCTCATTGAACACTTTGCTCGAAAAAACGTTCACTACCGTATGCCTTTGACCAGGATGATCTTTCAAGAATGGGGTGAAAAGTCATCGGTCTTTCGCGTCATAAGTGCGCCCAGGGCATCAATGTCAGCTCAAGATGCGTTTTTTTGGCGCCCGAAATTTGACCGCCCCTTTATGACTTTGCACTTCCACGAAGCCGGCGGCCGTCTGTTTGTTAAAGAAGGAGGCGCCCCGCAAAAACGGCCTCATTCCCCGCCGCCGGCTTGATCGGTCACTCTTCGAGCCCTCCAATTTCCTGCTTGCGAGCCCTCGATTCCCCCCGTTGACCACTGTCGTCATGCAGCTGAGCGGTGTCTGTGTTGCATTCGTCGTGCTGGTTGGACTGGTCGTGGCGCAGGAGCATCCCGAATGGGTTCAGGTGGATGAGAATAAGTGTGGAGGTTGCGAAAAGGAGCATTTTTGTTACAAACCCAAACAGTAAGTTTTTGGGGCCAAGAAGCTACTCAGCTTGCGTAACACAGATGTTGCCTAATAAATCGGAGAAAATTTTATTTATGCTTTAACTAAAAGCTTTAACTAAATGTTTCCAAGGCATAGTAGTCCGCTCGTAAAGTCGCTGGTGTGATTTCGGTGACATGCACTGTGCAGAAAAAGTCAAGGGCGACACATGAAAAACGCCACTGCACGGTGCAAAAAAACAGAGAGTTGCACAGTGCAAATGTAATTTTTGTTTTCTCACAGTGCGTGTCCTAAAAATCACTTCAGCAACTTTTCGAACAATTATTATCGACCGGAGTATGCAAGAGGTTTAGCCTTTGCGTTGCAGAAGTCCACGGGTTTTTGAGAGGGACCATAAACCATTTTTTTTCTATAGGGTTCTCCCTGTTTCTACTGTATGTAGAGCATGATGCTTGTTACAAAAACCGCACTTTTTTGAGGCAACAGCTAACGGCCAAAATTGTTTTTTCTTTTATGTTTTGGCAACTTTTACCGTTTTGAAAATTTCCGTTCCGTATGCGGCAAAGATTATTTCATATCTCGGTGCCCCTGGGAAAACACAAGCTAAAAATTTCTATAATTCAGGTGTATCCTATACGAAATTAGTTTCAAGCAAGTCGGAGGTCGACTGAAAAAGTTTCGCTGACTTTCTTTACCAGGAGCGCTTTGTAGTTGCGTTAAAAATTTCACCGCGATTTTTTTTGAAACCCGAAAAAAATGTCTGGCCCTCAGCTATCTATCAGAAAGAATTGCAACCTTATTGCGGGTTTCAGCTCCCATTTTTACGGTACTTTGAATTCCGTGCCGGAATTTGTGGGAAATTTGCGGACCCGCCTGACGCGTCATCAGGATTAAAACATCAGACCAGACACGCGCCCTCCATTCCACTACATTACAGGCGTCGCTGTTTATAATCGCGGCATCGACGTCAGCGCTGACGTAGGAAATAACAAATGTCTAAATCGGTAACGGCATTTGATGCGGCCGCGGCTGTCATAAATTTTCCGAAAAAAGATCGAGGAACAAGATCGTTGGTTGGGGTGACGAAACATTACTGTAGTCACGTTGCAAAAAAGATCTTTTTGTGACATTTAGTTTATGGACCCGTGAAAGGAAAAGGGCTAAAGGGGCTGTACTGGCTCTCTATCATCGGTACCAGTCAATTTCTTCTGCTGGTTTAGCCGATAAGCCGTCATTAACGCAGAAACAGGGGATTGAGCACTGTTTTCTTGTGATTCACTGTGTAAAGTTTTACAGTGCACGTTTACAATCGGTTTAGTTGCGCTTTTGCTCACTCTAGCTCATCGCTCTTTATGCTAGAGATCTTTCAAAAAAAAGCTCTTCCTTTAATAAGATTTTTTACATTAAAAAATGCAGTTATAAATTCTAATAAGGGCGGTTTCAGATTCGACTACCCCCGAATGTGTGTTCCCAAACAATTCGAGATCAATCTTTCATTCAAGAAGTCCCTAAACAAGTACTGTAAATCCGTTGTCAGCGATTTTTTTGAGACCCGCATGCAGCCTGTCAACCCGGCTTCCCGTGTTCGCCGATTGCTCTAGACAGCGGACTTTATTTTCTTCCAAAACTTATTATTTTTTTATGCCCAATGCTTACACTACTAATAAACTCGCTGCGGCTACTGAATTTGATAATATTTTTGTTAATTTCGATGATAATATCTAGTAAAATTTATTTTATATAATTGAAAAATACTTATTTTTTGTTACACTACTACTAATCCATTAAAAACAACGCGTAATCATTGGCATAAATCGAATGAAACAGCCTCCAATTCTCGGGTTGTCGAAGTTCATCGACCAAAAATGTATATTGTTGAGCATTTATTCGGTCGTCGAACCAGTCACGGCTCTCTTTTACTATTCCGTTGACGACCCGCGAAGGCGCCAGGTTACTGTAGAGAAGATTGACGAGATCATGAAGGAATTTGTCACGTTTACTTTCGTCCCACGGGTCCAGCACGACGTTCTCGGTGCGGAATGAGTCAGGGAGGTTGTTGCATTTCCTGAAGTTGCAAAGGTTTTGCGTAATCCTCTCTTATGAGGAGACGTTCCTTTCCTCGTAAGAAAGGACGTGTCCCAAGTGCCGCACACTGACTTTCTGTTGTGAAATTTTGGGCGCATATTGGGATGTGATAATTTCTAAAAATTTTAGCTCACGCTTTGCAAGAGCTGTCAAGATATTATCATAAAAGCACTTTGCTGAAGCTGTCAGCGCGTGCAATTCGGAGAGCATTCAGACTGTGCCATTTCTGGCCATAACTCCACCAATTTTGAGCAAAAAGGATTTTAATTTTGATTTTTTTGCGGAAAAGTAGCTTGCTCATGATACTAGACCGTTCGTGAAGTCACTATGATTTTGGTGACATTCACTGTGAGAAAACAAAAGCTCACTTTGCACTGTGCAGTTCTTGCTTTTTGCACCGTGCAATAAGCTTTTTGGGCTGTCACTTGCACCTTGACTTTTTCAGCGCAGTGCAGACACCAAAAAACTCCAGCGGTTTTGCGAACGGATTACTAGATATTAGGTTGTATAATATGTTATGACCATTTTCTTGCAAACGTTTGAAGTCGATTATTTCCTAGCTCAGATCCCTCCTTAGTTCAGCATACTTATAGACTAATAGAGGGCTTATCGAAGTTTCATCTAGTTCGTATTGCAAAGTCTTACGGCATAGCCGCGATTTTCTATTGCTAAAAACTCGGAAGTGCCCCGATTTTGACGGGGTACGAAACAACTCAAGTCACGTCTCCCAGCCGCTGCTGGTCTCAGATTGGTGTTATTATAATCTTCAAGGGTCGGAAAAGACACTGACACAGCATCGTTGCAAGGTAGCAGTGACAACTCATTTTATGAGCTGTTTTTCCGGAAGGTTACCGAAGCCGTCGCCTGAAAAAGCGTCTAAAAAGTTTAGCGCCCGGGGTTTCTATTGTCTATTGTTATAACTCGTACAGTGAGGGACCGGATCCAATGGCAAAAAACGTCCCACTTTGCATCCCGGAAGGGACCAAAATGTCTCCAAACCCTTCCCTTCTCTAAGCTAAAAAACTCCGTTTTGAAAAGCGCGCCCTTTCCTTCAAGGCGGGCTTTTCAAAGCAGAGTTTTTTAGCTTAGAGAAGGGAAGGGTTTGGAGTGATTTTGGCCCCTTCCAGGATGCGAAATGACACGTTTTTTGCCATTGGATCAGGTCCCTCACTGTAGTAATACGAGATCACATGCCTGTTGTCACACCAGACAAATTTTGGAGCATGCAATAATTGGAATCTTCAGAAAAATCTAAGAATTAGCAGAATTTTGGATCATCCAATTAAATTTCAATTTTTTAGAACTTAAAGTGCGAGGTTCGCCAACACTATGCCCCAACTGTGATTGTTTTCCCGTCGAGACGCGGGGGTCAGACTTGACACATATTTGTCAAGCGTTTCTCATGAAAAAATTTTTTTTCCGAGCTCGAAATTCGAGCGAATCAAGAGGAAGGTCAATTCTATCGATGGTGTAAGGTGAGTTCTTGCGTTTTTGTTGAGTTATTATGTAGGATAGGTCAGCGTCAAGCTTTGGCAAATGTGTTTATGTGGTTTTGGAAGACTTTTGAGTTATATTCTTCAAGTGAGCACGAATTTCAGGTATGCCCCGAATGCGCGTTTACGAAGTCGCAACCTTCTACACAATGTTGGAACCAGTGGGCAAATACTTCCTCCAGATGTGTGCTACGACACCATGTATACTTCGAGCAGCCGAATCCATCACCTAAAAGCTGATCATCAAGCCAGGTCAATCCAAATGGCGCAAGGTAAGCTTTTGAAGTTTTTTTTTTTTAATTTTAGGTGTTTTAGTTGGCTGTTGACTTGTTGTAGTAGGCATTGAGAACTGAATTTTCTACATATAGACAAGAGCGTAAAAATGCTTTGTGATGAATAACTGGTCAGCTAGGATGCGTCAGCTGTTGATAACCTTTTTGCAGATTTTTTGTCATAATTTTAAGTTGTCTTCTAAATCATTGTTCAATTTCAGGTATGACCTGAATGCGTTTTTACGATCCTCACGATATTCAACCGGGAACCAGTGAGCAAATACTTCGCGAAGATGCTACGAAGGGCCGAATCCATCATCGAAACCATCACCTGGGCATCAAACCATATCAGCCAGTATATTACAGCTTACCCAATACTATTGATAATTTTCGCGATTGTAAATAAATAAAATAAATAAATTGAATAATTGAACTTTTGTCAAGGGATTACTTGAGGAATGGAAACAAAGATTAATTTAAAGGAATTTGAATCAAATAACTGTAGTCTTCCTAGCTTGTACTTTAAAGTGGATGCGGTTCATGTAAATAATTAATTAATTACTCCTTACACCATCGATAAAATTGACCTTCCTCTTGATTCGCTCGAATTTCGAACTCGGAAAAAGAAATTTTTTCATGAGAAACACTTGACAAATATGTGTCAAGTCTGACCCCCCGCGTCTCGACGGGAAAACAATCACAGTTGGGGCATAGTGTTGGCGAACCTCGCACTTTAACAGCCGCAAACTCAAAGAACATATACTGTCGTTTTCGCCGAGGTATGTAGTGTATATAACCGCCAAAAACAGTTCTTCACAAGATGGCGCTAGCGCGTACTCAATAAAAGTTTTGAACTCTAGTCCATCGGCCCTCAAAATGTAACGATTTTAATGAAATTCCTTATTGTCACCTGATACAAGCTGTTTCTGATTTGAGTAGGCTATCAAAAAGCAACTCATAAGTGACTCTTTACAGCTGAACCATGTTATTTAAGGTGGGATTAATTCGAAACGAATCAGGGTTCATAACAATGAAGGTATACCTCAATTTATATTTTGAATAGTAAAGCTCAGGTAGGGGAGGTAGAGTTGATCCAGCGCAGCGTATGTAAAAGGGACGCCTCGAATGTCCTACAGAAGCATTGTCATTACTAGCCTCTCAGAATTCTCAGATTTAAGGCGTATTTTTGTTTTAGCACCTTGGGATGCCCTCATTTCTTAATTTTTTTCTCCGATGTTTTAGCCGGAGGCCGATGTGCTACTGGTTCCTGTAATCTACTGTCTCCACCCTACCCAGCGGTATGCTATTCAACTCTGAAAAAAGCATCATTAAAGTTTTAGGAATTTTAGAAAATTATGGTCATAACTTATTATACAACCTAATATAAGACTGGCATTTTTAATGCTTAAAGTTGCAAAAAGGCGTTGAATTTTCAGCAACTTTCGGGCTAAAGAACTCGGCTTAGCGCGGGCTAAAAATCTCGTACAGTGACGGACCTGATTCAGTGTCAAAAAGCGTACCATTTTGTATACAGGAAGTATCAAAAAATGTTGCAAAATGCCTCCATCTTCAACTAAAAAACTGCGTTTTCAGAGACGTACCCTTTTCCTCACAAAAATTGCTAGCGCGCTTCTGAAATCGGAGTTTTTTCACTTGAAAAGGGAGGTATTTTGCTACATTTTTTATACTTTTTGGATGCAAAATCCAGCGCTTTCCTCGACGGATCAAAAGACTGTTTTTTGAACCCCCTTCATTTTTTGGCATTTTATCACGTCCTTACCAATTCTGTGGCACAAATTCCATATCGAATGGCGTTGGAGTGGCGCCCTTCGCAATGTTTGCCAGCCGTTGGAGGATAATGTTCAGAACACAGGTCATTGTCGTGCACGAAAAGCAATTGCGAAGTGAGCTGAAACTTGAGAAAATTGGATAATTTTACATTTTTTTGTGTGGATCAAAAACCGTGACTCACTTTACACACCGACTATCGTAGGCCCTCAAGAATCGGTAAATCGGCTCTTGAAGAATAATCAAATTCATCCATTTCGAATTTTTTGAGGCCCTCAAAAGTGACGTCATCTTGGAAGGGGGGAAATGGGAGTCGTCGTTCTGGCAGATACTGAAGGTTGAGGTTGTAAAAAAATTGAAATTTAAGTTGCTAAATAGAGTAAAATCTCAGAGCGGCATAAAAAATTAATTTGTTATAGAAGAGTTTCGTTATATGGAGTCTTTTTTGACCTAAATTTGACCCTTGGGACCTCAAAAATATTTTGTTATAGACAGCTTTTGTTGTATGGTACTCCGTTGTACAGAGGTCCTATATAAAGAGTTTCATACACTGAATGATTAACTAACCTGTTACTATGATTATAATAATACAGAGCCATGTTTTTCCTCCGAAATTCCTTCCAATTGTGGAGCCAACAAGCAATTCCAGCAGTGTAGTCAAGAAGAAAGTCATCGGTGGTGCAAAAAGTGAATTGATATTGCTGAGATACCTAAAAAAAAATAAAGCATAAAAATTAATAACGGGGTGCTCAAAGTGAGGCGTCACATTTTAACAAGGCTTGGCAAAAAACTTGATTTTACATAGTTCAAAAAAGTGGCACAACTCCAAACTTTTTTTTTGAGTTTCCTCATGAAAATTGTTGGCCTTATTTCTGACGGATAGAGCAATGCCTATACAAAAAAATTATTTTTTTCCGCATGCAAATGGCAGAGATTTGGCCAAAAACCGTTTTTTCCTTCTGACTGCTCTCCGAAATTGCGTACTCTCTCATCAACAGGGATTTTCGAACATTGCGGCTTTGTTTGAAAGCGTGAGTTAAATTCTTCGGAAATTGATACCAGAAGTGTGCCAAATAAAAAGAAAATATGATTTTGAGACATCTCCACAAAAACTAAACCCCCAATGACAATATTCTCCCTCAGCATCCGAATTTTTCATACCGTTTAATCCGATATAAACCCCATTCTTCACTTACAAAATACCGCTGTTCCAGCTTGACGTACGGCGGCAATTTAGAAGCATTCTCCGGCTGTGGGCTGCGAAAGCCGCGCGAAGAAAAGTAGAATACCGTGAGAACGCCGCAAGCCAGGAAAACAACCCGACTCCGAGCGCATTGGGTCATTGTTTTCGGAACGTACAATAATTTTGTGTCGAAAACAGTGAAGAGCGAAAAGCCTGAAAGGCGGAAGGAAAGTAAATCCGCCGATTTGTCGAGGGCTGTTCACTGTTTCCGTTCCGAATCCTCCCCCCGAAAGCGAGCGGGCTATGCGGGGTTAAGCCGGCCTGACGGCGAGACGCTACAGCGTTATTAATGAAACAGAAACAGGAATATAAGTGAAAATGGTAGAAAATAGACACGAAACTTTCGAAAAATGCAATTTTTTCACAGAAACTATTGTAACATTACTCAAAGTGCAACAATCAGATTTTAATGAGAATTGGCATACGAAAGCCTAGATTAAAGATGTTCCCAGCTGGAATCCTTGCCCAAAATGTACCTCTATTGCAACTACAGGGTCTCAAAAAATATGTAGCTTGGATTTAAGCCCTCTCTGATGCCTAGTTTTGACGTAACGACCGATTACTGTATGGGCCTTAGCTAGAAACCTACAGTAGGTTAACGAAAGAATCAGAAAAAAATATTTGAGAAAGTAAGTTAATAGGTGCCTCCGGTGATTTTAGAACAAAAAAATCCTTTTTATTTTGCTACAAGACGGCAGATTCAGCGATTGAGAAATTGCGTTCTAATCTCAATTTACCATTTACGTGCCTATTTTTGTTATTCTCCTTCATTCGTTGATTAGTCTCTTTAAGAACTTTTTTGACTGTTCTATTTTTCATCGTGTTATAAAAAGTTTTAACAGCGACTGCTTCACATTGAAGTTGAACCTCCATTTGACCCTTATCACATTTTTTTCACAGTTTTTTCGATCGAAAGTTATTCCCAGGGCCAGAGATTTTTTAAAGATTCCATCAGAAGACCCAAGACAAATTACGCGCAAACGGTAAATAGCATGCGCCTCAAGGCGTCGAGTTTCTTTTCCTGGGAGTTTAACAATCTTCGACGGCGATGTTTAATAGAGCAATAACAAAATTGGAAGTTTTGTTCCGATTACGAAGTTTGCAGGCAGTCGAACTTGTAGTTGTTGTTAGACGAAGTCGCTGGGGACTTTTGTGGTTTTTTAAGCGTATTTTTGGCGATAGCGGGGAGTTGTTTGTGCTTGGTGTCATTCTATAATGACCATGAGATTAATATTTGCAGTAGCTTCCTTTTCTTTTTGGACAACGCAATATCGGTCTCTCTGCGTACAGTCAGACCATTACAGCGAATTGTATGGCACCAAACAAAAATCGTTGTGGCCTATAACCGAAGCTATATCTCGCTATTTTTCTAACCAAGACCGGCAAAAGTTCCGCTCATTCCATCACCTTCAAAAAATCAAAAGTCTCGGGGGAATGAAAAGGTGCGACCTGCGGAGGACATTTTATACAATGAACAATTGTTACGGCGCAGGCCTAGCTTAGGCTTAATCTAAGCCCAGATTAGTGCTTAGGCTTGCTGGCATTGACTTTTTTTTTGTGTGATGGCCAATCTGCAAAATTTTTTCCTCTAGTCGTTCTGTAAGCCCGCATTGCCTTGTCCTTTGAGTTTAGTTTACGTTTTGTAAGGTTTCCCGTGCTTAGTTGCTTAGTCGGCCACATTTATTTTTGCTTTCTCTTCAACGTGTTTCTACATATTTGCAGATGCTTTCAAAATATCACTACAGGGTGACAAATAAAAAATGCAACTTTTTTTCATGGGTCCTGCCGCGAAAATGTTTAGGTGTAGCGAAATATTTTTTATACCATTAAATTCTCCGTGTTTTTCTGTCCTAGTCTTTTGATTTTCATGCCCATATCGATTGATTATCATCTTTGTATTGAGTGTCAAACAGAGGGACCTCGATTTTAAACCTGTCTCGGGAAGAAAAAGGACAGTGTGAGATTGCTAAACTGCTCGGTGTAGGAAAATCTGCTATGCCAAAAGCCACCAAACGAATCCTCGAGCTTGGCCACGATGTTAAGTGTCCAGGAAATAGAAGAAAGCGCATCTTGAACACTTCTGGCAACTTTGATCATCAAAAAGCGAGTGAAGCAAAATCTGATGGTGTCCATGAAAAAGATTGCCCGGCAGACCGTCATCAACACAACAGCTGGTCGATGAATGGCCAGCAATGCACCGTAGCGCAAGCCTAACAAGCTCCAAAAGACCTAGCGCCTCACGGAACACTACAAGCAAGTACGGCTCAAAAAATGTCGAAAACTCAAGCGTCGCGCCGCAGCTCAGCGATGAGAGAAGGTCCTGTTCGCGGATGAGAAGTATTTCAACATCGAGCAGGCCTACAACCACCAGAATTGCAGGAGTTGGACTGTTGAGAGTCAAAAACCGTCCGCCATTTTTGAACCCAGTAAAAATCCGACCTCTCATGGCCTGGGGCAAAGTCTTGCGCCAGCGGCGTGATATCCTTGGTTTTCCTTGGTTTTCTTGGATAAAGGGGCCAGAACCAAACCGATAAGTCTACCAGCGACATTTTGTACACCATCGTGATTCCGTGGGCTCAGTAGCACTTTGGCGGTTCAAAACAGACACCGTAGCATGATTCCCCCATCAGCCATAAAGCAAAAAAGACGCAAGGCCAGGAAAGGACCTGTTTTCCCGATTTTATGTGGTCTGCGAAATGGCCGTCTACTCGCTGGATCTGAATCCGGTGGACTATGTTTTTTGTTGAGTTAGAAGCCAGGACCTCTAGTTCACGCCAAAAAAGTTTGGAGCCGCTAATTGATTGCTGCGGTAAGAACGGAACCGATTTCCCCAAAAAAAGCTTCGGCGAATCGGCCAAAATTTAAAGTCACGTTTTGAGCTCTATCTCGGGGCCAAGAACAGCCACCTTAAAACTGGTCGAGCATACTATTAACAATGCTCTATGTTACTGATATTCACCGTTACTTTGGTTAAGTTTGGTTTTTTAGACAAAATATGGCCATAAATATGAGTTGCATTTTTTCTTTGTCACCCTGTACATGCTTGTGATATTTTTCATTTTCACGTCGATGTCAACGATACAGTCTAAACCACAGTATGGCGGGTATTATTATGGAGGAAACAACGTTTACGGCGCCGGCTCTGCATACTACAATCGACCTTCGTACAGTGGCGGTGACACACAAATTTTTAGTGTTTCCTTTGGTACTGGGAATGGACTCAAGAGGTAGTTGCCATAATCAACTGTCTGTAGGCATGGAAAGAAAGAAAAGGGGGTGAAGAATGGCGTGTTATTGGACTTACATATCGGCTGTTAGCCGATATTTGTGGTGATATCGAATCATAGTTTATCTTCTTGTCTTCTTCACGCATTCTTATTGTACATATTTTCTCTCATAGAAAACGACACCAATCTGTGAGTGTAGCTTTTCACCATTTTCCGCAATCTCTCCTATAAAGTTCGTTGGCATTTTCTTTTGTGATTTGTTCCTAAATGTTTATACATTTTTGAACAAATCACATTGTACTCCTTTTGATTTCTCCACCACATTTTTTCTCCAAACTGCACTCATTTTTGTAACAGTCTCATTTCTCTGCTCCTCTCTTCGTCTCCAACACACTCTCTCTCGTTTTTCATTCTCCATTCTTCTCTCTTAACCTGATGGCCGTACTTTGCGCGGTCGAATTGTCACGTTATGTTGACTGAGATTGTCAATATTTTATGTGACCTTAGGCTACTATAATACAGGGTGCGGCAATTTTTCGGCCGGATTTGAATTGGCTATAACTTTTTTAGTTTTTATCCGAATGTTAAAATTCTTTTTTTCCCTGAATCCTCAGACAACCCCATTTTGTTTAATACCAAATATGTTATATATACAGGGACCTAGTTCATAGTTATTGGCCTTTCTGTCGTTTTCTATGCTTTTTCGGCGTGTGTGAAAATCGCCAGAAAAAACGACTTTTTTTACGAATTTTGTCGCAAAAAGTTTCATGCCGGTTCATGCCATGGAGAATACCGTTTCCACAAAAAATCAGCTATCTCCGCACAAAACTAGCGAAGATATAGCCAAAAAGTTTTTCTGTGTGACCACTCATGTGCCCTCCTGACCGCAAAGAATCGTTGAATATCTTGGTCGCCCCTGAAAGGTGCGGGCTGAAACTTTCAGGAATTGATGTGTGGCCTATGTCCGGCCCATGTGCAAAATTTTAAGAAAATCTGAGAGTCGCACTACGGGTAATTCCATTGTCAGCTATGAAAATTAGAACTTTTTCTTTGTCTCGAATTTTTACTGAAGTCTAATGAACGGATATAACATATTTGGTATTAAACAAAATGGGGTTGTCTATGGATTCAGGGAAAAAAAGAATTTTAACATTTGCCCAAAAACTAAACAAGTTATGGCCAATTAAAATCCGGCCGAAAAATTGCCGCACCCTGTATAATACAAACGGGGTCGTCGTGACTCTGCGCATTGATCTCTTGTGTATTTTTAGGGCTTTTTATGCTATCTTTGAAACATGATGTAGCGATAATAAATAGTTTACGATAATTTTCAATGAATAAACTTGCGAAACCGTAAAAAAAAAATTAAGAGGTAATAATTAAATAAATTTGTGCAGTAGAAATCACAAAGGCATGTAAATTGACAATTAATTTGTATATATTTACAAGTGTGCAAAGATTAGATTGTAAAGGATCTTGGTAAATACTATCCATCTTCTACGACAAACGTATCATCGGAATGTTGTGTTGAGAAACTGCAAGTGAAAACACACCGTAGAAGCGTCGGGAAAGCTTTTGGAAAAGATCGGCGTTGTTGTGATGAGGTGACGATCAAAACGAAATGAAAAGGCCAAGCGTTTGGAAATTTTAAGCAGCTATAGAAAGTATGTACTTTCCAAGACGATGGGTTGAAGCTTGACACTCTCAAGGGGCTATACCCCAAGTGCGGCGCTCAGATTTCCTCTAAATTTCGCACACACTTTGGGTGTATGCCTCATACGAATCCTTGAAAGTTTTAGCTCACGCTTTCCATCGACAGCCAAGATATGACCTTTGCGGCCGAGAGAGTACGCAACCATTTCATCAAAATATGACCGTTACGCTTGGAGTATTTTTTGTGCAGTTCCTCGTTAAATTTTTGCTACAAACCGCTTGCAAATCAGCCAAAATCTTCCTGAAAAAGATTCCTTTGTTATTACAGTGATTTCATTTTTTTCCTATCCGATAAATATTTATTACACAGTAATTCTTATATACACTTAAAGAAATTCTTGATTTATAAATTATTCCAAGTGATTGTCCACTCCTTTTCGCCTTGTTTCAAGTCAAACAAGCCCTGAGGGGATCTTAGACGAAGCAGTTTTGTGAATGGACTGTACGTGCTTTGTTGCTTGGACACCGTCACCGCTTTGCCATTCAACTTGACTGAATTGAAATCAACCGATTTGGGGTATCCGAAGACTTCAATCTCCTCGAATGGCTTCAGACCTTCAAAGTTCTGTGGGTTATTCTGTAACGAAATTCTCAGCGAAGCAACATTGTCGGCGATTGTGAAGTTGAAGGTGTAGTGTTGATGGTCGTACGTTCTTTGCCATCCATTTTCGGCCAAGAACTCGTTGTCGCCCTGATCCCAGAAGAGCTCTCCCTTGGCCAACACTTGTTTGTTGCTCAGGTCCTGCGGCAAGGTGACCAATAGTTGCATATTTCCCTTGCGACTGTCCCGAGTGGTCATCGCCGGCACTTGTCTTGGGATCACATGTCCGCAACGGACAAACACTGGGGCCGTCGAAGCCAGTTCGGCCTCAACCTGTCCAAAGCCATGCGACAACGAGCTGCCGTACTTTTTGCCGTACAAATTGTACCACGTGGCGCCGGGCGGAATGTAGGCTCGGACTTCGGAGACCTTCGAGAAGATGGCGGGCGCCACCATGATTGCGGGGCCCCACATGAACTGGTAGTTTAGTTCGTAGGCTTCTCGGTCCTTGGGGAATTCAAAGTAGACCGGACGAACCACAGTGCCACCTCGTTGGGAAGCAGCAAAATGAAGGGAATAGAGGTAAGGGAGATGGCGGTAACGGAAGGTGTTGGCTTGACGAGTGGCCTCAGCAACAGAGGGCCATTGCGCTGGGTCTTGAGGAGGATTGCCGATGGCGTTGTGGTTTCTGAAAAGGGAGTACGGTAAGTAAAGAAAACCAAAAGATTTTTAAATGTTTTCTTTTGTAAAGAAGCCTTACCTGTAGAAACTGTGGAACGCCCCCAACTGCTGCCACCTCAAGCACAACTCCTCCTCGGTTGGGTTGATAAATCCACAAACATCGGATCCCACAAACGGAATTCCGAAGATGTTGAACTCCTGAACCCCGATGACGGTCGTTCTCAAATCCTCCCATCTTGCCGTATTATCCCCGAGCCAATGCCCGCCGAAATGCCCGCTGCTGGGGAACGTGCTGCGACTAATGACTTGTCCTCTCTTTCCTGTGGCCTCTCTGAGCGCAGCGAACGTATCCACCGTCTCCTTCAGTCCATACAAGTTCTTGTTGTTGTAGAGCACATCTTTTCCCCGATTGGTGGTGGCCAACATGCACAGAGTGTTGCCGCACAACGGGTATCCCTCGCCATAAATGTAGGTGGCGAAAGTGGAGTAGGGCGGTTGATCCAGTGCGCCATCCGCGCCACTGCGCGGACACCAGAGTGGCTCAATGTTGGGATGGTCGGGGAGGTCGTAGTACCAGGGATGGTCGTCGTTGGTCGCGAACGCCGACGGCTCATTCATGTCAATCCAAAGGCCATCGAAAGCAACGCGGTCGTGGAACTGTTTAATCTCGCTTTTCCACCAATTCGCCGTCAAATTGGTGTCATCGAAAAAGTCGGGGAAAGCCACATGAGCGTCGGGCCACACTACTCCCAACATATCCAAGGAATCCTTGGTAAGAGGGTAGAGATCGTTGATTTTGTGCTGGACAAGGTCTTTGCGAGGCCAGCTCAAGAAACTGGCATTCTGACGGCGGCCGTTTTCAAAGGAAAAGTAGTTGACTTGGACCGCTGGGTCCAGGATTACGGTCAGATGCATCCCAATTTCGTTGAGTTCCTTGGCGTATTGAGGAAGTCCGGCCCATTTCTGAAGAAAAGAAGTAATTGAAAAAGACGTTTTAGAGACCTCTACAAAGGAAAACGACCCAGATATTGGCTCTACGTTTCTAATCTACCCCAAAACAGCTCTGAAAACTTACCTCTTGGCCAACAGTGAAGTCCTTGTACCTCTCCATATAATCGATATCCGGAATAATCGTATCAATCGGGATTCTGGCATTTCTCACCCTCGCTACCGTATCTTTCATATCCTGTAGACTGAGGAAGCCATATCGGCAGAGCTGGAAGCCCAACGCCCAATATGCCGGCAAATACGGGGTCCCAATGACTTGCTGATACTGCCTCACAACGTCCTCAGGCTTGGGGCCGGGGAAAAAGAAGACCTCAAATTGCCCACCGATTGCACGATAGACCAGATGTGGGCCTGGCCCGGTCGTCACTTCCTGAGCATGCGAATTTAGCACGAACACGCCGTGCGCATTCCCATTCTCTTCGATTCCAATGTAAAAGTTGTGCACACCGTACAAGTTCATGTAGTTTTCGTTGAGCGAATTTGGCGGCTGATCTCTGGCAAACATTGGCCAGGTCCGATACTTTTTCAGGTCATGCTGCAGGGTCTGATGGACATGCTCACCAAATCCATAGATCTTGTCGGTTGGGATGAGGGTTGCAATTTGAATATACTTGGAACCGAAGATTAGACCGCCTGAAGATTAATTTTTTATGTATATCTACAACAGATGGGTAAAATTTTTCCTCGGAGTTTTAGTTTTTCAGAGAGATCTAGAGAAGCCGTGTTTTTTTTGTCTAACTGACTCTCCGCATTGCATGCTCTTTCAAAAAAAGCTTGTTGAATATCTCATCTTCGCTGTTCAGGTATCAGTAGTGGCCTATGTACATTACGTATGCAAAATCTACAGCAAATCAAAAAATCCCGCATAGGGTACCCCATATCCAATGTCCCCAATTTGGACACCTTTCATGACTTAATGTCTTCCCCTATGATAGTATACAACAAATACCCCTAAAGTTCCACTTACCAATAGAGGTGTCCCAAATCCTCGCGCCAGTTGACTGCCTGGTCACGGTAAAGGCAAAAACATCACTATTCGTGTAGTTGAATACCAGCTTCTCCTCTGACTCGATTACAGGATTTTTGTTCAACAACAAGTCCGGTTCATAGGCATTTTCAGCGCCGATTTTGACTTTCAACCCGCTTCCAAGCTCGTCCGTTTCAATATTCAGCTTTTCAAACTCATCGCCGTAGGGGTTTTTCGGACTGTCCTTATTCTTCTCCAATTGGAATTTAGTGCTTGTTCCAACGGTCTGTTTGGTTTTTTGAATGTACCCGGTGTTCTGAGGGTAGTGGCAGAGGGGGATATTTCGGTCCGCCTAAAAGGTCAAAGGTCAGATTTGACATAGCTAAATTTTGGATGGAAAAACTGAGCAGTCTGATCACCGGAATAGACTCTTCGCTTTCGTTTTTTTACACTTCGTCTTGATTTCACAGAGAAGCAGAGAAAAGACGCGCAAAAAACGTACTCTCTCGCCTCAAAATTTCCCCATTTCTTCTTCGAGAAAAAGTTTTTTCGTGTCTTTTTTTTTTGCGAATTGCCAATTCATTCACGTTTTGCCCTATCTCAGTCTGACCTGAAGTGAGTAGAGTGCTCCACTTACCATTCCGTGAATGTTCCCCCAAACACATCCCTTCTGTTTGCACGACTCCTCCGTGGCGCCCGGCTTCGGCTCACAATCCACCCGCAGCAATGGATCCACATGCCCCAAGAACGCCTCCTTGACGCGATTCGACCGCAACGCAGTCGCACCCAGCACCACCGCCACCAACACAAGCAGACCCGACCGGATCCACATCGTCCGCCGCCTGCAAACAATCGAAATGAATGGAGGCAACGAGGCCGCTAATTTATTGGGCGCCTGATAAGTTGGCCAGCCCTGATAAACACTATCAATTCGAGGGAGAAATGTGGCTTTAACGGGAAAAATACCTCTGTTTCTTGTTTCATCATGTTCGATTTGGCGATAAGGCTGGAATGACGCTGAACAACCGGGATTTTTTAGGGCTTTTTTTAGCACAAAATTTTTCATTTTGAAAAAAAAATTCGTTGAATTTTCATTTTTTTTTGGATTTTTTCCAGACAAATTTTTTTAGATTTTTTTGTTTTTTCTCAAAATATTTGCTGTAGAAAATAAATTTTACACTAATTTTTTTACAACTAGTCAAAATATTTTTTTGAAAGTTGATCTTTGACCGAAACATTTTTTCAGAGCACTGATAATGTTTTTAAAAGTCACTTTACTTAAACGTTTTTGCCTTAATTTTTCGTTTCCAGAAAAGCCGAAGAATTCCACTTTTTGATTATTGAACTGTGTTACTGATAAGAACGTGAGGATGATTATGGATAGGATTAAAAAAGGAAAAGGTCAAAGTCTTGTGGCTACGTTTGTTATCAACACGTTGCGTAAGGGGAAAAGTGCAGAGATTTTCTGGGAAAGTGAGGCTTAAAAATTTAGAATTTGAAATGCAAAACTATTGCGCTTTGAAAATAATGGCGTATATTGTAAGTCTTTGCCAAGTCTCCGCCGAGCCTTCGCCGACTATCCAACGGCTCTACCAGGCCTCGTAGGCATTTTATACAACCTTTTTTAGGGTATCCACCTGTCCTAGGCTTCGTGTCGACCGATTTTGTGTTTACCCGAACTGCCGTCGACCCTAAAAGTCGGGATGCAAAAATAATTGACCAGAAAAAAGATTTTTGCTAATGTTTCCTGCTTGTGACATTCCCGGAGATCATTGCCCCCCGTTCGAACGCACGTAGTGATAACGCAGACTGCCTGAGGGTCAATTAAGCATTGTTTTCGTTTGTCTACTCTCCACGAGGCTGTCTGATAACTTCCGGAAGACCAATTTGTTCTGATTAAATTGCAGAAAATAAGGGCATACGCTGTATTCCTTGTCTTCTCCTCTCTCTTTTCCAGGGAAAACATAAAGTGCTGGATCGGGATAAGGAAGCTATGCTGTGCTCACAGAGGAACACTGGATTATTGTAATCGGATTGGCTTTACCGAAAACACAATACTTGTAAATTGCTTTTGAAACAACCGGGATTAGAGTTGCTTATTGCAAAGACAGCAATGAATCGGATTAGATTTGGTTTGGAATTCTAATAGAGGTTCCTTGTTGACGTTGACTACAAAACGGAGATTTCAAAATGTGATTCAATGGTGGAGACTGTGTATAGACCATCTGCAAAAATTAAAGAAAACCAGAACGTCGCGTTTGACACATTACTCATGTAGTAAAGAGGGAACAAGTATCGCAATGATCGTTGAATATATCGGCTGCGGCCCCAAACCGCAAGTTGAAATTTTCAGCATGTGTAAGGCATAGGCCAATGATTTGTCGCCTATGCCTTTACACAGCCTGTATTTTCTGTCGAGAAAATAATGAGCACAAGGCGTAGCTGAAAAATGGTGCGATTCTTGATGCGACTTAGTGGTCATTATTTTCCCGACAGACTGATAAAACCTTGTATTCCCAAAAGCAACATTTTCTTTCTTTGCTAGTTCTCATCTACGTTCTGTTTATGCCTGTAACAAAGTCCAATAAACTAAAATTTGTTTGCAAGTCCAAAAATGGAAAAAATCACAAACATCCAATTTTTTCACAAGGAAAGTACTTTTATGGGGGCTCCTACTTTTTGACGGGACATATCTCAAAAAATCAGAAAAAATGTGCTGATCAAGAATATATAGATCTTAGCTGCCCATTTTAGGTTTTTAGGGGTGAAAACTCAGTCGGAAGTTGACTTAAAGTCCTATATGAACCCCTTTTCGCTTAATTTTTTCAAAGGTTTACAATTTTTATTTTGGCTTAAAATGGTGTTTATTGAGTTTCTAAGACGTAATAAGACAGTCTTGGCCCAAAAATTTATTTTTCCGACCTTCAGCTTCAAAAAAAGTTGATTCAGCCCAAAAGGGAAATCGAACCTGTGCGGCGTCCCCCTTCTTGATTCCCAGACTACGGCACTAACCACTCGGCCACACCGCTCTCTTCCGAAGGAAGAGATCGAGTGCTCTTTTTATCGTTTCGAATGTCTGCCTTTTGTAGGGAAATTAAACCAGTTTTTGGGCATTTTCACCCTTAAAAACCTAAAATGGGCAGCTAAGATTTATATATCCTTGATCAGCGCATTTTTTCTGATTTTTTGAGATATGTCCCGTCAAAAAGTAGGAGCCCCCATAAAAGTACTTTCCTTGTCAGGAAGAACGTCATTGGTTTATCTCGGTTTTCTCTTAAAATTACTCTACCCAAAAATACAAACGTTCATAGTTCAAGTCTCAACCGTTTATGGAGCCATTTCTGGCCTATCCCCTGAGGCGTTTTATTATCAGCAATGCTGGAATGAGGCTACTCACTCGTTTTCCACTTCGTTTTCTTGCTCTTCCTCATTTTGTTGATCCTCGGGCGCCGTCATAATTTATATTCTTGAAGTGAAAAGAAGATGGATGAAGTGATTTGATGGATATATCGAATATAATATGTGTTATATGTTCTCTGAAAAGTGAAAAAAAAGTTTTAAAAAGATTTGCGATGAAGATGAAATAAAATTGATTAAACTCGAATGGGCCAAAAACATTTGGCGTTCGGAGAAAAAATCAAGTTGAAAGAAAGGTTGAGTGGCCAAAGAGGTCGTCTTTGAGGTTGTGAAAAAATGAGGCGACTTGGAATGTAACGGATTGGTCAAGGGGTTTTACGAATTTTGAAGGTGTTTTTATACGGGATGTTATCGAGGACGCGATACATAGATGATGATGAAAACTTGGCGAAGGATTTTAATTTTAAGCTTAAATTTTTTCTCGCGCAACACTGGCACAGACGTGGCCAATAAACCTGTCCCTGTACCCTCAAAAATCAAGCTAGCTTCGTATAAAATAGATTATAAAATCCAGAGTAAGCCAGCAAGTCGCCGTTCAAGCACTACCTTTATGAAAAACAGCATTCGACTTTCAAAACAATCGGCTGACTTTATCAATTTTCTCGGTTGTTTCTGAATTTAGATGAGTTTACATGCCTTTGCAGTAACTTTTATAATCGCATTTGAATACAAAACCAACGCCAACGTCATTGGAGAAATAACGTTGTCAAATCGCGGGTTGTGTCATTACATATTTAGAAAGAAAGCAGCTCGATTTGTGCCTGTATCTGTATGCTTCCTATATTTCTGATTTTACAATGAAATACGACGCTCATATTAGGTGTAAATCTTGCCCACGTATATACAGTGGAACTCAGAGAGGTAGCTAGGGGACCAAGGTTATTTTCAAAAGTTTTGCATGCCTCCCAAACGACCTTCCACACGGAAATTTTGGCCAGCTACGCCCCTGGTGGAACCCCTGTACAACAATACACATCTCTATAGAATTTTTTTGTTCCTTTGCGATTTGTTGTTCAAAGGTTAAACTGTATAGTTCCTGGGTCAATATTAGTCAATTTTACCTCAAACTCTACAAGGGCTATCGAGATACTAAACAATGTGTGCTGACGAGAGAGCAGATAAAATGCGGAGAGCGGCCAGAGAAAATGTTTGGTCGTATTTCTGAATATATTCCGATCGGAACATTTTACGTAAAAACCTGCCACTCGTAAGTTGAAAGTGATGGCCGTTTAGTTAACTAAAAGTTCGTTTATTATTATTATTTTTATTTATTACTCCCAAAAAATAATGCAAATTTGCCAATTTTGTACAAAGCTGCTATAAAATCTGTGCGTTGTATTTCGCGTATTTCCCTGTCAACAACATCTCTGCTTTTGCTTCGAAGCCTTATTTTTTCATTTCGGATACAATATATGGCATGCAAATAGTGGGATGACTTATATCTCCAACGAAAACATATTTCACCCCATCCTTTCATAACCTATAATACTATTTGTTCTTCGTTCCTCGTTCCTTCAATTTCACCGACGATAATCGGTTTACAAAATGGATTAAAGTAGTTCAAACGCTTTTACAAATAATTGCAAAAAAAATTGCAAAATTGTTTGCCATATACCCAGACTAAAACCCTTCAAAAAATTAGTTTTTTATGTCCAACTTTCTTGATCATTTTTTTCCACTCGGCCTTTGTTTTTTCATAAAGAAAGACGACTTGCGAACGCTCATAATTCCCGTTTTTTCGAACCCACTACCGATGTGTGAAAACATTTTGTTTATAGAGAGCTGCGTCTCAGGCAGACATGATGAGAATTCCGGCTGAGTGTTTTCGCAATGTTTTGCAATTTTTTGTAATCTCCGTTGGGATTAATGCTCTTCGGATCAGGGGAGATTTTTGGAAATTTTGGGGATTATTTGCAAGAGCAGACTGTCGTGGAACCATGTTTTATTACTTACGGCACTCTCAGATTTTAATGAAATTTGGCACAGGTTTAGATAACATTTTTAAGACATATCATTTTTTTCGCGCTTTGCAGAAACAATCTAGATTTTTAGCCCTAAAGTTTTTCCAAATTCGACTCCTTTTTGCCCGTTTGATAATAAAAAATCTAAAGAATGGCCAAAAAAATTTTTTTCTCTGACCGTTCTCAGCATTTTGGGCCCTCTCTCGGCGACAGAGCTCGTTGAAATCTTTAACTCCTCTGTAAACCCCCTTCAAATTTTCAAGATTCTTTTGGCCTAGTCCTACCTTGTATGCGAAATTAAAAGTAAATCTGAGCGTCGTCTTCTAGTACTTCCTTTTTCAGACCTGATTTTTTACTGTAATATTTTTCCGCATTTGTGCAACACCATATTCGCGAGATTTTATTGGGATATAGGGCAAATTATGATCATATTAGACAAGTGAATACCATAACATCGCTTGCTATACATGTACTCAAATTTTGAGGAATTGAAGTATGGCCTGCCTTCATCATCTATATCATACCCATAAAATTTGAAGAAACATTGGCACGTCGAGATCTTCCTCAGCTTCTCTAACATTTTCTGACCTTGCTTCTGATCTATTCCCGCTTTTTCTCGCAAAAAACTCCATAAGAATTGGGGCTCCTTTTGTGGCTGCTGTCATAGTCAATTATTAATCATCGGGAAGAAGAAAACAATACAATTTACTCCCCCTACTACCTTCCTTTCTTCCTTCCTCAAAATAATTTGTTGTTTATGAGAAAAAAATGAGAATGGCTTTTCGGAACTTTGTACTGGCCGTTCTTATTGAGTTATGGGAAAGGTTATACGATAAGTTTTATTTATCACAATCATATCCGCTCTGGAAGGTTAATAATGGCCCTGGCGAGTTTTCTGTTTTGTCCGCTGAAAGTTTGGTGAGTACCACTGAAAATTTGGTGCCTTACTGAAACATAGTCGCTCTTAGAAAACCGGCAGAGCAATGCGTATGCATTGCTGGAGCGGCGGGTTCAGTGGGTGAAAGATTACGGAGCTACCCTTGGCCAACTCTTTGCAGAGGCCAAGATAAGGCTGTATTGAAGTTTTTTTCTGTGGTTCGCCCTGACAGCGTTGACTGGCATCGTCAAAGCTTCAAAAAAATCTTTGCAGGTCATCCGCTGACCGCCACTGTCGAGTGATTTCGCTGACTTTAGACAAGGGGATTTGCGCAAAGCCGATGATACTCTTATTGGCAATCAAAGGTTTTGGTCATAAAATAGACCCAGAAACAAAACTAACATAGTGAGAAAAGTCTTGGGGACGTAACTATCCTGCTCTTCAAACTTTGATTATCGTGTTTCAAACTTGCAATCATCTGATATAAAAGCAAATCGTAATGTTATTTAGGCATTACATGCCCAGTGATGAATCTCTCCTCCGATCGATCAGCACGACAGAAACGGAAGGCTCGTCGGTGACAGGACGTTCGATAAAGAAAAGTAGCCATCCTAAGAACGATCTTGATCAGAGTGTCTGGAAGATCGCCTCGATTTTCCTTTTCTGCGCACTTGGCTGGGCTCTGTCAATCATCGTGTTGGTGCTGTTGCATAAAGACCCTTGCCCAAATACACCTATAAGTCCAAAAAATGAAGAAGATGTTACGAATGAGCCAAAGATTTTTGTGATAACTCCAACGTACGCAAGGCCTGAACGAATGGCAGATCTAACAATGTAAGTCAGGGTACTTTTTCTCTGAGGACTTCTACATATTATAAAATGGACACAGGCTTTCTAAGGCCTATAAAGCGTGAGCTACAATGTCCATTTTTCAAACACCAGCCAAAAAATATTACACAATTTTCACGTTAAGGTTAGCCCAAGTCCTAATGCACGTAAAAAACCTCCATTGGCTTGTGGTTGAGGATGGTGGGCGAATTGCTGAGCCCGTCGCGAGACTTCTTCAACGTTCCAACATCGAGCACACCTATTTCTCAGCTGTTACTCCCGATTACTTACCAAGTAACCTATCATTTTGATTTCTTTGGACTTCTCAGCGTTTCAGTTTATCAATTCCCTTTCAGAGCGAGGCTGGGCCCAACGAAACGCCGCCTTATTCCATCTACGAGACCAGTATATAAACTACAAGGATCAGGCGTTAGTCTACTTCGCCGATGATGACAATTCCTACGATCACCGGGTATTTCACGAGTACATTCGGAAGGTCAAGAGGCTTGGAGTTTGGGCGGTCGGTAAGTACAGAAACTCCTTCAAAAGCGCTTTATAACTCATGCTAACAACCTCATTTTTGTTCTACTTCCAGGTCTTGCCGGAACATCCCGTGTTGAAGCTCCCAGAGTCGAAAATAACACAGTCGTTGGCTGGGACGTCTATTATCGACCGCACCGCAAATACGCAGTGGATATGGCTGGATTTGCTGTCTCTCTTCGGCTGGTTCTGCGAAGTTTGTAAGCCCAAACATACGAGCATAAGATTTAACAACGGGTTTTATGCAAATCAAAACTTTTTCAGAGCCCTGTTCGGCAAAGAATGTGTTGGCCACGACCCTGAAGACTGCTTCCTTCGGCAACTCTCTGTACCAATGAATGAGTTGGAGCCGTTTGGCTGCGATAACGATCCCAAAGACATTTTGGTCTGGCATACAAAAACAGTCGTTAGCAAAATGCGAGGAGAGACTTATGGATATGTGTTTGAGGAGAAGAACGTGTGATGTCTTTTACATTATTGCGCACACATTGTTGCGGGGAGGGCTAGGTTAAGTCCCTTTTACTTACCGTGCTTAGAAAGATCTACTCCAATTCGTTAGACAAATTGCCTAAAAACTGGCCCGAATACATGTGTTATTAGGCAACATATTAGTAAGAGTGGAACAGTAGCGAACCAAAGAAGTGGAGTGTTCTGGAATGGGTGAATGAGTGTCTAATTGGTTTTAAACTTTTTATATGTGTTCTGTACAGTGACGGATCTGATCCGGTGGCAAGAACGTACCATTTTGCATCCGGGAAGTATCAAAAATGTGGCAGAATACCTCCCCCTCCAAGTGAAAAGACTCCTATTTCAAAAGCGCGCCCGCTCTCTTGTGAAGGAAGGGCCAGCTCAAAGTGGGGATTTTCAGTTGGAGATGGAGGCATTTCGCCACATTTATGATACTTCCAGGATGCAAAATGGAACCTTTTTTCCGATTCTATCAAGTCCGTCACCGTATTTTTTCTTCTGTTTTATTCTGATACCATCTTTGGATTACATATACTATACTATTGCATATAGACTAGAAATCAAATATCTATCATTGTACGGGTCATCCTTTCCCATGGTCCTATTTTTTCATACTTTAAAAGTTGTGATATAGCATCAGTAGCATTGTAATATTATTATTATGGAACGCTAACTTTATAAAATTCCATATTCCGAATCTCAAACCGGATTTATTTCATTTTTCAAATCGGACATGTTTTCAAATACCAGGTACACACAGAATAAAATTTTACAAATGCAATTATTCAACAGACAATTTTGGACATTTTTTACTACAAAACCGTTGTATGTATACAGTAATCCCCCGTTGTATGGCGATAGAAAGGTCAAATACAGTCAAAATTTTGTATAATAGACACAAGAGGCAAAGACGCAACAAAAATTCGACCAAATTTCGGCATCCTATCCACTTTTCATGAAGCCGTTGCTCTGGTTGTTGTTGATCCTATCGTAACTAATGGACTTCAAGTGCAGCCCGCCGTTGTGGAGACTGAGCGTCTCCGAGTCGGGGATCAGGGTCCGCCTGTCGATATGACCGACATATTTCGCGAAACGACTGAGTAAAAAGGTCGAAACACTGGCGCCAATTATTGCATTCGCCCAGGTGGGAAGTCTGGAAATAAAGGAAGGTAAATTGGAGACGTTGGTGGTGTTGATATCATAAAAATGAAATATGTGATTCGCCTATGCCACACATCCATTATACGCAGTGACGGACCTGATCCAGCGGCAAAAAACATACGATTTTGCATCCGTGAAGTGTCAAAAATGTCGCAAAATACCCCCCTCTCCATGTGAAAAAACTCCGATTTCAAAAGCGCTCTGGCTGTTTTTGTGAGGAAGCCTTCAAAGCGTAGTTTTTTAGTTGAAGAGGGAGGCATTTTGCTACATTTTTTTGATACCTCCTGGATGCAAAATGGTACGCTTTTTGACACTGGATCAAAGTCCGCCACTGTACGTGACTCTTAGCTCGCGATTAGCCGAGTTCTTTAGCCAGAAGTTGTGGCGGACCTAATGCAATGGCAAAAAACGAACCATTTTGCATCCGGGAAGTAAAAAAAAATGCAGCAAAATATCTCAATATTCAACTAAAAAAATCCCCTGCTTTTTGAAATCGGAGTCTTTTCCCTTAAAGACGGAGGTATTTTTCGACATTTTTGATACTTCGCAGACGCAAAACGGCACGTTTGTTGCCACTGGAAAAGGTCCCGCACCGCAGATGAATAAATTCAAAAAATCTTTCTTGCTAACTTTCGTCCTAAAAAATCTCGGTCGGTTTGCGCAATACAGAATCTTCGTATTAAAAAAGTAAAAACAAAAACTTGATTACAATCCCCAAACTCACTTCTTAGGCAGTAGGGATTTGAGTAGAACAGAGAACATTAGAGAGCCAAAATTGAAAATAACGGAAGAGAAGACGCTGAATTCGATCCGATCCCACATATTTAGTCGGATCATGTGCTTACGGAAAAATACATAGAAGCCAATGCCCACGTGGGTGTTGAACAATACTGTATTACTAACAGCTAGATCGTAGGTGGGACACACTCTGAAAAATAACAAAAAAAGTGATTTTTTAGGCAAACTCTTTTGAAGTGTTTAAATTTAGTTTTTTTAATCATAATTTTTTTAAACAAGGCAATTTTCCCTTACCGTCCCAATAGTTGCGGGGCAAAAATGTGTGTGGTAAATGCGACATGAGAAACGATTCCACTGATCGGCACGTAATGCCTCAAAAACGTGGACTTTGTGAGTGTGGGAAAGTAGTCTTCTCGTATTCGAGCCAACTGCGTCCGCCAGTCCATCCCCTGGAACATACTGCGACTTCAATAGTAATTTAGGTGGATATGAAATTTATACGGGTGAAAAAACGCGGGGAAAGATTCATGACGAAAAAAATGGAGACATTTATAGCACAATCCGAATAGGCCACAAATAAATCGCCAAAAATTTTAGATCCCTCTTTGCGGTTGTAGCGGAGATATGAAGCAGTAAATATTTTTGGGAAGGGTAGGGAAGATGAGGAGAGTTGGCAAGACGAAAAACGTTGCTATTATATACTTTAGCGAACCTCGCATAGGCAAGAAAGGTTTTTGTGGAGGAAATATGCGATTCCATTGTAACAGAGCACGTTTATTCAAGTTCAAAATTTCAAAAAAAAGTTTAAGTACATATTTTTGCGATTTTTTTACTGAAAATCTTGATGGTCCATGAATTTTGGGTATGTCTTACATATGACAACTATTTCAAAATTTATTTTAATTTCACAATTTTTCAATACAAAAATCCGCGTCACTTTTCGGGTTAACACAAAATCGATAGATACGGGGCTTTTGGCAGGTGGAAACCCAAAAAGAGGTTGTAGCGTACGCTCGCCGAAGGCTCGGCGGAGGCTTGGCGAAGACTTGGGATATGCCTGTCTTTTCTAATTTTGGCTATTACTAATTTTAATTTTCTTTATTCTGAGTTATTGTAAAAAAATGTGGCAAACAATTCACAAAACTGTTATCAAATTTTGATCCAAAACTGTTCCAAACCTCATAAAAAACCAACTCTGTAAACATTGAACAATTCCTCCAGACAAAACTCATCCTTTTCCCCTCTGGCAACAAACCCCTTTCGGTCCTCCCAACCCGACAAAACACCTCTTCCGAACGTCCCTCCATAAATTAATTGTCAAGAAAAAAAACAAGCGATTGTCTGTGCAAAAAGCCCACTTCCGCGAAGCGAACGGAAATTTATCGGTCGATTAATTAAAACGCCCGGCACATGTGCATCGATCATGCGGCGGAATGGGCTCTGTACCCTTATTTTTTGTGCTTTTTATGATCGCAGATCACAAAAAATAAAGTTCTAGAAGTTCTTCTTTGCAGGTGTCAAAGTATAGATTATACTCCTCGACTTAGTTCCTTTACAATAGTAATAGTGATTATTTGCCCGGTCTAACATGTTTTTCATAAAGTTTAATTGGATTATCGTCAACGTCTTCATTAGAATACAATTTTTCACCCTTGTAAAACGTGAGGTGAAATTTTCAGGCATTGAGATGCACTTGATTGCAGTGAATGGAGAAGTCTGATGGATTGTATAAAATATTGTGGTCATTTCTTACCGAGCTTACCATTTTTTGGTCCGCATACTGGGCACACGGTGGCGGATCTGATTCAGTGGCAAAAAACGTACCATTTTGCATCCGGGAAGTATCAAAAATGCGGCGAAATGCCTCCCTCTCCAAGTGGAAACACTCCAATTTCAAAAGCGCAACCCGCTGACAAAGGATGCGCCCTTCAAAACGGAGTTTTTTAGCTGGAGAAGGAGGCATTTTGCTGCATTTTTGATACTTCCTGGATGCAAAATGGTGTGTCTTTTGCCACTAGATCAGGTCCGCCACCGTATGCCCGATATTCGGACCAAAAAAGAGTAAGATCGGTAAGAAAAAACCACAATATTTTCTACAATCCATCAGACTTCTCCATTCCTCACAATCTTTATATTTTTTTACAAAAAAAGCTATGGCAATCACAAAGAAATTAAAAAATAAATTGATAAGCCAGTCGGCAAATAAAAAACGTTTCTTTTTACAAAAGCAGCAAGAAACAATACACAAAGATAAATATTTTACGATCAACGAACCCTTAGAGGCAATCTTAATGGACTGTTATTGATAAATATGAAAACAGTAACAAAAATAAAAAAACAGAATTTTAAGATACAACTCACGATGACAGTACTTTAAAGTGAACCCCAAAATTCAAGGAGTTGAAAAACACCATTTTTTGAGCGATGTTTTCGACTACTCACGGCGAAAATGACAGACTAACCCACAAAAAGACGGAGAGATTCTCGAGTAAAGGATGAGATCCCAATAATGTCAGGTGTTGTTATTGGCACTCAAAAGATTGCGAACACGAAAAAATAGATTCCGACTTACGTCATAAATTGAGAAATAAGGGGAATCAAGAATTTGGAAGAGTGTTTTATGGGGGTGAGACGGGATTTTTGGGAGATCAAACCATTTTTTGGGCAAAAATGGGATCAAAAGTTCGTCAAGGTATGTTGCGTAATCTCTGGAAACCATTTTCACATATTTTTCAAAAAAATTTTTTTAGCTTTTCGCCGCAAAAAAACAACAAAAAATCAGAAAAAGAAGAAAAAATTAACCGGAATGCAACCCGGATTTCTCTTACTCACTTTGTCTTCTAAAGTACCCTAAACGGAATTACAAATTCCCCTTTTTCACTCAACCGGGAAAATCAAATGTTTAGAGCCGAAAAAACGCAAGGGAAATTTCGAAATCACAAAAAATGAAACGTTTTGGAATTTGTTCCACCACTTGTAAAAAAGAGAATGATGCAAAAAAAATAAATTGGAAATTAAAAACGAATTCTTTTCTGCAAGAAATTCAAAAAATTTGCTTTTTTTCTTCAAAAAATTAAGAAATTTTTGCCCAAAAATCCCATAAATCCAATTTTTTTGTCGAAAAATCGAATGGTCAAATTCAAGCTCAAGAAAATTAAAATTTTTGTCAAAAAATCCCAAATTTTTCCTCAAAAAATTTTAAAATTTTCCTGTAAAAATTTTTCGAAATCCCAAAATTTTCTCGGGAGAAATTTTTCCCCCCAAAAAACCTCAATTTTCCACAAAAACATTTTTGTTTTTCGGAACAAAAATAATATAAATAAATACAAACCCTTCCTCCCCAAGGTCTCTTTAATCAGAAATATTTAATGACCGTGAACAACTCAAAACGGGTGGTGAAAAAACGTAATCAGCAATCACACTGCGAACAAAAAATTCGACGATTGAAGTCGTATTTTGGAGTCTGTTTTAATGGAGTCGGGTGGAAATTTTCGGAAGAAAATAAATAGAATCTGCGATGATCTGAGGCAGTGGTGGTCAGCAGTATTTTTAAGGACATCCGGTACGCGGCCGGGCTCGTCTTTCTAGGCGCAGGACTGTGTTGGCCCGACCAGTGCGAGGTACAAAATCTATTTTGATCTTACAGCCCGTTTGGTGCCAAAAAAAGTGCTCTCAAATGTAATATATTACAATACTTGCCTTACTTTTGGATCCTAATGGTTTAAAAAGGTTCAAAACTAGAAAATTGTATTAACACATGAGCTACAACAACTACAGTGGCGGACCTGAACCAGTGGCGAAAAACGTACCATTTTGCATCCAGAAAGTAACAAAAATGTGGCAAAATACCTCACTCTTCAAGTGAAAAAACTCCGTTTTGAAGGGCCGCGCCCTTTACCCCACAAAAATAGCGGACGTTCTGTTGAAAGCAGAGTCTTTTCAGGGAGGTATTTTGCCACATTTTTGATACTTTCCGGATACAAAATGGTACGTTTTTTGCCACTGGACAAGAAATTTTTCCGACTGAAAAACATATTTATGTAATTCGTACGGCTTGACACTCAAAATACCCCCTAAAGCCGGTCCCGAAGACTCAAATCGCGGCCCGGCCCGTCAAATTACAGGTTCTCTCAAAATGCAAAAAAAAAATCAAAGAAAAAATAAAAGTTACACAAAAATATTTTTCAATCTAAATTTATCCCAAAGTTCATCAAAATCAACCATAAAAAATATCTAAAAAATTTTCCCTTAAAAAATCAAAGTTCCCTCTAGCCTTTTCCCACAATAAACCAATTCCCCTTCAAAGACCTCGATCAAACACCGAGGCTATTGTAGGACCTCATGCAAATGAAGTTCCGTTTCGCACTGACACGTTGAGCTGAGTCAGGAACGCTGAGAACAAGAGAGGGTCGTCTCGCGGAGAACTATTTGCCCAACAATCGAAAAGAGTCATTAAAAACGGCCGATGTTTGTGTCCTTCAACTTATTTTATGCTCTTTTCTGGAAGAATGGAACGCTTTCTTCCTGTTTTCAACTATTTTGAACCATTAGAAACAAGTCTTCGAGCAAAAAAGAATTTTTTAAAAAGTATAAAAATTGGGAAAATAGGGAAATTTTAATTTCTTTTTTCTCGGAGCGAAAACCACCAGTTTTCTTCCAATTTTTCTCACATAATCTACCTGCAATGGCGGACCTGATCCAGTGGCAAAAAACGTATCATTTTGGACCCAGGAAGTGTCAAAAAATGTAGCAAAATACCTCCTTCTCCAACTAAAAAACTCCGGTTTCAAAAGCGCGCCCACTCTTTTTTTGAGGCACGCCCTTCAAAAACGCAGTTTTTTCACTCGGAGAGGGAGGCATTTTGCCACATTTTTTGATACTTCCCGGATGCAAAATGGTACGTTTTTTGCCACTGGATCAGGTCCCCCCTGTAGGTACATTATGTGAGAAAAATTGGAAGAAAACCGGAGGCTTTCGCTTCGAAAAAAAAGAAACTTAAAATTTCATTTCCGCAACTATCATACTTTTAAAAAAAAATTTCTTGCTCGAAGACTTGTTTCTACTGGTTCAAAATAGTGGTAAAGAGGAAAAAATAGTTCCATTCTTCCAGAAAAGAGCATAAAATAAGTTGAAGGACACAAACATCGGCCGTTTTTAATGACTCTTTTCGATTGTTGGCACTGTATGCCTTGTTTCAATTGCTAAAAATTTTAGCTTTCTCTTGGAAGAGCCAGTCGAGAAACTCAACGATCTTTGCAGGGGAGAAACCATGGAAAATTTAGTTTCATAAAAATTTTTAAAAAAATCAAAATTTTTTTAATTTTTTCTCAAAAAATCCCCAAATTTTGACCACTGTCCAACCAAAAGCCCACTTAAAAACCGCGCGCAGAAAAAAATGAAACCGATCTTTGAGATTCGGATCAAATTTACTGATTTTTCGAAGCGAACAAAAAAAGCAAGGTCACTGAGTAACCGAAAAAAAGAAGTAAAAGGCCGTTTCGAAGACGGGGACAATACTTTTTAAAAACGTTTTTTCTCTTTTTTGGGATCGTAAATCTGCGCAAGAAAACAGTGAAAAACAAATAACGGCTGTTTACGAATTCGGCAGACTGAACTTTGAGACGAGGAAGTTCTGTGCTGTTTTCAAGGGAATAAGATTATATTTTTTTATATAATAAATATTTAAAATGGGAAATTGGATAAAAACGGGGCTGAAATGTGTATTTTTGAAGAGAAATTGGGGAAATTTTGATTTTTTAGAGATTTTATAGATGTAAAATTAAATTTTTGTGGCAAAAATCGTGTCTACTACGATTTGTTACCCCACTGAAGTCTATAAAAATAAAAAAATGTGGAAATACACTAAATTTTTTCAAAAAATAACAAAAATTGTCAAAAAATACCAATTTTCCCAAAATTCCCTCAAAACATGACGTCATCATCATTTTTAAAGACTCTTAAAATAATTCTAAACCCCTCCCACGCCTTGACTTTTAATTTCTACCCCTTTTGCAACGTGTAATTTATCTTTTTCCCTCAAAATTTTACGAAAGTTCAAAAAAAATCGAAAAATTTCCGCTAAACCCTCCAAAAAGTCAATCAAAAATTAAACCAGCCCTCCCAATCAGCGGCTGGCTCGATGTCTGCTCAAGCGGTAGTCAAGTTCCGTCGCTGATAACAAAAAAATAACCCGAAAAAAAAGAAACAAACGCAAAAATCCGGGTTTTCGGAGAGAATTTTTGCGAAAAAGCGCCGAAAAAAGCCGAGGCCGAGGCAAAACGCGAGAAAAACAATTCGTCTACGCCCTCAGCCCCATGGGAAAGCCGGTTGGCAGGGTTAATTAGAAAAAAGAACACAAGTTCTACGCGATTTACCATTTTTTTGCGTTTCTATGCTAACTTAAGCGGAAAAAAAGGTAAAAACAGCCAATTATACGGGGAGAACTTGATGAGGTCGGTGTTGTAAAGTGTGGGTAATCGAGCAGGCTGTAGATTGAATGAAAATACAGCTTTGTTTTAGGGTTTTAGGACCTTTTTTGGACAAGAAATCATCATTTTCACTGAAAATTTCAAGTTTTTCTCGAAAATCGAATTTTTTCAGGGTAAATCGCCAAAAGTAAAGAAAAAATTATTGTACAATTACTTTAAAACGTATTTTAAAATTTAAATTCCTTTTTAAACCCATTTTTATCATCAAAATCCAAAATTTAACAAAAAATCTCAAAATTTTCCCAAAAATGCTACAATTTCATTGAATTAACCACCATTTTGAACTCATTAATCATATTAAAAAGGAACACTTGCAACATTTTCCCCGGAAATCATCATTTCAAACTTCAAGAATCCCGATTTACAGTAGAAAAAAACTTTTAGGTCCAAAACTTTTTTAAACCGCAAGTTAGACCTTTATAGAGGTCGTAATCCCCGCTGTCAATGCTCCCTAAGTTACAAGATGGTCTGATATCCTGCAGACAGTCCTTAATTTGCTTCAAGGTTTTTGGAGAAAATTTGATTTTTCACCATTTTTGAAAAAAAATCATCGTTTTTTGAATAAGACCTCAAAAAACAGTATGTATTACAATTTTTAGATAGCTATAAAGTAACAAAAATCCAGCTGAAATATCAATAATCTAGTATTCATTACTTTTTCCGCTCAAAAATCTCATTTCTCCGCAAAAAAATTTATTTTTTTGCAAAACAACATTAAATGGGCAGTGCAATATGAAAAAAGGTTATAAATACTATAAATAGCTGTTTACAATCAGCGAATTGTCACAGTAATCATCGGAATTGCATTCTTGTGAGGACGGTCATGTAGCCAGTGTCGGAGGAGACAAGAATTGAGCGGGATGAGAGATCAAAACTGGTGAGGAGCTTGGGTTCCTCGCTCAACAACGTGTTCAAATCCACGCTGTTCCAAGCCGAGGTTGTTAGCCACGCGTTGACTTGGCGATTTTCGATGTATGGAACGGAAGTTCTGGGGAAATATAGATCATTTTGAGAAAACATTAAATTTTTTGCCTAGTGTAATATAAAATAATATAAAAAGAAGAAAAAAACGCAAACCCTCGCTCAAAAGATAATTTTATAGTTAGAAAATAGTATGAACTTACTTTGTATGCCGAGTTTCCATCACATCCAGATGTAAAAGGCTTTCATTCGACAAGGCAAAGCAATTTCCACCAAAACTTGGATGGAATTTTAACTGAAAATGACAAAAATAATATTATAAACCTTTCAAGAGCCTCCAAATTGTTTCCTTCTCACCACAATATACCACCTAATAAACTCTTAGACACCCAAACTTACATCACTTATCGGGAATTTGCTCAATTTCAAAAACGAAGCAATTGGCGCCCTCGTATTTCTGATGTCCATAAATGCAACTGAACCTGATTGGATTCCAAAGGCTAACTAAAAGCAAGAAACTAAAAAATCCTTTAATAACATACCACGTTCGGCTGGGAAGGATGTGAAGCAATAGCTGTTACAGCGTCTAGCAAAGTTCCAGTATGTTTACTTGAGATCGGAGTCTCGCCCGTTACCATGGTGGGATTTACTTGTCGCAGATCCCATAAATGAATTTGTCCAGTCCCGTGCCCACTTACGAATTCGAACGGACCACAATTCGTTGTGCAGTGGACAGCAGAAAGACCCTGAAACAAATTTTCCATAACATTGAACATGGTGAATATAATTTCTTCCAAAAACTCACCTAAAAACCAAATAAAGATAATGAAAATCATACCGTAGAGAGAACTGAGGGCTGAGAAGCTCCTGTTAAATCCATTCGCATCAGATCTCCCGAATCGGAGCCGGAAATGATCTCGCCATCGCAGACTACGATCGAAGTTGAACTGAAGCCCTTGTGGACATTGTGGAATGTGTTAACCCGGGAAATTGCATTGCTCGCAACTTGACACACCTCAACAGTTCCGTTCTCTAGCCCAGCAACAACGGTGTTCTTGGCTTCGACACTACAACAATTTTTTTATATTATCTATGATGCAGATCTAAAAATCAAGGAAAAATGAATGGTGAACTCACAAAACATCGTTGATGCTGTCAGTGACAAAGACGTCGTTCCTCTTGTAGAAGTACTCAATGTCCTTGAGGTCTAGACCTCCATTATAGACGTTCAGCAAGGAAAGCCGGTTCTTTTGTCCGTCCCATGTCGCGGACACGTAAACATCGACATTGTTCCCCATACTGTTCAAATATCTGACCCGAGATACCTTCGATCCAACGAACACCGTCTTTGAAACAGCTCCAGCTTCATTTAATGCGCCTTTCCGGGCTTTGATTAACACCATTCTGATCTGAAAGGAAGGTTAGTCAAATTAATGCGTTAGATAATATAAATTGGTTTAAAATAAGTTAAAATTCGCGATTAGTACACAGCTTTTGGCCAAGATGATCAGCAAGTTCTCCAAATCTGCTAGACCAAAATTTGGGCGCGCAAAAAAAATAAATTTTCTTTTTGCGCAAGCTGCGTCCGAGATTCGGCAAGCTGGAGGGACATTTTATACGAGAAATAAGCTCCCTCGATAAAAAATTTTGTTTTTGGGTATAATTGATGTCGAGACGTCTATTACTCTAGTCAGAAGGCAAAGTTCAGTCATTTATGACCAATATTTCGTCGACTTCAACATGAAAATCACTAAATTTTACGAATTTTGCTCAAAATCGGCCCTAAAACGATGTAATTTGCGGTAATTTGCGATAAACTCAACATCATCTTCTTTAGTAGTCCTCTTCCGTTCGTTTCCAACAACTCGCCCTCAATAATCCGTGAAATTTCGAAAGATTTCTCCTTATCGTAGTCGCCTCTCCCTTTGATTTTCGCAATTTTCAATTTTTTTATGTTTTATGTGTATGTTGTAGCCACAAAAAGACGGATTAGGTTTTTAACAGGTCTGCAGTCACTTGAAAGAAGAGAATTTTGAACTTTTGTGTTGGTTATTTTTCTTCTTCTTGCCTGATGGAAATAACTGCCGAAGAACTTGATCTTCCCCTGGTGAACACTGGATACTCGCTTGGATGGGTGCTGGACAAACTGGAGGAGCATTGTGAGGATTATGGACGAAAAAGGGACAACGCAAAAGCTAAAACAGTAAGATTTTTACATTATTTTATCCGAACGTCATGAATAATATAATTTCTCGTTTTTTGATGTCTAAAATAATATTTCAGATATCGATGAGCGAAATTTCCGGAGGCAAAGGCTTTATGTCGCGGGTTTTTGCCACAACGGTCTTGTTTGACAATGGGAATTCCTTTAAAGTTGCTCTGAAATGCTTTACGTTTGATGTTGTGGAAGCGCAGTTGGATGAGGACTACAAAAGAGTGAGTCGGTATGGATCTAACTCGAATTTCAAGGGTTAACATAGGTTTGAAGATCATTTGGGATGTTGGGTTGTGATTTTTGGAGAGAGATAGTAGCAAAAAACGTACCATTTTTCACACAGGAAGTATTAAAAATGTAGCAAAATACCTCCCTCTCCAAGTGAAAAAACTCCTTCAAAGCGAAGTTTTTTCACTTCAAGAGGAGGACCTTTTGCTATTATATATTTTTGTGATACTTTCCGGATGCAAAATGGTACATTTTTTGCCACTGGATCAGGTCCGTCACTGTAGGGTTTAAAAAAAATCGAGAAAAAACGAATTGAAAGAAAACTACTTTGTTCCCCCCAAGGCATGTTTTCCCTACCCATATATTTTCTTCGTATTTTCCCTTTTTCAGAATGACTGGAAGTCAAATATCGCAAACTACCACAACAATGAATGTGAGACCCTCGCGTTCTACTCCTCCTTTCCTGGATTTCCATGCCCAAAGGCTTACTTTACCCAACGAATTTCGGCCGATTCGGACTGTGGTCTGGAAGGCAAAGAAGCTCCTGGAGTTATCATAATGGATCTGCTCGATGGAATATCCTTTGATGAGGTCGAGCATACCCTAACAAGAGGGAAAGTGTTAAATTTTGTCAAGGATTTTGCTTATCTACACGATTCTATCGAAAGACTGCCAAGGGAAGAGTGGACTGGTCGATTTAAAGGGAGATCCCACTGGGATCCAATGATGTTTTCTTCGGGAATCGCCAAAATCAAACAGATGAGTGAGAAATATCCGGGTAGGGACGAATTTGATAAAAATTTTTTGATTCTGAACAAGATTCTAGCCAAAAAAATTGCAGAGATCTCCAGCTACTGCCAAGAGTACCCTAAATTGGAATGCGGCCCGTTTACGGATTATGTGATCCAAAAAAGGCCAAAGGAATTAGATTTGTGGACGGTGGTTCATGGTGATTGCAGGACAAATAATATTATCTTCAAGAAGAATGCGGACGGAACAGCCAGTGATGAAATATTGGCGTACATTGACTTTCAAACGGCTTGTGAAGGTTGGTTATGAGGGAAGGAGATCTCGCGAGAAATAGAGTGATTTTCTGGGGGAGACAATACCTCGACAATCTGAAAATTACAGTCGAGGTATTGGCTGCAAAAGAAAAAATTTGTGGTGGTGGCAATGCCAGGGCCCTTTCTCCTGGCCAGGGAAGCCGGTATATTGACAAAAAGGCCATAGAGGCCTACGATTTGACTAAATAAGTCTCGAGTAACTCGAAATTAAGCCGATAAAAAGGTTATAAAAACAAAATACAGACCAAAAATAGAACATCCAGTGCTAAGAAATATAAAACCTACAAAGTTTGGCAACCCCTGGGTGACTAAGTTGAAGACAGTTTCCGGTCAAAAAAGGTCGGAAAAGAGATCAAAATGAGTTCAAATGTGATATCAAAAAGTATTGCAGAAACACGAAAAGATCTTATTTTGAGTAGAGAGGAGCTTGCTGAATCTCAAGACGTCTTTGAAGACGCAAAAGATCCCCAATATTTGCAAGCTTCTCCCTCTTCAAAATCAGTAATCATTCTGTGTCGCTGCAATGCTTTTTGATACCGTATTTGGGCTCATTTTGATCTTGTTTTCGACACTTTTATTGAACGGGAACTATACAGTGACGGACCTCGTCCAGTGGCAAAAAATGTATCATTTTGCATCCGGGAAGTATCAAAAAATGCCGCAAAATGCCTCCTTGTCCAACTAAAAAAACTCCGTTTTGAAGGGCTTTCCCGTACAAAAAAGCGGGCGCGGTTTTTTCACTTGGAGATGGAGGTATTTTGCTACATTTTTGATACTTCCTGGATGCAAAATGGTACGTTTTCTGCAACTGGATCAGCTCCGCCACTGTACTTCAACTGGGCTGGAGAGAAATGTCAGAGTCATCCAAAAAAGTTGTAAAAAGTCACTTCCTTTCCAGGAAATCCAATGTTTGACGCGGCGAGAGTGCTGACGTTATGTTGCGACAGCCAAATACGTCGTGAAATCTCCGAAGAGGCGCTTCAAACCTATTATAACGAGCGCCAACGGCTTTGCAAAGACAGAGGAGAGGAATTAAAGTTTGATTATCAAAGTGTAAGACAAGTATTTGTATTTGAAACCAATGGTTGCAGATTGTTGAACTTTTTGAGCTCGCATTTGTCCAACAGGCCATCCAATCGGCCATGTTCTTCTCCTTCAGCGACGCAAATGACAGTTTGAGCGCAGAAAGTAGAAAGAGGATTGACGACAGGCTAAAATCAATCCTTATCGATGCAGATGAGGTGATAAAACGACGTAGAATTGTGGAAAAGTCAAAAGAATGACATGTTTTTTTAGTCCAGAAAGATCTGAATGCAATCATTTATGATTCTCAATGCGAAAAATGTGATGTTTCATTAACATTTCAGTTTGAATTAAATTTCTCCGATAATTTCAATTTTCGCAAAGCTTTGACTGCGTCGATTAACGCAAACTTGGCTCGCAAATTCATCTTGGCTTCCTCGGCTTCCATCACTGTCTTGTTCTCTACCTTTCTTTCCGAGAAGAATTGGGCCAATAAGGCCACATTCTGAGCTTGATGAATGAAGGCGAGGTCGTAGAGTTCGGAAACCTGAAAAATGGAAGGGTGATTTGTAGGCTATTAGAACTGCGAAATGTTGGCGACCTCACTGAAACGGCACTTTTTCTCAGAGTCTAAATGTAAGGGTTTCTCTAACAGAATCATAGACGCGCCCAGATTCATATTGGATTAAATAAAATACAGTGTGGGACAGGATTTAGTGGTCAAAAGTGCTTCCGATTGCATTCGTGAGCCACTTAGAATACCACTAAATGCCTCCATCTCTGATCGGAAATAGCGTTCTTCTGAAGAGGGGAAGAGAAAGTTGCCCTTTTGCATAGAGTGCTTTCTCACCTCTCTCGTCAGAAGAACGTTATTTTCGGTCAGATGGGGAGACATTTAGTTGTATTTGGAGTGCCTCCAGATGCAATCAGAGCCACTTTTGACGGCTGGATCCTGTCCTGCACTGTACTTTGTTGTTTCTTCGCGACCAGAATAGGGATGCAAAACGATAAATTTTTATCGCATACATGATGCCGTTGGACGCTTCGTACTTATTGGATGTAACGCTTTAAAGAACTTTGTTCCGTAACTTACCATTTCCAACGTAAACGGCACTCGTTTTCGTCGTCTTTTGTACAACTCGGTCAATTTCTTGTAATAAGCTTGTAATATCGCTGGCGTTCCGTCTCGTCGAACATCTGCGTCGCTGCAAATAGAAACAAACCTGGCTATGTCAAACATCGGCGAGCCTGGAAAAGATGCTTGTTGTGTGGTCGTATTTTACCTTCGAACAGAGTTTGGAAATCAATGTAGGCTTGGACTTTGTTTCCCAAACTTCCATCTGGATTCTTTTTGAAGATGATGTTGTTGTTCCAAGTGTCTCCATGGATGAGTGTTGTTGCGCTGAATTCGGCGGGTCTCGATTTTAGAGCGTATTGACTGTATGATTTGAAGTCCATGTCAGCGAGTAGCTGGCATTCCTTCTTCGCTTCTAAAAGTGTTTTCTTAGTACGGTGTGCTAAATGAAGCATGTTCGTTATCGCAGAGTTTTTTATATGTACTTACCGGGATGAATCTCTCCAATCTTTAGTATCGCCTTAACTATGGCCTCTCTTAGATGTACTCCCATGTGTAATTGACTGTCAAACTTGTTCTTCCATTTCTCCTCCTCTGTCTGGTCGATGTAATCGTGAAACACCGCAAAGTCTTCAGCCATGCTTATGCATTGCTCCTTGGTTGCCGTGGAAAACAGCCCTAATGATGAGCCGTATATAGCGCTCATTATGATTATTCCGGGAGCTTCGGTGTCGCTGAGTCCGTTATCGTAGATGACACCACGTTTTTGGGTGTAGTATGCTTTTGGAGCCGGAAAATTTGTAAAGGGTAACACGAGTTTTAGAGCGTCGCATTCGATGTTGTGAGACGTCTGAAGGTGAGCCTTCCATGTTTCGGGGTTCTCCTGGAAATAATAGTATAGTTTTAGGCCTGTCAGTCATGAAAGTTTTACCTTTACAACTTACATCTGCCGCACTTTCACGACTCTTGATCCACTCGTCAAGCATGTCAAATGTTGGCACTTTTAAAGCCAAAGTGCACTCTTTTCCGTTGTCAAAATAGAAAGTTGTGATAAATACTCTTGAATAGTACCCTTTGTCCACCGACACATCGACCGTTTTAATCTGAAAAACATTCTTTGCAAAGAAAATTTTATTTTTCTTTCGATAAGGTTGTTAGAAACTGACAGAAACAACGGTTGCTTCGCTTTTGGCCTCCACATATTCGCTGCAACATTCCTCTAGCGTATTTAGAATCCATCGAATCGAGTGGCCAGTCTTATCCAACTCTTGATCCAAATTTGAGTCAATTTTTGTAATCATTGGTTGAACAAATGCGGGTCGTTTTTAACCCCTTTACTTCAACGTTAAAATTATTTGTTGATAGAGTCGAGTTTATTGAAAATTTATTGGAAAAGTAATGACGTTTCAATTTTTCTCGCTTTTTTTGATAAAGCAGTTTGAAGGGTGTCTCGATTCACCTTTGCGGTCATAGTGATTGTTAGCTTGTCAAAACGGAAGGCATAGAAAATATCAAAGTTGATAAAAGAGTTCTTGTTTATCTTTTCGTCTGTCTTTTGAATTAGAAGCTTTTGTTTTTGAGTAATCCAAATTTATTGTAAGTTAGGCAAGCATATACAAAGTTTAGAGCTATTCGATGTAAGGTTGAGTGGTCCTTATGCAAAAAGGTTGAATTGCGCGCATAGTCGTGAGTAATTTCGCTTCTTCCAAATGCGTAGCGCGTCCGACATTGCAAATCTTGTTCGTAGCTTCAGCTTGGCCGAACGAGCTTCCAATACTTCAGGCGCTACTGCAGCATCGTTTTCGGCAAATGCGGCAACAACGATGAGCTCGAATGTTTCTTGAACATAGCAGAGATCATACATTTCTTTGGCCTGAAACCTGGATTTTTAGCTGGAAGGTTGAAATTGTGTTGCTTTTTTGTGTCTTTTAGCAGTCTGCCTATGAGAAAGAATTCTTCATTTCTTAACCTAGACGATAAAAATCTCATTCCAAGGCAAACCTCGTCAAAGCTGAAGGGAACTTTCTGCCCGCGTTTTCCATATAATCGAGTAAGCGTTTCATAGTACAGTTCCAGTGTTCGTTCTGTAACTTCCCTTCTGACTTCTGCATCAGCGGCCAACGTCAAGAATCGGGCAATATCAAAGAGAGGACTTCCTAAAAATACCTTGCACTATAAACTTTTGAATTGTCACCTTCAAATCCAATTTGATAATCGATGTAAGCCAGCGCTTCATTCCCCACACTTCCATCCGGATTCTTCTTGAACATGACATTGTTAGTCCACGAGTCACCATGGGCATACGTTGTTGCGTTCAGCTGTGCAGGCCTTATCTTCAAGGCGTATTTGGAGAACTTTATCCAATCTAGCGATTCAAATATATCACTTATCTCAGCGAGCTCTTCTGGGAATTCGTCTTTTAACCGGTTCAGCCCCGCTTTACAGGCTTCAAACATTCCTGCTCCAAAGTGCAAGGCACTGTCGAATTTCCCCTTCCACTCCGACTCTGGCGATTGCGCTACGTAGTCTTGAAGTGTGGCGAAGTCGGCAGCAAAGTTAAGGCATTGTTCAGGTGTGACAGATCGGGCCATTCCTAGAGAAGCGCCGTCGAGCGCTTTCATGATGATAACCCCTGGGGCGTTCCGACCAGGAAGACCACAGTCTTGGCCTGCTGTCGTCTTTTGAGTGAAATAAACTTTGGGAGAAGGGAAATTGGGAAAAGTGGAGACAAAAGAAACGGCATCACATTCGATGTCATGAGCCATGTTGATGTTGGCTCGGCTTTCATCGGCGTTGTGCTGAAAGATCAAGTCGTTTAAAGAGAACATTAAACTATGGGTAAAGTGGAATGTCTTACATTTTTTACATCGCCCATTTCCTTTATTTTCTCTGCGATAATTGAGTATGTGGGGACTTTCATTGCGATCTTATAGTTGTCCCCATCGTTGAATGTAATAGTTGTAACGAAGACTCGAGATAAATAGCCTTTTCCCTCAGAGACGTCAACGGCTTCTATCTGAAATTGCCATACAGTTGTCAAAAAGGCGTATCTTACGTCAACAACTTTTCGATCGTCTTTCGCCTTAACATAGTCCTCGCAGCACTCTTCCAACTTGTTTAGCACCCATTTCACCGAGTATCCGGTGATTCCCAGCTCCTTTTCCTCTTGAATCCCGTTTAGAACAACCATTGGCAAGTCGTAAAATGATGTAAGACTTCTGTCGAATGGTAAAAATAATTGCTAAAGAGGTAAGTATGTTTTGGAAAACAAGTGCATATGCCCCGTCCTTTTTATTGACCAAAACTACTAACATTGTGCGCGATCAAGCGGACAATTCAACAGAAATCAGAAAACTGAGTGATTTGTCGATTTGTCGAGACCAAAAAGCACATGGTGTGAAAGTTTTCAACTTCAGATTTTTAGAGTTTTGCGACGAATTTTAAAGGAAGGGTGGTAAATAAATGACATTCGTAAATTGATCTGAACACAAGACACAACTTTATTAAATTACTTGGACAGCAGAAAACACAAAAATCAAGTTCCCATCAGTTTTTTTGTAATAAATTGTGTAGCATCATCAAACTTGCTTTCCAACTTGGAGTGGTGTCATTGGGTTGGATGATTGCGCAATTCGGCGCGGTCGGGAAATGAACGACGACTTGTATCAGTCTGTTAGAAATGGTTCATAAGATCGAAGGTGTTCTAGTACTTAAATTTTTTGAAATTCTCAGGTACCATTTCTGAAAGCTGCAACTTTGTAACGAGTTTCCTTTATTTTGATGGTCTTTGGACATAGTGCACTGATACAGGTTCTTTACAGTAAACCACATTGCAGCAATTATGTACAGCATATCTCATAAAAAGATTCATAAAATCGAAGATTTTCAGAGAATCTTCATGAAGAATGTATGCAACGGTTTGTTATTCGCCTGTCGGGAAAATAGTGGCGGTCGTCGCGCCTTTGATTCGCCCATCCGCTTTACGATGGCTAGCCGCAGCTGGAAATTTGGTGCGCGATTGAACCCTTTTATCGAGGCGAAACATTTTGCTGCGACGAACCCCACTATTTTACCGACAGACCGATAACAACCGTTTCCTACATTCTTCATGAAGATTTTCTGAGCACGTTCAACCTTACGACTCTTTTTTATGAGAGATGCTGCACATAATCGCCAAAACGTGGTTTTCTGTAAAGAACCAGTAAAATCAGTTTACTATGTCCAAAGACCATAAAAATAATGAAAATCATTGCACAAAATTGCAGTTTTCAGAAATAGTACATGGCAATTTCAAACTAATTGTAAGTACTACGGTAACGCAAGTTTATTCGGAAAGTCATTACATATGCATTTGCAGAAACCTGCATTGGGTTATATACTGTATTATTTACAATTAGTTGTGTTTATGCCAATAATTTGAACTGCGCGAATAGTTTTGAGTAGTTTCGCTTCTTCCAAACTTGTAGCGCGTCCAACATAGCGAATCTTGTTCGTAGTTTTAGTTTGGCCGATCGAGCTTCTGTTACTTCGGGCGCTACTGTTGCGTCCTTCTCCATAAAGGCGGCGATAATGACGAGTTCGTATGTCTGTTGGACGTAGGCGAGGTCATACATTTCCTCGGCCTGAAATTTGCGTTTTTAGCTGGGCTTCTTTTCTTTCGGGCCACAACTTATTTACATGTAAAAAATCGTTGCTTTTTTAATTGTTACACAGACTGTCGAACTCATTTTAAAGTTTACCTCGTCAAAGCTGAAGGGAACGTTTTCTCCACGTTTTCCATACAATTCAGTCAGCTTTTTATAGTAAGTCTTCAATGTTGGTGTTGTGATTTCCCGTCTGACTTCCGCATCAGCGCACAATGTCAAAAATCGGGCAATATCAAAGAGAGGACTTCCTAAAAATACTTTGCACTATAAACTTTTGATTTGTCACCTTCAAATCCGATTTGATAATCGATGTAAGCCAACGCTTCATTCCCCACACTTCCATCCGGATTCTTCTTGAACATGACATTGTTAGTCCATGCGTCACCGTGAGCATAAGTTGTAGCGTTCAGCTGTTCAGGTATTGTCTTCAGGGCATGTTTGGAGAACTTTTCCCAATCTAGCGATTCAAATAAATTACTTATCTCAGCGAGCTCTTCTGGAAATTCATCCTTTAGCCGGTTCATCCCTATTTTACAGGCATCGAACATTCCCTTGTCGAAATGCAGGTAACTGTCAAATTTCCCCTTCCATTTCGACTCTGGCGATTGTGCTACATAGTCTTGTAAAGTTGCAAAATCGATCGCAAAGTTGAGACACTGCTCGGTCGTAACGGATCGGATGATGCCCAGAGAAGCGCCATCGATGGCTTTCATGATAATAACACCTGGGGCGTCGCGACCAGGAAGGCCACAGTCTTGGCCTTCTCTCGTCTTTTGAGTGAAATAAACTTTGGGAGAAGGGAAATTGGGAAATGTGGAGACGAAGGAAATGGCATCACATTCAATGTCGTGAGCCAGGTTGATGTTGGCTCGGCCTTCTTCGTGATTATGCTGCAAGAACCAGGATTACTGAGTAACGATGCCTCGTCTAAGAGCCTCATACGTTCTTGAAAGTGCATATTTAGAACATGGTCTTACATTTTCAAAGCCACCCATTTCCTTGACCTTATCCTCGATAATTGAGTAGGTTGGGACTTTCATGGCGATTTTGTAGTTGTCCCCATCGTCGAATGTAATGGTTGTAACGAATACTCGAGATAGGTAGCCTTTTCCCTCGGAGACATCAACGGCTTCGATCTGAAATTGACATACATTTGTCAAAAAGGCGATTTCCAATTTATTCGAAACTTTTTCTTACATCAACAACTTTTCGATCGTCTCTAGCCTTAACATAGTCATCGCAGCACTCCTCCAACTTTTCCAGCACCCATTTCACCGAGTACCCGGTGATACCCAACTCTTTTTCCTCGTGAATTCCGTTTTGCAAAACCATTGGCAGATTGGAAAGCTACTGAATGGTAAAAATGATTGCTGAAAAGCAAGCCTATTTGGAAAACAACTATGCCCCGTCCCTTTTCCTAACCAAACTAGAATGAACATTGCGCGGGATCAAAAGAGCAATTTAAAAAATAACAACAGAAAATTGAGTGAAATATAAAAAAACACATCGATTAGACTATTTGAATCTTTGAATGTTGGGAAATAAATTTTTAACGATGCAGTTTGTGTGAAAACGGAAGTAAATACAGAAAAAATACAATAAATTTTGTAAATTGATTTGTAACCAAGGAAAAGTTTTACTACATACATGTATTAACCTAGACGAGAATTAAGACAAAATACTATTCCAGGAGCTTAGGTTAAGCCGTTCTCCCTATGACAAATTTAGTTGAGAAATGGCCCACTATCGCTGTTTTTGTCGGCTCGCAGACGCGCTTATCAACCATGTGAACCTTTTGTCTTATCAGAACAAAATACAAACTTCAGAACACGTGACAGAAATTTAGCTTCCTTGTTATTCTGAGTATTACGATTTTAAAGTATTATAAGACTGATTAAAAATGGAAAAGTTAATACTTTTTTGATGTTTCACATGGCAATTGTAAGTCTTATGATGGTGATAGAACCCAGCTTGACATTCAAGGTAAAGTTTTAGCGATTTTTGGAAGTTTATTGCTACTTATAGTGACGGACCTGATCCAGTGGTAAAAAACGTACAATTTTGCATTCGGGAAGTATCAAAGAATGTAGCAAAATGCCTCCGTCTCCAACTACAAAAACATCGTTTTGAAGGGCGCGTCCTTGCCCTCACAAAAAGAGCGCTTTTGAAAACGAAGTCCTTTCATTTGGAGAGGGAGGCATTTTGCAACATTTTTTGATACTTACCGGATGCGAAATGGTACGTTTTTTGGCACCGGATCACGTCGGCGACTGTATATCTATTTACAATTTAATAGACGTTATGGACACCCTCACAAATCCTTGATTCCAGAAATCGCCCCCAAATTCCATTTTTTCCAATTTTTTTCAGCATCCAGCAAGTTAAACCTGAGCTTCAAATGAATCTTCGCCGTTTGGGCTTCGACAATCTTCTCGGGGAGATGTTCGTTGCCGGCGAACGTGATCATTAACATTGATTGGATTGCTTCGTGAACAAAGGCAAGATCATAGAGTTCTTGGACCTGAGAGCAGTTATTTAAGTCGTATATCGTGACTTACATTTTCTAGTGAGTATGGAACTTGGACTCCTCGTTGATGGAAGAGTTCTGTTAGCCTGTCATGATAGGCCTTGAGGGCAATTGGCTCAACTTCTCGACGAACATCTCCGTCAGCGCAGAAGGTTAGGAATCTGCAGATATCGAAAATTGGATTTCCTGAAAGTAATGAGCCATTATTTGATGCAGTTAATTGGGACCTCAAAGACTAAATTACTTGCCTTCAAATCCAATCTGATAATCGATGTAGGCCAGCACCTCGTCACCCGCACTTCCGTCTGCGTGTTTCTTGAACATGACATTGTTGGTCCAAACGTCGCCATGCACGTAGGTCCACGCATTCAACTGCGCTGGGCGATCTTTCAACGCGTACTTGGTGTATTTGAAGATGTCAATTGATTGAATAACCTTATTGAAATCGGCGAGCTCTGGAAGTGTTCTTATGCTTAGTTTGTCTGACTTGATATTCTTTTTACAAGAAGCAATTGCAGATTTTCAATTTACCTGGATATGTCTTTGCAAACGAGTCCACCATCGCTATGGTCGAGCCCATCATCCCCTTATCCCAATGCATTGTACTGTCAAACTTGTTTTTCCATTTCTCATCCTCCAACTGAGCGATATTATTATGCAAGGCCGCGAAGTCAAGTGCAGCATTTATACATTGTTGTTTGGTGACACTTCGAATGGGGCCCAATGAAGCGCCATTCAGCGCGTTCATCATTATGACGCCGGGCGCTTCCCGACCTTCTAGACCACTTACGTTGCCTTGTCGAGATTTTTCGACGTAGTAAACTTTAGGCGTTGGGAAATCGCTGAACGAGGCAACGAGGGAAATTGCATCGCATTCGATGTTATGAGCTTCCATTAGGTTGTCGATGAGAGCTCTGGCCGCATCCTGAAATGGAGAAGTTGTCTGGAGTTTTAGGCGGCTGAAACTGCTACAGTGGCGGACCTGATCCAATGGCAAAAAACGTAGCATTTTGCATCCCGGAAGTATCAAAAATGTAGCAAAATACCTCCCTCCTTAACTATAAAAAACCCCTTTTTTGAAGAACGTGCCCTTTCCCTACGTTTTTTGCCACTGGATCAGGTCCACCGCTGTAGCGGAAATCACCATCTTACGTCTTTCATTCCTTCCATGGACATGACTTTCTCCTCAATAATATCACTAGTCGGGATTTTCATGGCCAACGTGAAGTCGGTGTTGTCATCAAATTTAACTTTTGTGATGAAAACTCTAGACATGTAACCTTTTCCGTCGGATACATCATGGGCGTCTATCTAAAACGAAAATCACACATAAAATGTTTTGAGCTGTTGTAGGTGCTAAAAGTCAGAAAAAGGCAGATATTTTTTTTAACATAGGTTGAAGCGTCGGGTATTATTGATCAGTATTAGATATATGAAAGGTAATTGTTCAATTCCGTTAGCCTTGTCAGAAGAAAAGTGTCATAAAATCTAATTTTCAATTTTCGAATAACGCCTTCTAGCCGATTTTTGAGTGCGTAGATCGATATTCGATCTTCAAGCGTGTTGATCAAAAATAGCAGCTAGTAAAATGCGATCCTAGACCAGCTTTCTGCGCTCTTTCAAATGGTGTATGTCTCAAGGAAAAACCAAGATGTGCGTTTTTGCAGAGCCCTTGTTAAAGTTACTACCGAACTTTGCTCTGAATAAGGTCGGTTATCTGAGACGCAGACGTTGAGGAACGGCTTCATTTTTTTACAATGAATAACTTCCAAGTGTCAACTTACATGCACTGCTTTCTTATCGCCTTTGGCTTTCACATAATCGTCACAATGCTTCTCCAACTTTTCGAGTACCCATCGGCTTGAGTACCCTGTAATTCCTAGTTCATCGTCTAAGTTCAACGCCTTCACAACCATTTTCCGTCTGTTTTTTTTGAAATATGTTAAACAGACTTATATATCAACGTGCGAATGTATTACAGACTACATTCTCCGCTCCGTTGTAATTTAAATTGTCAAAAAGTTACCGAACCGTCGCTGATGGATCGAAACTACGCGAACATGTTATGACTTCCTTGGAAGCGTTTCATTTTTTCATTTTTTTGGGAGTCTTTATGAACTAGCTTGTTAAAAGTTCAGTTTCAAGACTTGTGTTTTTTGGGTTAGCCACGTTGACTTGTTTATAAGTAAAGCTGTGCCGCATCTTCAAAGGAAACAGCGCTTTTTTGAAGAAGTTAAAACCTGCGACAGGTTACAAAGAATACGGTTTAGTTCATCTTGGGTACAGTTTGATGGTTTTTTTGTACTTAATCCTGTTTGAGACTGAATTTACATTGGAACGAAGGTTGTATATGGCGTCACGAATCTTGAATGCCAGCAATTGCCCCCAGGTTTAGTCTTTTCCAAATTTTCTCAGCATCCAGCAGGCTGAACTTGACCTTTAAATGAAGCTTCGCTGTTTGAGCTTCAACAACTTCTTCCGGGAGATGGTCATTGCCGACAAACTTTGTCATCAGCAAGGATTCCAAAGCTTGGTGAATAAACGCGATATTGTAGAGTTCTTGGACCTAGGAACAGTCATTCAATGCTCAGTTCATGGCTTACGGTTTCTAATGAATATGGGACTTTTGCTCCTCGTTGATGGAAGAGTTCTGTTAGCCTGTCATGATATGCCTTGAGGGCAATTGGCTCAACTTCTCGACGAATGTCCGCATCAGCGCAGAAGGTCAAGAAGCTGCACATATCGAAAACCGGATTACCTGAATTTCATGCGTCATTTTCTGCTATAGTATCCATGTAAGGATGAAAGAAAATTGTTACCTTCAAATCCAATCTGATAATCGATATAGGCCAAAACCTCGTCACCAACACTCCCGTCTTCGTGTTTCTTGAACATGACATTGTTCGTCCAGACATCGCCATGAACGTAGGTCCATGCGTTCAACGCTGCCGGACGTTCTTTCAGCGCGTAGAGGGTGTATTTGACTATATTGGTAGATTGAATGACTTTGTTGAAGTCGGCGAGCTCTGCAAGGTATGTTGTGTTATATTAGTATAGGAAAACGACGGAAAGTTCAAGTTTCGTACTGTTAAACTTTAGTTGATCCTTCCCTTACGACAGAGTATTGTCAGCGGTTTCACATACCCGGATAGCTCTTGGCGAACGTGTCCAGCATCGCTACGCTTGAGTCCATCATCCCCTTGTCCCAGTGAATCGTACTCACAAACTTATTTTTCCATTTCTCATCCTCCAACTGAGCGATATTGTTATGCAAGGCCGCGAAGTCAAGTGCAGCATTTATACATTGTTGTTTGGTGACGCTTCTGATAAGGCCCAATGAAGCGCCCTCTAATGCGTTCATCATTATGACGCCGGGCGCTTCTCGACCTTCTAGGCCACTTGTGTTGCCTTGCCGACATTTCTCGACGTAATAAACCTTAGGCGATGGAAAGTCGTTGAACGAGGAAACCAGGGAAATTGCGTCGCATTCGATGTTATGAGCATCTAGAACTTTGTCGGAAAGAACTTTGGCAGCATCCTAAAAAAATGATTTTGAACAGCCGCCGGCAATTTTTGAAGTCTGCTACTCCTTGCTCACCCCGTTCATTCCGTCCATGGATAGAAATTTCTCTTCGATAAGGTCAGCTGTCGGGATTTTCATGACCAACGTGAAGTCACTGTTGTCATCAAATTTGACTTTTGTGATGAAAACCCTGGACATGTAGCCTTTTCCGTCAGAGACATCGTGGGCGTCGATCTGCAAAGCATAGTGAATTTTTTTTTGTCCATCTTGTTATCGTAGATTTTTTTTACATATTTAGAGGTCTTGTGAGATTGGAGTCTGAATATCTTTATTATTATGCATTTGCAAAGATCGTTTTTGCGTTGAGACTCTTTGGCATTTTCTACAGAAAAGTAAAAAACTTATAATAAGTTTTATAACTTACATTAACAGCCTTCTTATCGCCTCTGGCTTCCACATAGTCATCACAATATTTCTCTAACTTCTCAACCACCCATCGAGTTGAGTAACCTGTGATCCCGAGTTCCTCATCTAAATTCAACGTCTCAGCAGCCATTCTCCGTTTGCAATATTTTTCAAAAGTCGCAAGCCCCCGATTAATGCGGAAAGGCTTATTATTTGGTCCGTTGTAATAGATAGTGTCAAAAACGGTTTGACTGGACCCTTGATGAAGGATCCAAACTACGCAAGAAAATTATCAAGTTATGACTTCCATGGAACGTTTTCAAGACCTCAGATTCATTTGCCGCAATTTTTTAAAATATTTCACGCAATGGGTTCTTGGTGGAAGGCCGATACGTTCGGTCTACATAAATTTCATTTTCAAGGACTTTGAGATATTCAGCTCAATACAACGTGACTTGCCGTAGACATGTGGGACGCAAATCGCGACCTGACCGACGGGTAGGAAGGGGTTTTTTTGGTGGTTTTTGGCCCTTCCCTTTCCATTTCAAATTTTCTTTGTCCCGGTCCGACTTGATGGACGGTATGACCTGCTTAGCCCCGTTAGTGTGTTGTAGTATAGCAATGATTGGTCGGAGCTCAAAAAAGTCTTACAAGAACTTAAAAAATGGGCTGTTAAATTACCGCCGCTTTAATTTGCTCATCGTTTGATCCCATTTGTGACCATTTGCCCCCAATTTCTCTTGTTTTACTAGTACATAACTGTTTCCTTTTTCCAATAAGTTCTGTTTACTATACCGCGGCGGAAGGCGGTCGGTTAGACCCATGTCAAAAGTACTCTATACAGTGAGCCATGGGAACTATTATATTTTTTCTTGTCCGCATTTTGTCTTTTCACTGTCCGCAAATTGACTTCTCACTGTCGGCAATTGAGAATTTTGATGGTAAAGTTTGTGTTCGTCAAGAAATTCAGCAATATTTACCACTGGCCTTTTCAAATTCGATGTCATTATTTACTAACCAACAGCCCTTTATCACTTCGTTTTATTTACATTGCACCGGACATGAAAAATCCAAACGTTCAATGATTACGAATCGGCGACAAGACCGCTACAAACTTTTGCCAATTTTCTTGCTTTCCAAATCTTCTCAGCATCCATAAGATTAAATTTAGACCGGAGTAAAAGTTTCGCCATCTGAGCTTCTAATACTTCCGGGGTGAATTGTTCCGCATGTTCTTTTCCCATGAATGACGTAACCAGCGCTGATTGCAGGGTTTGATGGACGAAGGAAAGGTCATAAAGTTCTTGCACCTGAAATGTGGAAGGAATTGCTACAACCAAAGCCTGAAGAAACGTACATCCTCCAAACTATAGGGCACTTTTTCTCCTCGCTTCGCGAACAGTGAGGTAAGGCGATCATGATAAGTTTTCAGAACGACTGGCTCAGCCTCTCGTCGAATCTCGGCGTCAGCGCAGATGGTCAGGAATCGGCAGATATCGAAGATTGGGTTACCTGAAATTGACTTTTAATAATTTACTTTTATGGATAAAAAACTGATTTTGATTGCTCCGGCTCACCTTCAAACCCAATTTGATAATCGATGTAAGCCAAGACTTGGTCGGAGACACTCCCATCCGGGTTCTTCTTGAACATGACGTTATTAGTCCATGCGTCGCCGTGAACGTATGTCCAGGCGTTCAGCTGTGCTGGACGGTGCTTTAGAGCATAAAGAGTGTATTTGACCCAGTCCAGGTTTTGCAGTATGCCACAGATCTCGGAAAGCTCTGAAATAGGGAAAGTTGAAGCCTGTTTTACAATTTACAGACGAGTTTTTTTTTATATACAGTGAAGGACCCGATCCGGTGGCAAAAAACGTACCATTTTGCATACGGGAAGCATCAAAAATGTGGCAAAATGTCTCCCTATCCAAGTGAAAAAACTTGGTTTTTTGGAGTGGGAAGCATTTTGCCACATTTTTTGATACTTCCCGGATGCAAAACGGTACTTTTTTTTGCCACTGGATCAGGTCCCTGTAGTTGCATTTTCTGCACTTTAAAGATGACGTTTTATTGCTTGAACTCACCAGGATATGCTTTTTCGAACTTTTGCAACGCCATCACCCCTGTCTCGGCCATTCCGGTATCCCAATGCATCGTACTGTTAAACTTGTTTCTCCATTTTTCCTCCGACGCCTGCGCTACATGATCATGCAGTGTGGCGAAGTCGAGCGCAAAATTGATGCACTGCTCTTTGGTGACGCTCTTTACAACTCCCAACGACGCGCCGTCCAATGCGTTCATCATGATCACACCGGGCGCCTCTCGACCTTCCAGGCCACTTTCACGGCCCTCTCGCATCTTTTCGACGTAGTAGATTTTTGGCGCAGGGAAGTCTTTGAAAGACGCGACGAAGGAAATGGCGTCGCATTCAATGTTGTGCGATTCCATGAGGTTCTCCACCACCACTTTGGCGACGTCCTGGAAAAGGAGTCGTTATAACCGACCAGGGAAGTTGCCCCAGTGCGACGCTCAGAATTTGGTTAGTTTAATATTTCGGGCATAGGGGATGGCCAGCTCATGCCTTACAAGGGCAGCCAAGATGTTAAAAAATCTTCATCGCCGAGGGAGTACGCGAAATGCGGAGAGCAATAAGAGATCAAAGAGAGCTTTTCGGCCACATTTTTTGTAGAAAAATTACTCTCTATGGTAGAAATAGCCACAAAATTTTCAAATCCAGAAAAAGTGTCACGTTTTTCCGAAAAATATCTGTCATTTCAGAAAGCCGCGATCTTGGAGTCTCACATATGTCAAAAATTTCTAAACTTGTGCCAGGTTTTATCAAAGCCTGAGCGTCACACTTGAAGTAATTTGCTTACGGGAACAGCGCTAACTTGAAAAGGCAGCAAGAAATTTTTAAAAACTCACTTCTTTCATTCCTTCCATTGAAAGAAACTTCTCTTCCAGAATATCGCAAGTAGGGATCTTCATGGCCAACTTGAAAGAGCTGTTGTCGTGGAACGTGACTTCGGTGACGAACACTCGCGAAAGATAACCTTTTCCGTCGGAGACATCGTTGGCTTCGATCTGCAAGAATGGGTTAGATATTCGTCTCAATTTTGAATTTTTTTTCCAAATTTCTGCTGTTGCAGATGCCTTTTTTAGCATGTGTGTGATCCCAACAAGGATTCAGCTCTATTTTCTTTCTCTCCTATGCAATTCCGTCTGCAAGGATCCTTGAATATATCAGCTTCATCCAAAAAGGGGTGAGCTATTGATTTCACAACTTGAAAATTCGAGAAAATAGATCATGCGCCTGCGAGACAAACCTATGTGCGTGAAACTTCGAGAACTTTTTCTTTTTCCGTGACAATGATCATGACTTACATCAACCACTCTCTTGTCTCCTTTCGCCGCCACATAGTCATCACAATGCTTTTCCAACTTGTCCAGTACCCATCTAGTCGAGTACCCCGTGTTCGCGAGTTCCTCGTCCAGTCTCAACGTTTTCACGACCATTTTCTTCAGGTAGTAATGTCGGATGCTCCGCCGATTGAAGTCTTTATATGAGCGAAGGGAATCGATAAGTCTTCTTATTCCAGCGACGCGAGTAATCGAATTGACAACAAGTGTTTGACGACTGCACACTGATGGGTCGAAACTACAAGCACGAGAGAATGCGCACATGGTTCTTGAGTTGTAAGGGGTCGAGCAAATGTCGAGGCGAAGAGAGTAATTGTCTGAGTTTTCATGCATTATGATGTGAAGTTGACAAATGGAACTGACTGTTTTTGAGGCAAGGACAGAAGCCCGGTTTTTGATCGACGGTAAAAACAAGAGGCTAATGAACCACTTAATGAACCACTCTTGAGTGAAAAATAAATATGTTTTGACAGTCTTTGGCAATAGACCAAGAAATTTCTTTTAAGAAATTTTAAGAAATGGTCGAAAACATACACCTAAACTCGATTTGCACTAAAACTGAGCTTCGTTTTCTCGATCAGGGCACATCTTTTTTGAGGAAGAAAGTTACAGTAATCCGTCATATGGTAATTTTGGGCAAAAACAAAGAAAGCGAATGTTCTATGTCTAGTGTGGATTAGACTGACCAAGTTTCGTTAAATTCTGAGACACCGATTTTAACAATTTCCGCCCCCTGTTAGGCTAACAGGGGAAGCACTCCAAGTGCGACGCTCAGATTTTGATGAAATTTGGCACAAATTTAGAACAATTTTTTGTAAGATATATGCGAGAATCCTAGCTCGCGCTTTGCAGAAACAACCGAGATTTTTAGATCGAAAGTCGGCCATAATTTAGGACTTTTTGCCGAATTTCGGCACGAAAAGTTTCATGCCTATTTCTACCGTAAAGAATAATGTTTCTACAAAAACTCAAATTTTTCCGCACCAAACTGCCAGAGTTATGGCCAAAAAGCGCTTTTCTCTCTGACCGCTCTCCACGTTTAGCGTGCTCTCTCGGCGGCAAAAATTGTTCGATATCTCGGCGGCTCCGGCAATGCGCGAGCTAAAACTTTCAGGAATTGATATTTAATCCATACCCGACGTGTGTGCAAAATTTAAAGAAAATCTGAGCGTCGCACTTGGAGCACTTCCCCTGTAAGCTCCAAAGTGTGGCAAAACGCGTTTTAATGCTTGACGCTGATTTTGCTGAAATTTGGAACGGATTTCAATGGCGCTACCACTTTTCGGGTCAACGACAGTTCGTTTCGACGGTACTTTGAGGTGCCCCAACTTGTCATTGTATGCATGGGAAGGCTTGGACATATATTAATCAGGTCCCAGGATAGTCTATCACCTATTTTGAGGGATTTTTCCTGTATTCGCATCAATAATATCTAGATGAAACTTGGATCATCGTTTTTTGCCGAAAATTTTTATCTCTTATATGTCATAATAACTCAGGGTAAAGAAAACAAACGTTGGTAATAAATTAGTTAAAATTAGATAAAGTGGTCATGTTGTAAGTCTTCGCCAAGTCTCCGCCGAGCCTTCGCCGAATCTCCCCCATCATCCAATGGCTTTCACAGGCCTCATAGGCACTTCCTACCACTCTTTTTGGCTCCCCACCTGTCCTAGGCCTCGTATCGATCGATTTTGTGTTGACCCGAACTATCGTTGACCCGAAAAGCTGGGACCGGATTTCAATCATTTCCACTAACAGGGAAGTATTATAGTTCATGTGATTGATCAAACACTATTGATCAAAATTTGGATAAGCTAATGTGTAATCGCAGCACCGAAAATTACATTTATTTGTCTGGCTATAACAAGATTTATAAATTTACAGTCAAAACAAATGTCTGTAATTTTTTTTGGCTCACAATCCAATCAGAGAGGAACATCTGATCAAACTCCAAGGTTCTCTAAAGAACGGACAGTGCTTTGATCAAGCGAACATGTAGTTGTCACTTTACGTTTAACTTTACAGCGATTCCTGACTGAAATTCAAAGGTGCACGTCGTTTTGTAGGCTTGTTGATCGTTTTGCGCGACCAAACCCGTCTTTTAAACTCTGCCACCCCATTTTTCCATCTTTTCCTTCAAAATCATCCACATTACTTTGATATCTTATCGTTTATTCTAATTAATTTCCAAAACATGCAAACAAAACTTATTAAATTCGCTACAAACACAAAATATGACAAAAAAATCCTGAAAAAATTAAAGAAATCTACATTGCAATCGATTACAATTGACACTAGAAAAGAGTAAAATGAAGCAAGAGATATTTGGAGATGATTGAGCTAAAAATTCGTTCGAAAATTCGGTCGAAACCACGACTTTTGGACCCGAAATGCGTTGAAAATCGAAGAAATTCCAAAAAAAAACAAACTGTTGAAAATCCACAAACTACAATAATTAACATGTTTGCTATACAATGTATGAACGGGGGTGCCTAAACATCAAAGAAGGACCCAGTTTCCTTGAGTTTCGGGCAAAAGAAACAATAAAATCGACAATTTATGACTTAGACCACCAAAACCTGATGGATAACATGATTAAAACCCCTTTTTCGAACTCAAATCCTCCTCGCATCCGCTCTATTCCAATCTGGAATACATGTCCTCGATCTGGGGTTTGAAATGCACCTTCAATTGGGGTCGTTTCGACTTCAGCGTCGGGGTCAGGAGGCCATTTTCGACGGAGAAGGGCTCAGCGCAAAGGTGGATATCCTTCACCTGCTCGAAGCTGAACAATCCCGACTCTTTGCCGATTTTGAGCATGTCATCCAGGATCATCTTCTTCACGTCTCTGTTGGCGCACAGTTCGGCCATGGAGAAGCCCGTCATGCCGAGGGTTTGCTCCGCTTCTTTTGGGAGGACGTCCGAATCCGGTACGATGATGGCGATAAGGCAGGTTTTCAGGGATTCGCCGTGCACAAAGCTTTGGGCAACAAACTTGGAGCGGCTGTAAATGTTCTCAATCTTCTCGGGTGCAACGTATTCTCCCTGAAAATGACAAAAATTTGAAAAAAATCGCAAAATTTGGCACCAAATACAAAAAATTATCAAAAAATTCTTAATTTCTCAAATCAAAGGTTCAAAAAAATTGGAAAATTACACCCAGCCCACAGAGGGCACTCTAAACGACCTCTAAACTTCCCTAATCCTTCCTGAACTCTCACATTTTCCATCAAAAAACAATCAAAAATTCTCTCAAATCCTTACCTGTGCCAATTTGAAGATATGCTTCTTTCTGTCCACAATTTTCAACGTTCCTCTTTCCGTCCAGCGTCCAATATCTCCAGTGTGGAGCCATCCATCCTCATCCAACGTCTCCTTGGTCTGTTCCTCGTTCTTATAATATCCTTTGAAGACATTTGGGCCTCGGATGCACACTTCTCCGGCCTGATCTTTGCTATGATATCCCAGCTCCGGTACGTCGACGAGTTTGATGGCGCAACATGGGGAGGGTACTCCTACATGGCCGGGGACGGCGTCTCCTTCGACGGTGATCGTTGCGCAGGCCACGCATTCCGTTTGTCCGTAGCCCTCCACCACGAACGCTCCGAAGGCGCATCGACAGAAATTCAGGACATTTTCAGCCAATGGGGCCGACCCGGTGATCATGAGACGAACGTTGCCGCCCATTCCATCTCGAATCTTCTTGAAAACCACTTGGTCGAAGAATCCGGTCGTTCTGATGATTCCACTGTTAATTTCGCGTTGTTTGAAGGCCAGAGCCGTTTCGAACAGTGCCTTCTTGACTTTGGACTTGTTCACTTCGTGCATGACCTTGTCGTAGATTCTGTTTAGGACTCTGGGGACAACCGGGAGCACCGTGGGCTTCAGGGTTTTGATGTCGTCGGGGAGGCCGCGGATATCGCCACGGAAGAATCCGACGCGGCCACCTTCGGTGTAGACGACGGATTGGACCACTCGTTCGAACATATGGGCCAAAGGGAGGAAGGACATCATGCAATCGGTGGGGGAGACCTGAAACAGAAACTTGATATCATGCACAATAAAAAATGTTTCCATAAAAGCCTCAAAAATCCGCTATAAACCTCGAAATTTTTCTAAACTCACATTAAAGTTCTTAAAGTAGTCCAAGGTGGTTCCATCAGCAATGACATTGCCATGGGTCAGCATTACTCCCTTGGGCGTACCAGTAGTTCCACTAGTGTAACATACGGTGGATAAATCTTCGGGAGTTGGTGGTTGATGGGCTACTCGCTTCGCCTTGGCTCCAGTGGCTTCGAATTCGGCGAAGGAGACCAATCGGACACCTTGTGCTTCAGCTTGGGAAATATGTTCGGGTTTAAGGTCCTGGTCAAAAACAACGATGACGGAGAGGGTTGGAGACGATTCCTTAGTCTTCAACAATCCTGAAATTCGATATCACATCATAGAGTACCATATTATATACTAAATAAACAGTTATTCCGACAAAACTCAAAAAATTTATATTACACTATGTCAAATCTTACCCAAAGCCTTCGCAACCGAGTCGCAGAACACAATCTTGATCTCCGCTTGATTCACAATGAATGAACAGGCATCCGGGCCCAACGTATCGTACAATGGGACCAAAACATTGTTGAAATTATACGCCGCTTGCTCCACAATTACCCATTCAGGTCTGTTTTTCGAGTAGATTCCGATGAAGCTCCCTTGTCCAGCTTCGATTCCAAACTCTCTGAGGGCAATGCTGACATCATCTGCTCGTTTGAGGACCTCATCGTAATGGAGCCAGACGTAGGGTTCGCTTCCATCGGGCTGCTTTTGACGGTATCCCAACATTGGGCCGTTTTTGGAGATTCGGGCGCCGCGACGAGCGGCCTCGTAGATAGTGGTGGCATCCTGATGAAGGACCTTGAACAGGCTGTCATTTTTCACGTATTTCGAGACACGAGAGCCATCCTGAAAAATTAGCAGTCAGTTTTTATAAATTCAGCAAAAATCTTATAAAAAGCATGATTTTAAACCAGAAATCTCCAATTTCAAGTTTCAATCATACAGTGGGGGATCTGATCCAGTGGAAAAAAACGTACCATTTTGCATCCGGGAGTATCAAAAATGTGGCAAAATGCTTCCCTCTCCAAGTGAAAAACTCCGATTTCAAAAGCGCGCCCTTCAAAACAAAGTTTTTTCTCTTGGAAAGGGAAGCATTTTGCCACATTTTCGACGCTTCCCGGATGCAAAATGGTACGTTTTTTGCCGCTGGATCGGGTCCGTCACTGTAGCAAGAATAAGGCTGCAATAGCCTTATTACATATTTATCTTCATTCTCAACCTTTTTTTATACAAATTTAAGTTCGAACCATCATCAAATTTTCAAAAAGTTCAAAATTACAAAAACAACGTGTCAATTGTAATATATTTCTCAATTTCCTTCCAACACCATTTCAAAAAAATGTTCACAGACTTCTCTTCACAACAAGCTCTCTTTCATTAATTCATCTATCAGTATTTCTGCAGAAATTTCTTTATTTTCATATAAACCATGATGTCTAATAAAAAGATATCATCACCTCTCACCAAAAACTGATACTCTCTGATTTTTTGCTCTGATTAAGCTGATAATCCCAATGTTTTTGCTGTGACGTAACCGCAATCACGCCAGGCCTGGGTGGTTCGAGTTTTTACGCTTATTTACTGTACTTTTACTGGCGAGGTTTACATTGGGAACAAAAACAAATGGCGAGTTTTTTTTTTCATGGGATGATTAAGTAGTCGGCGATTTCAAGGTTAGGGTGCGATGATTGATTACGCGTAATGGTCTTCTTTAGGAAAAAAGCACCGTGCAGAAATGTTCCGGGAAAATTTTTGAAGGTTAAAGAGCAATATTGATTCAACCGGAGGGCAAAAAAGTCAATTTGTTACTTCTTAGTATTGATTAGACCTTCAAGGACATACCACAAAAATTTAGAAAAGATTCTACGCAATTAAATGGTACTTTTTATCTTCACCATGATACCTCCTAGGTCAAATATCCGAGAAAAAATCAGTGTTCCAATATCCGTGAAAAAAGTATAAGCTAAACGAAAGCCTCTGCAATCCCTAATCCAACCTCTGACCATAGCTGACTTCAATTTTGATACCATTTACACTTCACCTGACCTCTGATTCTAAATCGTTACAGACAACATCGAAAAGGCTCCGAATCCCCGTAAAACGCGTTTCCACTACTACTACAATCCCTAGGGATCATAAAAAACCAAAATCCAGAAGAATTTCCTCGCTTGTTGACCACGAACATTGATCATTTTTTCAAAATTCCCCTCATTTTATTCCAATCTTCCAAGAAAACTCAATTCCTCCTAAAAAACAAAACACAAAGAAACAAAAACGAGCTGAACATACCGGCAGGACTCTGGTTTGTGCATTCAGATCCAAAATTGGCTTCACTTTTCCCTCCTTCGACCACATCCACCACAATCCCATGGCTCCGATGGTTGCTGCCGCGCCGACGCTGTAGTAGACGGAAGTGGGTGCCGAGGCTAATGCGTTCACCAGCTGCTGCTGTGTGCTGTTCGTCGCCCAATCGGACAAGTCCGCGACCCTGCAAAATTCACTTCAGTTTCGATGAGCAACCAAATTTTTCCACTTTCCACCACCAAAAAAAAGTGGGCAAACTGAGAGAAAAACCAAAGAAAATTTGGGTTAAAACGATAACAAAGGATGCGACAAAAGGTGAGTAAAGACGGGTAAACCGCCTGGGGGGACGGAACAGCCACACGGATAAAGGTTAGCCACGAGAAAGCTCAGAAATCGGATTAATCGGCCAAATTTCAAGTCTAACATCAAGTAGACAGCTGAAACCGAGAGACGTCTCAAAAATAAAAAGTCAATGACATTCCACAGGATTTGGCCATAAAGGAACACGCAAGATCTTTTGATGTGAACAAGTGTCTTTTTCATACAAATTTCCGTTTCCTTGGTGGGGAAATCTGGCCAAATAAATATGTATGAAGACAAAATTATTGGCTTGGAGATGATTCAAGGGAATTTTTATGGCCTGAGTGTTCAAAATTTATGTTTCACTGGTCTATTACACCTTCTATTAACCTAAACTATCAGTTTCAGGCAGGTAAAAAGCCGAAAATTTATATTGTTCATAAAGTTTAATGTAATAATTCGACTAAAAAGATAGTAATTAATCCCAGAAAAGCATAATAAATAGCTTTTCAAGTGCCCCAACAAACGTTTGAAAACTAAAATTCAGCAAAAATTTGAAATTTTTATATTATCCATGACAACCAAATTTCAAAAAATCTGAATTTTCGTCTTTGCAGCGGCTCACTTTTTTCATAAGCAGCTCTAATACGATAAACAAGGCCAAAAAACATAAGTTTTTATCTTATCCATGACCCCCGACCTCTTCGCTGCCAAATAAAATGTAAATGTAGTCAAGACTTTGATCAAACATGCCTTTTAAAGAGGGTGCTCTCCGCCCCGCCGAGGCTAATGAAACATGGCGTGACAACCAAATTACGCATCGGATTGACATCCACGTGGAATTCGATAACAGAAGGTATGATAAACAAATGATAACAGAAAGCTGCAAAGAGAGGAATCGAAACTGGAATTGGACTTTGAGAGCAAGCCTGATATACAACTCCATATCTTTTGCAACAACATAACATGCATTTTACAGCGAAATAAGGGACACTAAGCGTAACAAAATACACCACAACTCAGGTCCATGAATAAGGTCACGGCTCAAAGCTCAACCCTCAGACTGCGTTGTTGTTCAACTCAATCAAAGGTCAGGATGTCACAAAACATCTCTGAAAATTTCAGATCGCATTCTGCAAAAACAACCGAGATATTTAGGTTCAAAATTTGGACAAGCCACTTAGATGGCATCCTCTACTTTCAACCCAAATATCTCGATAATTTCTGCAAAATGCGATGCCGAACTTTCAGAGGTGCCTTGTAACGCCTTGACCTTTAATTGCGATAAACAGCATCGCAGTCTGACGGTTGAGCTTCAAGTTCTGACCTTATTCTTGAAGCCCTAGTATAACATAAAAGAAATAAAAATTTCAAAAACAAAAATCGACTGACCGACTTCCCACATTCAATGGGACGACCCAGAGCGAAGAAGATGCGTCCTTTACCATACTGGCAGATCTGTTCTGTTATAATTTCCGGGAGAAAATATTAAAATCGTCCCAAAGTGCACTGGAAATCAGCAATTTTACTGCGGAAACGCAAATTTAACAGCGGAATCACGAATCGTAACTTTAACAATATCTGTGGAGATCAAATGAATCAGACTTCAGCTGTATTCGATAATCGTAACCTAGGCGGCTCAAATTTTTTCGAAAGCTTTTTTTGGGTCAAAACTAATCAAAAAAATTGATAAAAACGAATTCAGCGACGTCTTATGCAAGGAAACGACACTCCAAGCCTTGATTACGTCCAAAACACAAAGGCGTCTAGAAATCATACGAAAATCCGGGCAAATTGGACAAAATTTATATTACACTAGGCATAAGGTCAAAAATTGCCAAAAAATCGGAAATGATCTGGACTACCACAGCGGAGATGTTTGAAATAAGGGTTTTGAAAATAAATAAAGCTCACTAAAACATAGATTCATCGAAATTCAAATAAATTTATATTACACTAGGCGTGAAAACAGAAATCCTTGAAATCCTGCAATTTTTTGCAAAAAAGTTCAGAAATCGATGCTAGAAGGCAAACCAGATCTATTTCCGGCAAAAAACAAACAAGAAAACCCTTGCAGAGGAATAAATTACCTATAATTTCCCTCCAACCTAAAACAATATCCAATTACCGGAAAAAACGAGTAATCCCCTCCTATAAACAGCCCACCAACACCCATAAAACAATTAGAAGATCGTCGAGTTTATCTTTTTATTATAAACGATGGACTTTGAAACCCTCGCTGATAACAGTGATAAGCTCCGCCCACATTTCTCCGATCGAAGAAGTTGAGGTGGAAATTACTCAAAATCAAATTAAATTCGCCTTTACAAATTAGGCATACCCCTTCTGAAGGCGGTCAACACTTTTGGGAGACAGCATCAGGTCTAAATCACCTTATTTTAGGTAAATCTGGCGACCTTTGGGGGGAAATATTTTTTTGTAATAGACAAACAATTTTTACAATTTCTAGCGGTTACTAGTCGAAGAAGAAGGAATTCATAGTCTAGGGAGACCGAAAATGACCTTTTATACCGATGAAAATCGAGGAAACGCGGCAATTTTAGGGCTGAGGTCAAGTATAATATCGAAAATTTAAATCCAGACGTCTGAAACCCGCTAAGAAAACAGTAGACCTCGAAAATCGACAAAATAATAAGGATTCTCCAAGAAAACCAACGTGAAATTAGGTAACTCACGAGAAAATTGAGGTAAAAAGAAAAAATTTCGGAACCTCCAGAAAAACAGTCATCATGACTGGAAAAAACAGGCCTTACTGAGTAATTAAAGTATAGGAATTAGATATCAGATAATAGCTGCGCTGGGAAGAATAAGAAAAGAACCAGGAAAATTTCTTGGGGCGAATTAAATGTGTCAGGATGACGGATTTTTTGGACAAAGCGAAGTGTGGTCAAATTAGGCTAAAAATCGCGATTTTTCTGATGAAAATAGGAAACAGTTGAAAGATAAAGGGTATTTAGAGGAAGTTATAGAAGGATTAACTGGAAATCCCGAGATTTTGAAGCAAAAACATCTAATTACCTAGTATAATATCCCAAAATCCTAAAATTGCCGTCCAAACATTCTGCAGGACCGATTATCAGCAAAATTCCGCTCCCAATAGTCCCAATGACAGCCGCACTCAATGTAAATAAGTGGGCACAATCCTCAACAACAATCCATCGTATACAAAACATGTGTGCCTCGGGGAAAATAAAGAGAAACGAACGCCTTTCGGAAAATTAATGGCCATGCAAGTGGAGAACGTAGAGACCGTGTTTTCCGGGCCAAGTTGGGGGGCATGGAACTGCTTGACGTCAAAAAGTCACGTTTGTTTTCGCGGAAACCACCCTGTTTTCGCTGGGGGACAGTGCCGGTGGGAGGGGCCGGACAAACAACTTGTGAGCAGAAACAAGGCCCCAATTTCCACATTTCATGCCAAAAGTCGGATTATACGGTATTCCGGGGGAGAAAAAGGGGGCTCACAGTCCCTAACAAGTCTAATTTGACTTACTTTTTCGGCATTGTATGGCAAAATCAGAAGAAAGTTTTGAAATACGACCGATCTCGAGCGCAGATGAAAAGTGGAAAAACGCGGTTTCGGGTTGGCAACTATGAAAATCCCGTAAAAATGGGAATGACAAAAAAATTTCATTTTTGATTTTTTCATTTTTCGACTATTTTCAAAAAAAAAAAATTTTTTTTAACTGTAAGGCCAAGTCCATTTCAAGCAGTTCGTACAGTGGCGGACCTGATATAGTTGCAAAAACCGTACCATTTTGCATCTGGGAAGCATCAAAAATGTGGCAAAATTCTTCCCTCTCAAAGTGAAAAAACTTCATTTTGACTCACAAAAATAGCGGGTACGCTTTTGGCTTTTCAAATTGGAGTTTTTTTCACTTGGAGAGGGAAGCATTTCGCCACATTTCTGATACTTCCCGGATGCAAAATGATACGTTTTTTGCCACTAGATCAGGTCCCCCACTGTATGTGCTTTGGTCAAAAAATCAAAAAAAAATCGCTGATTAATTTTCCGTCTAACCCGTCCAATTCATCATAACCCTGCAGTTTTTACATACAAGCTGCAAGGAAGGGGGCTGGAATCACGCCATTCATTTGAAACTTTTTTTCTCCCGGAATTTGGGAGGGGACAACTGATAGGCTAATCAAATAAAACATTGAGCAGAGATTAGAGTGCGTGTTTGTAAATGTCAAAGAACCTGCATTACAAGCAGCAACAGGGATGGGAGAGTTTGATTTCCATGAAAATCAGCAAAGATTGAGATAAAACTTGAAAAGATTTTTGCAAATCGTAGCGAATGTCTGAATGTATGATGTTTATGAAATTTGTGACACTTGTGGTAAATACGTCACGTAGTAAATCCAAAAAATTTTGCCAGGACATCCGGTATTGAGGTGTGATCGCAAAAAGAATATGGATTTACGTTGGCAGACCTGATCCAGTGGCAAAAAACATATCATTTTGCATCCGGGAAGCATCAAAAATGTGGCAAAATGCTTTCTTCTCCAATTGAAAAAACTCCGATTTAAAAAGCGCACCCGCTCTTTTTGTGAGGGAGTAGTTGGAGAAGGAGGCATTTCGCTACATTTTTGATGCTTCCCGGATGCAAAATGGTACTTTTTTTGCTACTGTATCAGGTCCGCAACTGTACAAGTTTAATCCAAAAATCTCGTTTTTTTTGTAAGGCGTGAGCTGGTGATCTATTTTCACAGTGTACTCTGTTGTAGGCGGAAACATAAACAGCTTTACAGTGGATTCCAGAATTGAGCTATCAAAACTTCCATCTGATTGCACCCAGGAAGCACTCTGAATACCTCCAAATACTTCCCTCCCCGAGTTTTTTTAATAGCGTTTTTTGAAGATGGAGCGAGAAGGTTGCCCTTTTAGAAAGAGAGGGGAAGGCTTCCTCTTCGAAATGCTTCCTTCTCTGATTTTTCAAAAGTTCATCTCTATTGCCCTCTTATCATAAGAACGCTACTTTTAGTCAGAGGGATTTATTTAGCGGTATTCGGAATGCCTGCAATCAGAAGCACTTTTGACAACTGGATCCCTCCCCAAACTACATTTTTCTGCTTGTATAAACAAGTAACTTTGTTGTAAAGATATAAAACGGTTTTCAAAAACAAATTGATCATTTTGCCCCATTTTTTATTGGTTATGACTTCCGATGGGAATTACCGTATTTTTCAGCAAAAAATCGACGAAAAATTGAGAATTTTTAGACCAAATCCCATCTAGACAGTCCAAAGTTCCCGTCTTTTTAATTCTAATTCCCAATGGATTCCGTCGGCGCGACTAGAAAGACCTCCGAAATAAATCACTTACTGCCTTGTTAAAACGTCAAAATTTTTTTGCTGATTCCAAGGTTCAAAGTGCGTGACCTTTTTTGAGTCTGAGGAGTTTAGTTAAGGGGTTGTATGATAGATTAGTAGTGGTGTTATTCTTGTGGCTTGAAGGCATAAAAAGAGAGCAAATGGGAGGAAGATTGAAAGGTTGGTAAAAACAAACAAAAAGGATTATTTTTCAAAATTTTGAGTTTCTTTTTGCGTAGCATAAGTGACATATATGTCGTCAGCATTATGTAGAAGACGGTTGCATTTTCAAACTGCCAATATTTTACATGAAAACTTCAGTTTTTTTAATTTTTTCCCTCATCTTTTGTACTTTTTTCATAAATTGTATCAGCCTCCAAAAGCAACAAAATCAGTCTCAAACTTTGACCACAAACATATCATTGGTCATGTTTTCCTTTATCGGCGTTGGAAGCGCTCCAAACAACCATCTGCCCTTCACATGATCAAGTTCAGCAAGCCGCATTAAACGCATACTTTGCTCGCTTAAACCCGCCTTCAAAATTTACGATCAAAGTATTGGTTCAGCTGATTCCAGTGCGGTTCCGCCAAATAAATTAGCGTAATTGGGAAGAGCGTATGAAATGAGAGCAGCGTGTAACAAATTAAAACGCAGGTATCTGAATAAAATTTGGGTGAGAGCTCAGAATAGGGGATGACAAATGGAAGACAAGGGTTCGAAGAGCTACTGTAAGTTTATACCGAAACTTGGCGGAGATGAAGAATGATGTTTGATAAGCTACAAATACGGACCTGATCCAAAAAACGTACCATTTTGCATCCGGGAAGTATCAAAAAATATAGCAAAGTGTCTCCTTTTCCAACTAAAAATATAATACTTAATTTTTTAGGGCTCGCCCTTTCCCCCACAAAAAGAACGGGCGCAATTTTGAAATTGGAGCTTTCTCACTTGAAGAAGGAGGTATTTTGCCACATTCTGATACTTCCCGGATGCAAAATGGTACTTGTTTTGTCACTAGATTAGGTCCGCCACTGTATAAACGAAGGTCTGTGGTTGGCCTCCGCTTTGCAGAAATTGTCAAAACTTAACACTTTTTTTGCCAGTTTTTATATGAAAAAACAAGCTCAATATTTTTTACAATGAGGGCAACATTTCCACAAAAAACATCAACCTTTTTTACACAAAATTGGCAAGGATATGGCAAAAATATTGTCGCCTTATATAGAAGGCGCGACGCTCAAATTTTGACAAAACTTACAAGGGAAGTACTTGAAGTGTGACGCTCAGATTTTGATGAAACTTGGCACAAATTTAGAATAATTTTTTCTAAGATATATGCGGGAATCCTAGCTCGCGCTTTGCAGAAACATCCGAGATTTTTAGATCGAAAGTCGGCGAAAATTTGGGACTTTTTGCCGAATTTCGGCACGAAAAGTTTCATGCCTATTTCAACCGTAAAGAATAATGTTTCTACAAAAAATCTAATTTTTCCGCACGAAACTGCCAAAGTTATGGCCAAAAAGCGGTTTTCTCTCTGACCGCTCTCCACGTTGAGCGTGCTCTCTCGGCGGCAAAAATCGTTCAATATCTCGGCGGCGCCCGTAAAGCGCGAGCTAAAACTTTCAGGAATTGATATTTAGTCCATACCCGATGTGTGTGCAAAATTTAAAGAAAATCTGAGCGTCACACTTGAAGTACTTCCCCTGTTAGTCCAAAATTTATATTGTTTTTTCACATATATAACGGAACTACAGAAACGTCACTGTATCCCTATTACATATAGGTAGCTTACAAAAACCCCCATAACTCCTCACTTCTTTCTTTTTATCCCAAAATGTAATATGTACATATGTATATGTATTAGTAATCACCCCCTCCTACAACTTTCCTCTCCCTCTCCCCTCTCTGTTCTTCATCAAGTCAAATATCATCTGTTTCAGTGCTATTACTTTCTATCCTTTTGCTTTTTTTCTCTGTCTGGGCCTTTTTGTCAGGTGTCCAAATCTCGTGACAAAAGCACTCGCAACACGAAAAGCAGGTCAGGGTCGAAAGTTTGCCTGTCCTTTGGTCCGCAAGACGATCTAAACGAGTTGAATGGAGATAAATGTATGCTTTGACTTCCCTTGCAGGCGTACAATGTTTCAAATTCCCCTCCAGGAAGTACAAAGTTCGTGTAGTTTAAAGCCTTCTGCCTATGTAACAAGTAATTTGAAAGACTTGATAATTGCGTTTGATCAATGACCTGTGATTGCTATTTTATCACACAGAGAAAAAAAGATTTGTCAATTCGCCAGATTTCCTGCTACACTGATATGATAGATTTGACGTTCTCCTCAGTAAACATAACCCAGTTAAATGGGATAAAAATAGGTTGGTGATAAGTGGAACCTACAACAAATGTCGGCATAACAAAGCTTTGAGCTACATATTTCAGAGGACAGGAAGTCAATTAAGGCCAAGTTGAACCTCTATATAACAAAACCCTTCTATAACCAACATTTTTGATCTTTGCAATTCGCACTATAGACGACCAAAGCACCAAAAATAAGACATTGCAATGAGTCATCAAAAAATTTCACACTGTTAAAAAACCAATAGATCAGACATCAATCGACTGTGTAAAGGACAAAGTCCACAAAAATATGTTTGCCAAACTTTGTACCCCACTTGCCCCCCACGAGGTGCGCCATCTGCTCTTCCGGCTCAACGTCAGCGTCGGCTGCAAGCGAATCGAATGTTTTTCCGGCATGAGAGAAGCGCCCAACCGCCTCAGCTAGACTAGAAGATCGATCGGAGGGAACGTTCGGAAATCTCAAGTCTCAACAACAGTTTCTGACGGGAGTGTTTGAAGAAACGCGAGTGAACTTTGTCCGCTGAACAGGTTGGCTGTGGGCCAGAAGCGTGGAAGAGAGGGGAAGCGAGAGTTTGAGGAAAGGTTTCAAGCTTGAAGCAACATTAGATTTGCTGTTGAGGCATTATGGAAAATGGGGAGGCAGAGTTGGAGAAAAAAGTTTTTTCGGCCAGGTCTTTGCTACTTTTGGTCAAAAATAATTGATTTTTAGTAGGAAAATAAGTAGTACTATACCTAATAAAACGCTTACTTTCCATAGTAAAAATCTCAAAAAAAATCGGGATTTTCAGCAAGTTTAAAGTTCAAAATCTCACAAAAAAAATCTCGAAAGGCAATTCACATATCTTCCCCAAATTTTGCCCACTAAATATCATCATACTTTCTGACGATCCCAGAAAATTTTTGCTCAAAATTTGCAAGAAAAGCCGAGATATTCAACAACAATTTTTGCTGACGAGAGAGTATGTATAAAATGTGGAGGGCGAAAATGCCTTCCCATATAACAGAGTTTGAAACAACATCCCCTGTGTTAATAGAAGTTCCAAACAAACAGCCATAAAAACCATCATACACAGAAAGTTACTGCCGGGAAATGGGCATTAAAAGGGCAATAAAAAATCATCAATACAGTATTGTCGAATTGATAAGAGCCTCAATTTCCTATGGCGCAATTTACAAGTGAATCTTCAAAGTTCAATTTTTAGGTTTTATACCTTCTTTCCGCATAAAATTAATTATTTCCCGCTTATTTACATTGTATATTTTTTATCACCATTCCTCCAAAACATCGCTCATCAAGAAGATGTTCAACATACACGAAAGATAACGGGTTGAGGGGAAAGATACACGTTTCAGGGCAAAAAACAGAACGGGATGGCGTGATTCGACGGATTCTTTTGATTCGAATATTGCCAATAATTTTTGAGAAGAACAAAGTCGAGAAAAGATAAAAATAATCATTGGGGTCTTCTGGAAGAAGGTGGAAATTGAAACGAATTTTTATATTTTTTTAAAGAAAAAAGCAAAAAAAAATGAAAAATTTTTCGAAATTTCAAAAAAATCTCAAAAAAATTTTTTTTTCAGACCACACAAAATTCGATTTTCAGACAGCAATAACACGATCAGACCACTTTTCTCAATATTTCCACCTTTTTCGGTGATGACTCAACTCTTATTTTTATTTACCTCGGAAAAAATCCCTCATCCTTTTTCGAAATTTCTGACTGCGCACTTTTTTGTGACGTCTCACAAAACAGACACGTTGCTTTCGCAAAAAAAGACACACAATTTGAGAGGGAAATACGTTCGCAGTCCGGAGATTTACATGTTGGAAGAAATGAATGGGAGAAAACTGAGGGGTTTTTGAAATAAAAAAAAGTTTTTTTGAATAAAATCAAACATCAATGAGGGGGGAATTTTGAGATTTTTCGAGAAAAAATTTTCTTCTCAAATTTGATGACATTTGAAGGTAAAAAATTACATGTTAGATGTGACATAAAGTAAAAACAAAATAAATTACAAAGTATTAAACAAAAACGTAATCAAAAATATTAATCACGGCACGAAAACCATCAAAACCCATTTAAAAAATCGCAAAAATTTAAAAAATTGGACAAAAGAATCACTTCAAAGTTCAATGTTTAGAATAATTTTTGCTCTTCACTTACCATTCCATCTCTTTTGCCGGCAAAACAATCAAAATGGAAAGAAATTTGCAGGCGTTGTCCCAGAGGTTCGAAAAGCAAGGCCGGCTTCGAAACTAACGCCCGGCCATTTCGTTTTCCACAGCCTCTTTCTCTCGGCCGCTCCGTTTTTCGGCTTATATTTTCGTTTCGGGGGGTTTCAAGTGACCACTGCTCTTTTTGAAAGGGCGAGAAGGCTCCTGGAAGGCCGACAGATTTTTTTGCGTTAACTTACCGTTTTGAGGGCTACAGGAAAACCTTTTTAGACTAATCGCGCCGTAAAGTCCGTGGAATTTTTTTATCGGGTGCGATTTGCAGAAAAGTGCATGTCGCTAGTGCAAAAACGGAAAGTCGCGGGCAAAAAATGCGCTGTAAAATCTCTACAAACTTTATGGCGTAGTAACGATGACTCTAAAAATTTTTTCTTCCAAATTTGCCAACAAGAAAAGGCTGACAAGTGCGACGCTCAGATTTTCTTTAAATTTTCCATACATGTCAGAACATGGGTTAATATAAATCCCTGAAAGTCTATGCAAAACACGGAGAATGGTCAGAGAGAAAAAATCGCTTTTTGGCCTTGTCCTTGCCAGTTTCGTGTGGAAAAAAATGATTTGAAACACTTTACCATTGAAATATAGGCATGAAACTTTTGATGGGGAAATTTGGAACAAAATGTCCAATTTTTTCAATTTTTGACCCAAATAAATATCCCGGTCATTTCTGCGAAGCGCGAACTAGAAGCCTCGCAGAATGATTCAAAATCTAAGCCAAGCTTTGTTAAAATATGAGTGTCGCGCTTGGAGCACTTCCTCCTCTATATGTAAATAAAGATTGTCTCGCCAAAACCTAATTGTATTCTAAGGAAACAGGCGATTATATATTGAAAGAAGAAGGTCAAAACGTGACCAAAATGGCTCCACAAACAGTAAATTTTGTCCTTTTTAGAATAATAAAATTTATTTCATCATCATCTATCTAGACATAGCCAAAACAACATAAAGCTTGACTCGCTACCTCCTCATTTTGATGTAGCAAAAACGTCGATTCTCGATGGCTTTGATGAGTGTATTGCATTTGAACAGCTATTATTGCCCAATTATTTGTCTCAAAACCACTGGTTTATATTTAAGATCAAGAGTCTATCATACACATCAGGTTAACAAGATATGCCACAATCATGCTATTATATAAAGCAATGCTGGAAAATAAATATTATATTACCCGTTTGTAAATATAATATCAGAGGAGATCATTGTCAAAATCCTGACTAGTATTTACATCTTTCTTATTACAAAATTGTTTTAGCGACACCAACGGTATCCAGACAACGTCATTGTACCATCTAAGTTGCCGCCTTGCTCGTAAAAGGCTTCGAGTTTTCGTTGTTGGTCTTGGACACCGAATACATCTCCGTCGAGTGCATTTTCTTCCCGAATTTTTGTAGGAAGTACCGAGTAAATGGTCGAATTGTCAGAGCCATCATTAACGTATTGGCAAGCGAATGAGTTGTTCCGAGCAGAACAATGTATGAGGTATATCCTGGAGAAAAATGAAAATGTGTTGTTTATGGACGTGAACTTACGTCCAACACTGAAAGTGCTCAACGCCGACAGAACTGAGAGCATCATGAATGGCAGGATGAGGGTGGTCAGAGGTACGACGAACTAAAAAAAAACATAGCTGAAGTCGGGTCAGAAGACTGCTTACAACTCATAAACATCACAGAGTGGAGGACCTGATCCAGTGGCAAAAAACGTGCCATTTTGCATCCGGGAAGTATCAAAAAATGTGGCAAAATGCCTCCCTTTCCAAGTGAAAAAAAACTCGGATTTCAAAAGCGCGCCCGCTCTTTTTTGTGACGGAACCCTTCAAAGGGGACGTTTTTTAGTTGGACAGGGAGGCATTTTGCTACATTTTTTGATACTTTCCGGATGCAAAATGATAGGTTTTTCGCCATTGGGTCAGGTCAGCCACTGTAGTCAAGTACAAGGAATCCCATAGGACTTTAAAAAGTCGTACAATTTGTTGTACAAATATTTCGTTTGTCCCTACGACCAATGAAACTGCTTACTATAAACAGGTTTCGTTGTAAGAAATTTGTTGCAGAGAGCTTCTAATACACAACGCCACAAAGCTTACCTGATAACAAAGCGCTCTCAACAGCTGCAAATGCAGTCTTCTCGTTTGAAAGGACATTTTGCTTTGCATAATCTCCAAGTCTTTGTAGCACTTGGAAATCAGCGCTATTGCGAACGGAATGGCGAATGCAAAACTAGCAAAAGTGGCAGTTAAAAAGGCCCAAGTCATTGTGTTGTTGTACTCCAACGAAACTCCAGTACATCGATTTGAAAGGAGAACACGGGCAATCGTTGGGTGGTGCTAAAAGAAATATATTTATATATTTTGTTGTACAAAGGATTTACCATAACTGTGTTACAAGTCGCTATGGATAAAAGTATTAGTTCAACTTACTCTGATAACAGCGCTATTGTTTTCATCTCTATTTCCTATCGCCATATGCCGCATCACCACAATCGGCAAGCCCAGACTAAATTGGACAACTGCAATTGTAGTGATCCCTCTTTTGCTGGTCAGTTTTCTGGTATGGTTGTGAAGGCAGGTGTACCGATAAGCAATCGCCATGATAATCGACAAATTAACCGAGCTGTAGAGGAGAATAAACAAATCCTAGAGCTTTGAGTTGAACAAAAAATAGAGAAAGTCACTTACATAGGCTATGACTCCTCCAATCGTATCGCCCAGATACTTCAGCGGCCCCAAAGTGCATGTAAACAGTACTGGGAAAAGGACTAGCGGAGAGTAAAGCGCAGAGGTATAGATGTCGAAGAGGTAGCTCATTATCTGAAATAAATGTATATACGAATTGGTTGAGGTGTAGTAGGGCCAAAATTTACAGCTTGCTATAGAGGACCATCCCTGTAGAGAGATAGTGCCCTGTAGAGAGAGAGAGAGCCCTAAACAACGAACTCTCATATAACGAAACCTCCCGACAACATACAATTCTAGTGGTGTTCAGAATCGGTTGAACCTGAACTCTACCCCTTTTCTGAACTTTACCCCTTTTTGAACACTACCTCTCATTTTGAAAATTGAAAAAATGAGGTGTGACATCTTATACGATGAAATTTTTTTTCAAATTGAAAATAATAAGATGTGACACCTTATACGATGAAAATTTTTTTTCAAATTGAAAATAATAAGGTGTGACACCTTATACGATGAAAATTTTTTTCAAATTGAAAAGAATAAGGTGTGACACCTTATACGATGAAAAAATTTTTCAAATTGAAAATATTTTTTCATCGTATAAGATGTCACACCTGATTTTTCTCAATTTGAAAAAAAAATTTCATCGTATAAGATGTCACACCTAGTTTTTTCGATTTGAAAAAAATTTTCATCGTATAAGATGTCACACCTGATTTTTCTCGATTTGGAAAAAATTTTCATCGTATAAGATGTCACACCTTATTATTTTCAGTTTGAAAAAAATTTTCATCGTATAAGATGTCACACCTAGTTTTTTCGATTTGAAAAAATTTTACATCGTATAAGATGTCACACCTGATTTTTCTCAATTTGAAAAAATTTTTCATCGTATAAGATGCCACACCTTATTATTTTCAATTTGAAAAACAAATTTCATCGTATAAGATGTCACACCTGATTTTTCTCAATTTGAAAAAATTTTTCATCGTATAAGATGTCACACCTAGTTTTTTCGATTTGAAAAAAATTTTCATCGTATAAGATGTCACACCTGATTTTTCTCGATTTGGAAAAAATTTTCATCGTATAAGATGTCACACCTTATTATTTTCAGTTTGAAAAAAATTTTCATCGTATAAGATGTCACACCTAGTTTTTTCGATTTGAAAAAATTTTACATCGTATAAGATGTCACACCTGATTTTTCTCAATTTGAAAAAAATTTTCATCGTATAAGATGCCACACCTTATTATTTTCAGTTTGAAAAACAAATTTCATCGTATAAGATGTCACACCTGATTTTTCTCAATTTGAAAAAATTTTTCATCGTATAAGATGTCACACCTTATTTTTTCAATTTTCAAAATGGGGTAGTGTTCAAAAAGGGGTAGAGTTCAGATTTTTTGGCGAAAATCAAAAAAGGGGTAGAGTTCAGCCTTTTTTGGGGTAGAGTTGAAAAAGGGGTAAAGTTCAGATTGGGGTAAAGTTCAGAAAAGGGGTAGAGTTCTGCCGAACGTTCAGAATCAATTTTATGCTAACAAGGAAGATGTAAGATGAGAACCGTATGTAAAAAAAAGTAGACTCGTCTACAGGGTGACCCAAAATAACGGAGACAAATTTTTGAAGGTCCCACCGCGAAAACCGGGCGTTAGAGAAACATAAGCGACAGCGGGAAATATTCTATAACACCTTCTCTATAATCCACGAAAGTTTGGTGGAATCATCATGCTGCAGTAAAAAGTTACAGCTTAACAAATATGCCTTGCGCCGTTTTTTTGGCCCTCAAGTTTGGTTCCCTTGTGTTGTGTAAAGCCTGGCATTACTACAGCCGCAGAAATGGCAAGATCTTTTGTTTTGTTAGACTACTAAGTCCCTAAGAAAGCAGTTACGTAGGCTTTTGGACTACGGTTTTTATTTCTACGGTGATACCGATCTCAACATTGAAGATCGCCATTTTTCCCAAATTTTTTCCATAAAAAATTCAGTTTTTTTCGAATAAAGCTAAAACCGCTAGTACGTGTTCTATTCATAAATACAATGATTCTGAAAAAATCTGTGATTGCTTGCTGGTTGCAACAGCTTTTCCTTAACAAGTTTATTGCCCAGAACTTCCCCGTGGCACGCGGCTTTGAGAAAGATGGGTTATCGATAACAGAATGACATGATAGATAAAAATGGCGCATTATGCTCCTGTACACTTATGAATACGACTCTTGAGAATCAGCCTAGGGCACTTTCGGTCTTTATGTGTCACCGACTCGACCGGTATTCCGCCTAAGGCAAAAATAAGGCAGAATTCTAGTGATTACCAAATAGCATTCCGTATCGGTTGCAAAATCTTTCTCTTTTGCTTTTGTGGTGTTCCTTTAATCATGTTCTAGTAACTCATATTACATTTTGCCTTATTTAACATTTAAACTCCTTGTTGCGCTTACATTTTCAAAAAAGGCCGATTTTTGCACTTCAACTGCCTGAAAATACTCGGCTGTAACTTTTGAACCATCGATAGTTAAGCTTAGTATGATAGCTCATTTTAAAGGTCTTATTACGATAATTAATCACTGCACATCTCAAACTATTCCGAGTTTTCTTTTTTGAGTAAGACAGCTTTCTTGTAAAAAGACCCCACGGGCAGAAGGGTCCGAGTCAACCGGATATATTTATGTCGTTCAAGGCAGAAGAGCGTCGTACAACAAAACTATCTGTAAATAAAACTACCCTAACGTGGTACTGTAATATAAATAAGGAGTCACTCATGAATCTTAATAAGTCGCAGAAAAAACGGGAAATCTTTTGTCTCCGTTATTTTGGGTCACCCTGTATAAATCAACAAATTTCTGGACGCCTAAGGTTTGTTTTTAAAGAGGTTTCACTGCATTCGTATACACATGACTGACACTTACGACAATGTTGAGCAAGAAGTACCGATAGAATCCAAACCGACTGGGAGATTTGAATAGAACGAGGTAGATGCCGATGAAGCATGATATTGTAGAAACAACGCCATTGATTCTGTACAGGATCAGTAATAAATAAGGGTTACGGTCCTCCCAAAATTCGGTGTCAGTTTCCATTTGAGCTGTAAATAAAATGGAATAGCTGTAATTAGAAGAAGAAAGTGCATAGTCGCGCCATAAAGTCCTGACACATTTCGCGGCAATTCCCCGTCTTTGCACTAGCGACATGCACTTCCGCGCGAGCTCACACTAATTTCCTCGCGCGACACCCGCGACAAATATGTCAGGACGTACATCTCCGTACTAAAGAACACCACTAGAGCAAACAAGCTCTTTTGATCCCTTAAAATCCGATGTACAGGGTTTACTGTAGATAGATGTATTGCGAGCCTCGGTAAGTTGCAAAATCTATGTAAAAAACAAACATCATTGACTACCCACAGCCCGTACAAATATGGCCTATTTAATACGAATATATTAATAAAATTTCTTAACCAATTACAATAAATTTCTTCCTGGAAGTAAATACGCATATTTCCTACTGACCCAAACCTTATTAATGTAAGTCCTTGGTTTAACGCAATTGTCGTAAAAACGGGCTGCTTGGTCAGTTGAACATAACACTCAACTTGCACGTTAGCAAGACATATAGTATAATATTTATAGGCCAGGTGTAATTCAAATGTGCTAAAACCCATTTAAATGCACAAATGATTTCGGGAAAACTGTGGCCCATAAGAACTTATTAGAAAGGTGTGTCAGGTGCGACGCTCAGATCTTCGTTAAATTTTTTATGGGACATACGGCGCTTCAAAATTTTTGAAAAGTTTAGCTCGCGCTTTTGAAGAGGTTACCAACAGTTGGCGATTTTTGTGGTATCTCTGCCAGCTTTGCGAAAAATATTATAACCTGTTTCGGAACATTGCCTTCTAAATTGGTTTGAAACGATTGCGCCGAAATTCGCAGATTTTCAGCACACATTGCCATATTTTTGGTAATTTCAAGAATACAGTGGATCTTCCAAAAATCTCAACTGTTCCTGCAATACGCTATATATGGAGTTTCGTATATGGTTAAGAAAAATTTAGTCGAAATTTGTGCCAAGATCTGAGCACTTCCATTTTTTGTCAACCGCTGTCTGACAAAGAAAGGAAGCCATATGTGATCGCAGTGATATAACCAAATAAATGCATGTAAATGAAAACCCGCCAAATGAGTGGTAAAAGGTGTAGTTTAGACGGCAATACCATAAAGTTCGAATAGCATTCAGCAAGTTTTGTGATTTCCAAGAATTCAGATTTCTCGCTGTTTCAAGTAATCTGCGGGGAAGTGAAACTACTAATGGGCTGGGCTCAAATGAGCCTTTTTATGGCGTAAAATAGCCTTGTTTTTGCCGTTCCAGAAATATTAAAGGAATTTTTCTATAATAAACTTCCCTGTCAAGGATTTTTAATCAAATTCCAGATATTGTTTGGTGCCTTATTATGCCGTGACAAAGGTCCGTTTGCGGGGATTTGAATACCAAATGAAAAATAGACGTGGTCATACGTTAAAGTTAAGGTACTGTGGCAGATATGGTAATAACAATTATGTAATTAGGGGCGGAGTTAAAAATAAGGAGGATCTTACTTCCACAGCCAGGTTTTTGTGAAAAGAAACAGCAAAAAGATGGTTTTAACTGGGTAAAAGTCCAGTGATTCATTGTTTCCTTCTTTTTTATGGGATACAGAAGAAATACTTGTATAGTAACCGGATATTTTTTGCTGATAATTACCGAAAAACGGCCAAAATTTTATTTTTTGCAGCACAATGGCGGTAAAAACGCCACCAGCGTCAGCATTCCATTCGAAAACGAGCAAAATAAATATGTACTAGTCGCGGAAAAAAGTCCTGGGATTTTTCTGCGACTCTGCACTGTGCATGAACCCGAAAAGTGCTTTTGCACAGTGCAATTTTGTTGATTTTGCCTTATTGTCGCACGCGATTCCCGCGACAAATCAACTTTTCGGAGCGCGACGGAATTTGGGGGGCGCGAGAAAATCCCAGGACTTTTTTCCGCGACTAGTATAGGAAGAGAAGATTCCAAAAACATAAAAAAGTGAAAAAATAGCACCGAGGCATTTCCGGGATTCGGACACTTCCGGAACCGGGAAAAACAAAAGATAAGGCTTGGAACTACCATAGGAATTTATTTACTCCTGTTAATTACATTTCGTTTTTTTTATTTTCTAAAAAGGTACTGCTAAAGATTATTTTTTGAATTTTTTCTGGGAAAAAAGAGAAAATTACTTGTTAACACTTATGTTAAAAAAAGTAACAGCCAAAAAAATCAGCGAAACTTTTGAGGTTAATAACATAGATCTATTCAGATGGTTCAGGTGGTGGTTCTAAGCCCTAAATTTTGTTTTTCCCGGTTCCGGAAATGCGATTATTCCGCCATTCCAAAAGTGCCCAAATTAACGGAAAAATCAACTCATTCGAGTACGGTGTATCTGATGACTTTTTATCAAATACAGATACCGATTTTTTGTAAGCTCAGAATACCCGTGTGAAGAGACATACGGATACGTACATACGTACGTATCTGAAAATACCGTGAATCGCAAATTACATTTAAAAAATTTAAGAAAAACTCCGAGGACATAGGCACGTTCTTTCGAACCCATCCCGTTTTTGAGACGAACGCAGACCGTAAATTACGAGTACGCCCATTATTAGACAAAATTGCGAATCCCAAAAAAAAGGCCAAAGATAAATGAGACATGCACTGCTAATTTCTTGCAAAGCTGTAAATTTAACTATACATATAAAATTGGATTAAAAATAAGTCATTTACAAGATTTGTAGGCGAACTGTTGCCCGGAGCAAGGACAAAAATGTGTAAGTTTAGAAGTTCATCATCGACCAAACAGCATGAAAATGTAGCAAGTCATCTGAAAATTTGTAAGAACCATTTTAGCTTTTGGACGTTTTAACTTGTTTTTTATCGAAACATTACTCTAAAAAGAATTTTAACATGTGGCCAAAAGCTAAAATGTTACAGTGGCGGAATTGATTCAGTGGCAAAAAACGTACCATTTTGCATCTGGGAAGTATCAAAAAATGTGGCAAAATACTTCCCTCTCCAAGTGAAAAAAACTCCGATTTCAAAAGCTCTTTTTGTGAGGGAACCCTTCAAAAAGGAGGTTTTTTAGTTGGGAAGGGAGGCATTTTGCCACATTTTTTGATACTTCCCGCATGCAAAATGGTATATACGTTTTTTGCTATAAAAAATTGAAATCCGGTAGAAAAGTTGCCGCATCCGGTAAAAAAGCGTCGGATTTTTACCAAATTTTGACCTAAAAGTCTGGGCACTAGCCCTACCGGAAAGTCGCTGGACTGATTTCTGGCGCTTGCAATGTGAGAAAATAGTCAGGGTGCAAGCGACAGTCGAAAAAACCCTATTGCAAAAAGCAAAAAATTGCACAGTGCAAAAAAAACAAAACCTTTACAACTTTTGTTTTCTCACAGTGCATGTCGCGAAAGTCACTCCAGCGAGTTTCCGGAAGGACTAGAAGTTCCTGCAAAATGCGAGCTGTGAGCCTCACATAGATACTTGCAAAAAAAAACGATCATAAAATTATAAATTTGTGGGTGTCATGAAAATCTGAGCGTCGCCCTTGGAGCACTTCCCTGCGAATTTATCGCCTACGTCAACAAGAATAAATAAGCCATCAAAAGGCGCGGACTTGAGTAACAATAAATTATTCAGTGTCCACAAGATTTCGGAGGGAAACCCGCATTCTTTTTTGGACGGCGACAAGTTTAAGTGGCGTGAGAAGATACCATATCTGAATAGGGATTCTGCAAGACAACTGGAAAATATTGCCATCAAGGCGAAATGGAATCAAAGATTTTATTTTTTTTTGCTTTTCATGCCAAAATAAGACGGAAGAAGGGTAATATTAGACGCATTAGACCGAAAGATTATACATAGTCCTGAATTGGGTTGTTCAGTTCCAATGAAGCTTTGTTTTGCCAGCTTGGACAATACCGGCAAAAAGGATTCTCTTCTGATAGCCGCAAGAGACAGCAAGGGAAGTGATTCATGTACAAGTTTTGTAGGCCACTTATTAATTCCTGAATATTTTAGTTTGCTCTTTGCAGGGGCAGACAAAATATTCAACCAATCTTTTATATATAAGAGAGCACACAAAATGAGGAGGGCGATCAGAGGGACCAGTCACTTTTTATCAAAAAAGTGGCTGGCTATCTTTGCCAACTTTGCGTGGAAAAATTGCACATTGAAGAAACGTTTTTTATACAGTAAACGCTTTGCCATCCACGGTAAAAATGAAGCTAAAACTTTTTATGAATAAACTTGCAAAAAAAATTCGAATTTTCGCTTAATTCCTTTGGAGAAAAAGTAATCGTTTATGCTTGCAAAAGGATGACTTTAAAATCTCGCATGTCTCTGAGAATAAACAGTCTAAATTTGTGCTAAGCTGCTTGAATTAAAAATAGAAAATCATTAGGTCTTGTCGCCTCAAATATCAAGTTAAGTTCTCGAAAGTCCGAAGTCCTTTTTTCCTCAATTGTAGGGCCAGCAAGCGCCACTCAAATCCCTGGCTTTTGTCTCCCTAAGAACCCGTACGTCTCTTAAATATACCGAAATCTTCTCGATGTTTTTTTTCGAGTTTCATAAACCTATAAGAAGTTTAATTTCTTTTTATGAAACCTTTCAATCCCAAAGCTCTAAAATTCCAAGCCGTTTTTCTTATTGGAAATGCAGAAAGGATGGTGAGACGTGAGGAATTCGTAATTCCCCTTGCATTTCCACGTTGTAGCACTTTAATTTGCCTCAGACTACAAGGTTTGCGTTTGTGGACGCTGAGAGTGCATTTCAGCGGCATTGTAATCTATGTAATTAGAGGGGGAGTACCCCAAGTGCAACACTCAGATTTTCTTTAAATTTTGCATACACGTCGTTCATGAACTAAGTATTAATTTCTGAAAGTTTTAGCTCGCGTTTTGCAAGCGCCGCCGAGATATTGAACGATCTTTGTCGCCGAGAGAGTACGCTAAGCGCGGGGAGCGGTCAGAGAGAAAATGATTTTTTCATCATAACTTTGCTATTTTTGTGCGGAAACAATTGATTTTTTGTGGAAAAATTTATCGCTATGGTAGAAATAGGCATGCAACTTTTCGTGCCGAAATTCGGCGAAAAATGTCAAATTTTCGCCAACTTTGGATCTAAAAATCTCGGTTGTTTCTGCAAAGCGCGATCTGGGATTTTTGCATATATTTTAGAAAAAATTATTCTAAACTTGTGCCAAGTTTCGTCAAAATCTGCGTGCCGCACTTGGGGTACTCCCCCAAGTTTTAGCGGTTTCTTCTCGAAAATAATTTTTCAAAATTTTGCTAAGGCACAGAAAGGCTAATTCATGACATATCTTTTTGAAATCCAACTGGTTGAAAACGAAGGGTCTCAGCTTCAGAAAAATCTAAATTTTAGGAAAATCGGCGGAGTTTCCGCGGAGAAAACTATAAAAAGAGGGCGGAGGCTTCGAGTGGCCCACCCTGTATAATTCCTTCCAAATGTGGAATCGTTACACTCCTTACACTCCCGTCAGCCCGACTTGATCATGCGGCAAAACGTATTGCATCCACGTGGATCTTGAGTGCAGTAAGTTTCATCCCTTCGTCAAAGAACTGTTTGAATTATCGCTTTTTAACTGCACTTTGCCCGTTTCTTCTCCTACTATTCCCCTGAACTTGACAATGAGCTCGTCAATTTTTTGTCGCCTGCATTGGATCGAAGTAAGATTAATTGATTGTTTTTACCGCAATTTAAAGTTTCTTCACGACTGCTATAAATGTTATTGATAAACACTTTTTGTCAGTCCATTTGGAACCGAAATGAAGCCATTTTCACTTTTATTTCTGCTTCCGCTGATTGCCAACGCCGACCTGTACGCACATGCCGTGTCGGAGGCGCGCAAGCTGCTGGATGCCAGCATAATTCCGAACGTCACGATACGAGAGTGCTCGTGCGATGAGCAGTCGGAATGTCTGACCGAAATGAAGATGCAGATGCTGATCTGCGCTGATAATTGTTGGGGACAGATTCAGCATACCTTCAAGCAGCCGGATGACATGAAACAATGTGTGTTGAATAAGAGTGTTGACGCGGGGACGGCATTGGATTGTGTGGAGAGGAATGTGGAGTCGTAAGTCTTAATATATGTACCAGGGAAGTGGTAGAAGTGCGAGGCTCAGATTTTACTAATATAAAAAAAAATTGCGGACTTATAATGCCCGTGTGTAATATAAATTCCGCAAAATTTTAGCTCGCTCTTTGTATGAGCGGACGAGAGATTCAACTAAATTTGTCAACGAGAGATTGCACGAAATGCGGAGAGGCGGAGAGAAGAATTTTTTTAGCCATATCTTTGCAAATTTTGCAGAAAAAATTTTTTTTTGTAGAGATGACTCCTGCAGTACATTCGACCAAAAAAATCTTGGTTGTTTCTGCAAAGCCCGAGCTAGGAACCTGGTATATACCTTTTAAAAATGTCTTTAATCCTGAGCGTTGCCCTTCATACAATGACGGATCTGATAAATGGCAAAAAACGTACTATTTTGCATCCGGGAAGTATCAAAAATGTAGCAAAATACCTCTCTCTTCAAGCTAAAAAACTCGGATTTCAAAAACACGCACGCTCTTTTTGTGAGGGACCCTTCAAAAGGGAGGTTTTTTAGTTGGAAAGGGAGGTATTTTTCTACTTTTTTGATACTTCCCGGATGCAAAATAGCACGGTTTTTGCCACTGCATCATGTCCGTCACTCTGCCTTTTGAACAGGTTTTTTTTTGGTTTTTTTAAAATCCCACTTTCAGATGTCTCCGAGAAAAGTCCGAAATAGAAGTCCCAAAACACGACATCGAGAAGGGAATCAACTTAATCATGGCCTACGTCAAGAAGAGCACCGCAAAGATGTCCAAGTCGCTGTCCACTCCGATTCAACGACTCATTAAAACAGCTGAAACTTTCACAACGTGTTTAAAGACCTGCTTTGTCGCTAAAAACAAGCCAACGGGTTTCTGTTTCGATCGAAAGCAATGCCAGCCAAAAATCGATGACAAGAAGGTGAGAAGCGCCCTGAAGAGTTGCATGGGGCGTTACGATTGGAAGCAGGAGGCGGGGGAAATGTGCGAATGCACTGCGAACGCCGGAGTATCGTAAGTCGGATTTACGTCGTAAAAAATTCTGCAATATTTTGTTTGTTGTTTTCCTTTTCATGTGATTTGCTTTCAGGGAAGTTGCGCAATTCTGCAGGGTCTTCAAACTTATGGGTACCCGTGAACGTCATGGTTAGCGGCTCAAGCTGGATGTTGCAATAGTAATCGACTCTTTTTGTCATGTTATTGTTAAGAAATAAATCAGGCTAGTTGAATTTTATCAACGAATATGTAGAGTGGAGGTTCTGCACAAAGAATCGTAACAGATAAAAAAATTAGTTCGTTATAGAAAAGCGTCTTTCTAGCAGATTCATTTTGTCCTATACTTGACTCTAGAGACCTTTGGAATTGTTCGTTATAAACGGGTTTGGTTATATGTGAATTTGTTGCACAGAGGTTCTAAGCAGTTCCGGATTGATAAGTCTAAAAATTCACTGTTTCCCAAGTTGGTCCATTTTTTATAAAATCCTCATCATATCAGATGAAATGAAAGATTCTGAGGACTAAAAAAGGTTATCTTAAAATTTGGCTTTTCGGGTCAGTGACAGTTCGGGTCAACGATACTATGGATCGTGTCAGTTCGTCGTTGTATGCATGGGGAGGCTAGGAGAAGGCTTATTTAGATAGTAGAAATAATAAGATTGGTCGGGTCCTAGGATATCTTATCAACTATTTTGAGGCATTTCACATGTACTCACATCATTAATATCTAGATAAAAGTTACAAACCTTCGCTTTTTGCCGCAACTTTTGGTCTTTTATATGCTACAATAGCTCAGGGTAAAGAAAACTTACGTTAGTAAGAGCTAAAATTAGAAAAGTAGACATATTGCAAGCCTTGGTCAAGTCTCCGCCAAGCCTCGCCGAGTGTCCGTCGACCATTCAACGGCTTTGCCAGACCTCGTAGGCACTTCCTACGCCGTTCTTTTGGTATCCACCTGCCCTACGCCTCGTATCGATCGACTTTGTGTTGACCCGAACTGTCGTTGACCCAAAAAGTCGGGACGCGTAAAATTTAGTCGAAAAATAAAAAATTCATAGCCAATTAAAATCACGCTACAAAACTGTCTTACCACGTACACTGCAAAATTAATTGTCACCGGAATTTACAACTTCAACATCGCAAAAAAATTATCATCAAATTTTTTTCCACATGGCAAGTTAAATTCTCCACACAACCTTCTTCCTTTTTTGGTGGTAATTGCGAATTCCTCCCACTAAAATCACCTATTTTTTACTTCTTTTTACAACAATTCGCATACAAAAGATTGCTTGAGACAAATCAACCGCATAACACGTTGCGAATCACGTTAAAAGTTTAACAAGTAGAGTAGAACCATTTTGTAGGCTTATCCAATTACCGCCTTCACAACATTGTCATCCTGTTGTTTCAGGCGTGTTATAAAGTGGCTTCAGCAGGTGGAAGCGGTCGCTTTTGTCACGCTCTAATCGCCCTCCCCATAAACTCCGGTTTGTTCGCCGCTTTGTGCAAAATTAACTGAAATTTACAGGAAATCGGAATTCGCGCTTCCTTCGGTTTACTTCGTTTTTTTTTCTTTTACAGACATGGTGCACTACAAGCTGTGGTATTTCCCGGTGAGGAATCTGGCCGAGGGCTCGCGCATGGTCCTGCATTATGCGAATGTGCCGTTTGAGGACTTCCACATTCCTTTCAATGAGTGGCCAACGACTTATAAGAATAGTAAGCCATTACTGTTTAATTTTCTTGAACTTTATTGTAATAAAGTTATGAATTTATAGAGACGCCGTATGGAAAAATCCCAGTCCTGGAGGTGAATGGAAAGCCATTGTGCGAAAGCTCAACGATTCTTAGGTTCCTCGCCAAGCAGTATGGTAAGGAAAACGTGAAAAAAGGAAGACCACACTTGCGGGCAACCACTTTGCGGGCAGCTAGAAGAACCAATGATTTTCTGAAAAACCTCGGCGAGTTTTAGGGGTTTAGGTCAAAAATAATTCTTCAAAACTTTGGGAAGGCATTGAAAGGCCAATTCAAAATACATTTTTTTGAAACTCAATTGGCTGAAAACGGCGAGTCCCAGCTCAAGAAAACTCTAATTTTTTTGAAAATCGGCCCAGTCTCCGCGGAGAAATCCGAAGAAAAAAGTTATCCGTTTCTACTGGCCCACCCTGTACAACAGGAAATCCAAACGATGGATTTGGCAGTTAGATGTAGCAAATTAAGTTTTCAGGTCCATAAGTGGCTTAAATAGTTACCACAAGATTAAACAGCCATTTCTAATGTTTCAGAAACCATTTTTCTGAAAACAAATTTCCATAACTTTGAAAGTGGTGGATGAATTCAATAGATTCGTATGTTTATCAATACCAGGGAGACGTCAATGCAAAATTTCAAATATATTTACTACATAGATTACGGGAAAAAATCGTAATTCTAATCGGAAAGGGCCGGCTGCCCGCAAAGTGGTTGCCCGCAAGTACATATAATGCTGATTCTACATACAGTGAGCGACCTGATCCAATGGCAAAAAACGTTCCATTTTGCATCCAGAAAGTATCACAAAATGTAGCAAAATACCTCCCTCTCCAAGTGCAAAAACTCCGATTTCACTAATGTAAGCCCGCACGCTCTTTTTGTGAGGGAAAGGGCGCGCCCTTCAAAACAAAGTTTTTTCACTTGTAAGGAGAAGCATTTTGCCACATTTTCTGATATTTCCCGGATGCAAAATTATACGTTTTTTGCCACTGGATTAGGCCCTTCACTGTAAATGGGAAGGCCTAACTTTGGCCCACTTCCAGGCCTCGCCGGCAAGAACCGCTGGGAAAAAGCGAAAGTCGACGAAATCCTCGAACTCCACAAAAGCGAGTACAACGAAATAATGGAGTGGATAATGGTCACCACCGGCTTCAAGGAGGGCGACAAAGACCGCCTCTTCCACACCATGGCCAAGCCCGTCTGCGAGCACTACTTCAACATATACCATCGTATCTTGAAGGAGAACGGAAGCGGGTTTTTGGTGGGCAAAAAACCAACCGCTGCCGACTTTTTCGTGGCGGATTACCTGCACACGCTTCACAACCTGAAGCCCGAACTCTTCGAAAAGCATCTCGATTTGGTCGGGTTTGTGAAACGGATCTACTCTCTACCTCAGCTGAAGGCGTACATCGAGAAACGCCCAGAAACCCCGCTTTGAAATCTTCGTGGCATACGTTTCACATGAAAAAATTTCTAAAGATTTTAAATTTATTGTATAGTAAAGAATGAGTAAATAAAACATTGTCATGTCCAGAAAAGCTCTGTTATTTCTAGCAGTAATTACTCAAGAAAAACATCGTATATGTCATGTTTATTTACTTCAATATGTACAGTCAAATCTGATTCGACCCATGGGAATCATATGTAAAAAAATAGTTATTTACGAGTATCGAAATGAGTATCAAACTAACAGAACAAGTACCCCAAATGCAATGCTCAGATTTTGATGAAACTTGGCACAAATTAAGAATAATTTTTTCGAAGACTATGCAAGAATCCTAGGTCGCGCTTTGCAGAAACAACCGAGATTTTTAGATCGAAAGTTAGCGAAAATTAAGGACATTTTGCCGAATTTCGGCACGAAAAGTTTTATGCCTATTTCTACTGTAGAGAGCAATATTTCCACAAAAAATCAATTTCTTTCGCTCGAAACTAGCGAAGTTATGGCCAAAAAGTGTTTTCTCTCTGACCGCTCTCCATGTTTAGTGTGCTCTCTCGGCGACAAAGATCGTTCAATATCTCGGCGGCGCTTGCAAAGCGCGAGCTAAAACTTTCAAGAATTGATATTTAGCTCATGCCCGACATGTGTGGAAAATTTAAAGAAAATCTGAGCGTCGCACTTGTGGTACTTCCCCTGTAAGTACAGTGATATAAGAGCCTTGCACGCTCCTTATATCTAAAAAAATTATTTTTCAAGGAACTGAAGCTCGCTTGGGTCATTGCCGGATGTCCGATGGACCCTGACTTTTGGCTTAATTTCCATTTGCTTCTGTGGAACTTGCAAGACCATTGATTGCGAGTGGGAGCTGTTCGAGCTCTCCGTGAACGTCATTGTGATGAACTCTGTATGACGTTTCGTCCTGTTGCTCGCGTTCTCGCCCATTTCGATTCTACCTATGGTTGTGGGCTCTAAAATGGGATAAAACGGGGTAAGTCGGGGTTATTAGTGTCTTCAGGGAAAGTGGGAGAAGTATTTTTACACAATTTACACAAAAGCCAGGACAGTAATGAGGACGATGCTGAAATAAGAATAAAAAAGCACCAACACAACGATCTCAAAGTTACCTTCTGAGCGCTTTTTTAGCTGGCTTCCGTTTCGTTTCGGCGCAAAGTGTTCCTCTTCCTTCGACCACGCCTCATACGACAGTTCCTTCGGCTCCTTGACATGAACATTTGGCGCCCACGGGGTGGAGGAGACCAGGGAAATGATAGCTGGAGGCGGTGGTGGACCAAATTTGTTTCTTTCCGCATCTTCTCTTGCATTTTGCTCCTCAACAACCAGTCGTAACCGCTCTTTATACTCGTCGGCACGCAGTTCATTGATCGATTTCCACTTGAAGTCTTCTTTAGGCTTGTGTTGCCGGAATCTCAGCCTAGCGGGCCGAGCGCACTTATCGCGACATCCACCGTGACATTCTCGCTTCATTGTGCATCCATTTTGATTGGGTTGAGTGGAGCTTTGACATTTTGTGCAACCATCTTCGCAACCTCGCTTCCGCAGAGCGCAGCCTTCTGCCTTACATCCGCTATCTTGACTACAGCTTCCGCATTGTGAAGTAATATTGCCTTCACGCTCAGCAATTGCTCTAGCACGATTAGCTTCCAGCTCGTCCAATGATTGAGACCGTGGATGATCAGCGGCACGTCTTCGACGCGTTGAATTCAACATTAGGCCGGGTGGACAAGCGCTCTTCTTCTTGTTACAACAACAGCAGCAACAACAGCATGGACAACAACAACAATCGCAACAGCAACAATCACAGCAGCAACATGCCGAAGCAATTGTTATCAGCGTTGTTAGCAACGCAGTTATAAGGCTGTAAAGGGTTGCAATTACTTAAAAAAATACAAATTCAAACAATAAGAAAGATTACTTACATCACCTTTCCCATGAATGCAACACTTATTTGCCCGTCTTTATTATCATCATGACCTTATATACCGACGAGTCGAAGGTCAATAAACGGTGTTCTCCTTCTTTGGACATGACAATAGACACGCAGGAGCTTTCTGACCGGAGTTATTTACGTTTGTTTGCGCAACCCACGGTATTCCGATGGCTATTTACATATGGCCTAAAACTGTCTCTTATATCATCGCCGGGTGGTTTGGATCATCAAGTCAACTCATGAGACGCTTAATAAATCAGCTGTAACTTTTGGTGGACTGATGAACGGATTATTCTTAATTATTACCTTTAGCAAAGCCATTTGGATGAGAGAACTTGAAACTTTATTAATTAATAACTTGACGACCTTCGGATTATCGAAAAAAGTTTAATCAATTCGTTTGCAGGCTTTTGGAAATAAGTTTTTTTGCGGAGAACCATTTGCTGTTTATCCGAGAATTGTCAAAGTAATTTTGTTTGAAAAACAAAAACATTGCGTTTCGGCCTGAAAAATCCCTTCCTAAGCCGTCATAAAGTTCAAATTCGTCAACATAAAGGGCATTGGCCAATAAAATTAGGCTTCGAACAAATTTTTTTTATAGCGTGCTTTTCAATTTTACGTCCAGTTGAGTTGAAAAAACTGCAAAACTTGGCCGTCGAGTAGTCTGAATTGGGTTTCACGGCAATCGCACTCAAAGCGCTGCGTCTGCACTGTGATCCAAACGCGCTCGCCTAGAGCCCCGAAATGGGATCCACCTTTCCGATCGCGCGCGACCGGACCGGCTTCTTGTCCCGGAGTTGGAGCCGGCGCGGGCAAATTTCCGGTACAGTGCATCGTCCACGGGGACGATCCCCTTCACGAGGAAACGTTGCGAATGTGTGACCGCAACGGACGCCTTTCTCAGACCTTCCCGGGAGTGCCGTTGCTTTCGCACATCAGAGTGCGTTTCGTCTCTCCCTCAAGCCGTCTGACCGCCAAGTTCGATTTGTCAAGGAAGGACGCACGCTTTTGATAGGCGCGAAACGGAAAAAGTCGGCGAAAAAATGGGGAAAAATTGAAGAGAGACGAAGAGAAAAGCGCACTCTTTTCGCGTCTCTTTCGTCGTCTCGCGCCTCTTTTTGGGCACGCTCTCTCGCTTACTTCGGTTTTTCGGCTGTTCAAAGCCGGAAAAAAGCCTTTTTGATTCAGAAAATAAAAAAATAAATAAGAAACAATAAAAAATTAGAATAAAAATCTTTTGATGAATAAAGATCGACTCAAGTACGACATTTTATTTCTTCACTTTTTTTTAAAAAAGTAAAAAATACTAAAAAAATCAAAGTAAATTTTAGTTTATAAACGTTTCTCCACCGTTTTAGGCAAATTTTTATAACATTGATAGTAGATTTAGCTTATTGTAAGCAATTTTTGCACTTTACATTCAAGAAAACCAAAAATTTCCGCGAATTTTCCCATAAAACTTGTATAAGTACCGAATATGCACTTTATTTTTTATTGCTTATGGCCGAAAGTACGCTTAATGGACTATAATATCTAGAGTAGATATAATTTTTACGGTACGATATATCTTGTCTGTTTGTTGACTATTTTTTATGACAAATTGTCATTTGCATTATGGTCGTTGAGTATTTTTGCAATGACAAAATGACGAAGTGATAAGTTTTGTGCGTGCGTTGCACAAGTTCGACCAAGAATACGTCCGATATGCCAAAAACAACCGAGTACTCACGACTGAATAAATTCCCTGAGTACAATAAGGTCTTTGTGTCGAGTGTAAAAAGAATTTCCAGCACGATTTAGTGCTGCATAAAGCGTTTAAAATTGGGGTGATGACCAAAAAAACGATCAAAAGTCTCCGCCGAATAAATTCCTTTCCGCGTCGGCGGAGAAAATGGCTCTTTTGGACAAAAAACCGCCCATGTTTTTCTTTATTCTGCAAAAGAAAGTTTTTGGATATCTTCAAATCCTCCTGCTTTCCTGTTCGATTGCATTTTTGATCCACGTTTACCATTGTTTTTTGTTTTCCTTGGCGCCAGACTTGCGGTAATTTCATCCTGTAAATAATCAAAATTCTTTTTTTTGCGCCTCCGCTATTTTCTTAAAAACAATGTAATTTACGGTCCAATGCTCCTTCTGGCGGTGTTGCTTATTATAACACAAGATTGGAAGGAAAAGTTGGATTGTGGTGGATTTGATTACGTGCTTAATAGGAAGGGGCACATTGGAACGGTCAGATTACAAAGAGGCAAATGATGCTCATTTTTAGAAGGGATGTGCCGCGACATGAACTTTTGACATTTTCTCCTTCTTTAATAAATACGTATACATGTATATATATGTATGTATACGTACATCCTTTTTCCATATTGCGTATCTTTGAATTTAGAAATTAGAGAAAATTCTAAGGCTCAAATTTTCAGTTTTGTAAAAAGTTTTGTGCGATTAATCCATTTTGTCCATGCACAGATTCTTAAAACATACGCTCAAAAGGTGTAGCCAAGGGCAATTTAGAGGCTGTAAGACACAGTTAGAGAGAAAAAACGTAGGGTCAATTGCTGTGCGATTTTTCCATACTCAAAAAAACAAGAAATTTACAGGGTGTTCCAATAAGCTATGAAATAATAATGTTCAGAGAAGTGTGCCTGAAAGTTTTTGTCGATTTCTTGGCGCTCAATCAAGACCCAAAAAGTGCCCAAAAGGCAGCTGGGCACTTTTTTGTCTCATCCTTACGGAGTCATTTGAATTTAATGTTTTGACTTTATTATTATAATTACGTCAATTCAGGATGACGCCCTTTTTGCGGTTTGTTTTCCAAATTAGTCCTTATTTCTACCACAGTCCTAAATATACATATATGCATCCATCTCCTTGAAAGGAAGCACTTTAACCCTATTTAAAGTTCACAAACAATTAGTTTTTATGACTAATACGGCTTCAGCAGGCTGAAAAACATTTTCAAAACAAAACTAGAGCCTCCGAATAATTGACCATCCCAATTATCAAGATTTGCAATTAATTAGGGCAATAATTCCTGTATTATGTATTGCGAATCCCCCCGTAGTATACGTTGAACATCCTCGATTTCCGTTTTTTTGATGAAGTCGAGAAGATGAGTCTTTGTTTCGTGGGAGAAGGTATTTGAAAAGGCCTCTTAGATCTGTTGTATTGTACCTGAGCGAAAGGTTAAAACCATGGATTAATTAGCGATGATAAGGTCAGTCTGAGCCGAGGTTTGTATCCCATAATGGAGGGATTGGCGGTGGCTTTGGCCAATGTGTTTAGCCAGGTATTTCAAGCCAACATCTATGCCGTAAATCATCATTTCCCTCTCTAAATGTTGCGCTTTCGTGTTCTAGATTTGTTTCGACTTCCAACAAGTTCGAGAACATCCCATCCGGCCTTTCCCCACATCTCAAATGATGTCCGGAATTCGACACTTTCCTCCCAGATTTCCTCAATTTGGCCGTTCATTTTTCGGCCGCCTCTGACGTCCGGCCACTACAAATCAGCAACGCAGTTTTGATGTGTTGTTGTGAACGCGGAAGGATTATTTATTTTTGTATTGCCTTGCAGAAGCTCGAGGCTAAATTTAGTCGACAAGGAAATCGTAGACAAAAAATGGGGGTTTTCTAAAATTGGAAAGATTTGGAGAACGAGGGGTTCTAGCCGCACTCTTATGCGATTATACACGGAGATACGTATAGCATGGATCGTGTGAGATATGAATTATGGTGGTAATCATATTAGGAATTTTTAGGAGGCTTGTGGAAGTCGTCAGTTTAGGTAATGGGCTGTTAGGGATTGAACACCACTTCTTATACCGCCCTTTTCTTTAGGGGCTAGCACAGTCAATTGAAGACTCGGGTTGAAGGAAAAGTAACGGTTTTGGGGAGAGGGATCAGCAAATTTGTGACTCGACGGGCCCATAGAAGATTCTTTCAGCAATTGTTGAGATCCGATTAAAAATGAGAAGGACCGGTAACATGAAGCCTTTTTTGTCATAGATCTTCAAACTATGCAAAAAATGCTTTGATTTTTCATAGGAATGTTGCAACCCGCAAGGAGTGGAACCTCTGTACAACAAGTCCTAAAGCGGAGCCTTATAACAAGCATTTTTCAAAGGTACCAGGAGACAATCTTAGGCCGACATATTTTGTACTACAGGACCATTCTGAAACAAGCAAATTTTTCGAACATTATGATTTCTTGTAAAGAGGATTCTTAGTATAATATACAGGGTGTTTCAAGAAATTCCGCGGAAAGTCGTCGACGATTTCTCGGCGCTCAGCCACGATATACAAAAAAATTTTTTTGCAGTAGAAAGAATGTAGTGGGCGGTTTTTTGTCTAAAAAGATTTTTTTCTACGCCGACGCGGAATGCAGTGTATTCGGCGGAGACATTTGATAGCTTTTTTGCCAATCCCACTTATCTCAAACGCTTTATTACGAATTTTGACGGTTCAAAAGAGGATGAATCTTGATGATTGGAGGAGGATTTGCATATTTCTATGTTTTTCAAGCATTCGGCGAAGGTATGGCGGACGCTTTCCATATCGGCGAAGGCCATAACTCATCTTCGGACAAAGACACAGAGCTGGGAAATGACTCGAAATGGTTCCTGTGCTCTGGTTAACACCATCCTTCATCATTTCTTATGAAAATCAAATTTTTCTCAGTTTGGCGGAGGAATCGGCGGAGGCCATAACACATCTTTGGACAAAGATACAGAGCTTTGGAATTGCTCAAAATGACTCATGTGCTCTGATTAACCCCATCCCTC